TGGACGTGCGCCTGTTTTGGCATGGTTGCAGGGCTAACGTTATGACGATGATACAATGAGTTTGCTATCGGCGGGACCAACTGCGATAGTTGAGTGTTGGTTGTAGTTTGGACCGTTGCGCCTGGTTTCGCATGGCGGCTGGGTATTACGGTTATACAAGGAGTTAGGTATCAGCTGCGACAGTTCCATGGCGGATGGAGGTCCAGTTTGGGACGTAGATGAGTTGTCTGTGCTAATGACCCGGAGCGGCACAGTGTTCTGTGGTTGCTGAAAGACGTTGTTTGCTGCCCTGTTGCGAAGGTTCTGTGACCGGCACTCTTTGACGAACTTCAGAGTCAGACAGACGGCAAAGATCAGGCCTAGCAGGCTGACTGTTGTCATGATGATGATGTGGACGGTTCGGAACACTGGTTTATCCCCCTTCACTGTTGCAGTGCTGGCGGTCGAGCCTCCAATTTTTGTCGTGTTGCCAAATGCAAGGGTGCCTTGCGATGCTATGTCGTTACCTTGTGTAACATGTTGGGTAACGGGCACGCCAGGGTGAACATTTCGTCGGCTTGTACCGTGTGTGCTCTGTCTGATGCTATGTACAGCCTCCTCTGTTGTTGATAGAGGCGTTGTCGCACACACTAACTCAGGGATAGAAACCTCTGACAGGGGTTGAGAACGCAAGCGATCAGGTGAGCCACAGTAGAAGCTATCTTGATAGTACGCGTTGGAAAGAAAGGAGGCATCGCATGATTCGGGAATTCGTTCTTTCAAGCATTTCAGCTTGTTGACTAGCCATTCTAGTTTGCAGTCGCAGTGGAAAGGGTTCGAAACTAACAGGATTTTTGCTTTCATCGAAGGAAGTCCAAGATCACTCTCGGACAAGGACGCAATCATGTTACTTGCCGGGTCGACTAACCTGAGTTTGCTCAGGTTGTGGATACAGTCCTCAAATTTGACGCTTGTGATCTTGTTTTGGTTCAAGTAGATGTTAGTCGCTGCCGGTAAGTTACAGAGCGACCGCCACGACAATGTTTCGATGTGGTTCCTACTGAGGTCCAATATGTTCAGGTATGTCAGCACTGGGATATACGGGACGTTACGGATTCTGTTGTTGGTCATCTTCAGATCGAAAGTGTTGGGTGGGATGTGGTCAGGGAAGGTGGTCAGCCCGCGGAAGTTACAGGTGACCGCCACGCCGTACACGCCGAGTGCGCCGGTTCTCGACGTTACTGAGCGGATACAGTCTTCAGGCAAGGCCTCGCTCCGTGCTGGTGTAGCCACGCACACGATGGTGATAAAAACTGCACACAGGATGGCGAAAACTTTCATCATTGCTGCGACTCACTCCTCGGTAACAACGTCCTCGGAAATGATGATATTTGTTAGATCGCGTCAGGAGCCACAGAGATTTTTGGATGTCGTCAAGTAACGTTCCTATTAAAGCTATAAAAATTGTCACTGTCTCGTGTTGCTATGGTTTTCTGTTACTACCAATATCATACTCAGTTACAGCAGAATTAACTTGCGAAAGGGTACCTTGCTTTGCGCCCAAGGCGGCTACTGGACAGTCCACCAGTGTCTGTTGGCGTCCCTTGGTGTGACTGTATGATATGTGGGCATGCACTGTCTACATTATACTACGATCATTGTCTTCTGACCTCTTTTGTGTGTTGGATATTCAAAAGCAATACAGGAAAAATAACATGTTTGTGAAATTTGTCTGTCTTGTCTCATCGAGAGTCCAGATATCATCAGTAGCCACTCCTGGTACAATTTGATTGGTACTGACACATATTTGTGGGACACCAATTTTTTTATGTGTATGGACCAAGCAGACATTTCAGTATATAGTAGATTTCTACACGTATAGCTTACTTTTAGACTATTGTATTGTGCATTTTCCGAAGTCACTGAGCTGTCAGAAGTAAAAAGACTGATGTGGCAAAAAACTAACTGACCAACGGAGTTCGCAAGACAATTATCTCCAAATGTGTCAGCAGTTCATCAATATCCAAATGTAATCAAACCATTGCAGAAACCAATATTCTCCGTATATTATCTTGCCCCGTATCGAGTCTCTTTCCATGGTCATCATTGCGTATGTATATGATAATGTACAAGCACGTGCAAAATGCTGGCCTCTCAATGTACTGTATAAAGACACCTCCCAGACAATAAACATTTTCACATGTTTTCTTTTTATTCACCATCGTAGCAAGTTTGTACATATATACCGTTGTCCAAGTTCGTAAAATACTTCTTGATAGACCCCACTACTTACTAGACCTACACAATACCATAAGCATACAAAGTGTTTTCCTTATGATTACTAGGTATGTTACATGTGTGTAACAATAGTTTTAAAGCCAACAGAGACTGCTACCCATTTCTCCGATTTCTTGTGTGCGTAGAGGACTGTACATATGGGGGGTACTGTACATGTTGGGTCTTTTTCAACTCCCGTAAAAGCACCCACAACACATTGATCGGGTAATCAAAAATACACTTGTAAACACCATGCTTTGAATGCTTGTGTTGGAAAATAAGGGCCGTGATTTCGAAGACGAACCACGCTGCGAACCCAATGGCAAAAAATAACCCGTTCAGTACGAGAATGAAAAGAGAAGTTATCAGAAAATGTAGCACGAGACGCTCAACGCAGTGGTTCCAAACATTCTCGATGTATTTGGAGCGAACAAGGAGTTGAACATGCAACATTAGAATCAGGAAAGCGGAGGTACAACATGTGAGCAAGAAGGCAACTTTTAGCAGCAAAGCATAAAGTATGACGATTTTCTGACTTAATGATGGTATGCGTCTATCAAATGTCACCACAGAGTTTGATGGATATGGCATTCCTCCAGAATGCTGTCGCTGCCGTGTCAATCGTTGCCCTGCAGTTTGCATCCTTGTCGCTAGAAGCGCTGCTGTGCGGTACCCATCACTCTGCTTGTATGAACAGGTGGTTGATGATGCTCTACTCTTCAGTGTGGGAAATGAGCGACCAGTTTGTATTTCTGTACCTCTCCGAAACGACGACAGGCTCTCATTCCCCTTGTCACGAGTCATGAAACTTCCGAAAAGTGTCGGCAGAACGATTCCATGGACTGCCGAATCCACGCTTCTGCCATCTAGCATTACTGAGTTCATATCCCACAAATCTCCCTTTGTTGTGAGCTTCATCGCCTTGTTCGCATCAAGACTGCTTGTGCAGCTCCCTTCTTGGGTAAAACTGGCCTCTGCAACCGACAACAGCACAAGAATGACTGTTGACACCTGTGGGGGAAATGGGCAAAGGACAAAATTGTTATCCAATGTCAAATACCGTTGTCTTTGCAAAAGTATATAGTTGATAACTGCGTAGATATCGATGAGTTGAAGATAAAAAAAAAAGTAGTCATTTTCAACTGAGAATTATGAATTTTCGCTTAGCTAGTAGTAGTGACTTAGGCATTAGATCCTCCCACTACTTCGTTGTATAGGTCTACTTTGCAGGTCTAAGTAGCCGTGACAGGCGGCTTTGTTGCACCCGTTTTCCTCGACAATCGAATTTACGTGCAGTAGTTAAACACCTGGGTCTAAGCCTGGATTTACGTCATGTAATCCAACATGACGAATGTATCCGGCCGGTCACACACTATAAACATGCCCGGCCAGGATTGTGGAATACCGGGTAGTGTCAACTGTTAGCCCCTGATTTGAGCAAGGAGCTCATAAACTCCTAGCCTGGGTGCCATCCCCAGTAGTATTCGCCCGCTAGCTTACAAGTGGTATCTAGCGACATTATAGAGCGGGCGAATACGACTGGGGATGCATATATAGCACCCAGGCTAATAAACTCCTTGATTCGAGCTAACATAAAGCAAAGAAAAAACAGACATCTTCTGTAATACAAAAGATGTCTATATTACCTATGATTTACCGTAATTTACACAGACTATGATGTTTACAGAGCTGAAAGCACCATGCCAGTTGACACTTATATGTTAGTCTCCACCAGACTTCTTTTGCGGGGTGAAATCGTAGAAATCGGCCTGAAAAGGGTATTATTAGAGAAGGTAGCCGGCAAGAGAAGCTCCATTTCCCCGCCCTTGGCTACCCTCTCTGGCCAATTAATACCCTTTTTAGGCCGATTTCTACGATTTATTCACCCCACAAAAGAAGTCTGGTGGAGACTACTTACATGTCCACAAGAAGGCCAAAGAGCTGACAAACATGTACAATTCAATGCCGATGTAGCGAGATGGCTTGCAGTGCGAAATGACAATGTAGCCTAACGAGCGGTTTTCGGTAACAGTGTGCACAAATCATAACGCTATGCCCGCAGAAAGCCAAATAAAATTCACCCACCTTCATCATTGTTGCATTCACTGTGTGCAGACACGGTATGATGTAAAATCTACAGGTTGTAGCGCCTTTGACTAAAGCGAGTGAAACGGCAGGGATTTTCGACGGTAGGACCGTGCAGTACTAAATAAGGCGATATGCAACTGAAGCTTTGCGCCTTTGCACCACGCAAAGCTTTGCTACCGTAAAATGTATTATTATGATTGCGTACTTCACCATATGACGCTTTCTTACACCAATAAACACGTACTGAATTTTATTTTCTGAAGTCTCGGTGTACTGCTGGATTGGGGAAAGTATGAAAAATTAATCCCAGTGATTATCCAGTAGGTTATCGCAATAAAATGACCCGATTATTTGGAAGGTGAAAATATTCGGTTATACTGTGTGGAGGTAGGCCACATTACAGATCTAATTAAGTTTGCTAAAAGCGACGACTCCCGGGCACATCAAGGCTAATAGGTAAGCCAATTGACGTCACTAGTGCGTCATCAGCGACATAGCAACCGCCTCGAGCCGTGCACGAACAAAAAGGACGGCTAAATTTGTAACATAATTGCTTCAGATGGCACCTGAACACGTTCGCAGTTCGCATGAAGACTAGAAAAACATGTTTTCCCAGAATCGTCTCGAATAAATCAATATGCTAGTACCGTCGCACCGCTGAGCGGTCTTAGAGAATATAGCGTGAAGCTCAAGTTTGTTGTACCAACATGATATAACATGCATTTGCTGTACATGTACATATGTAGTATTGGTTGGAAATTTGAGACAGTATTTTGTCATAACGTTGTTGATTGCGTATATGGGTCACTGATCTGAATAAAAAAAAACACTGCGTCGGTCGGACTGTTCGAATTCATCTGCTTACCGGTATATAATAAACATCTGATTATAGATTGATCAAGCAAACGCATGCTTTCAAAATATAGATTGGTTGGTTGGTTGGTTGGTTGGTTGGTTGGTTGGTTGGTTGGTTGGTTGGTTGGTTGGTTGGTTGGTTGGTTGGTTGGTTGGTTGGTTGGTTGGTATCTCTAGATTGGCTTATTGAAAAGACATGTTTGTATGTCACACCCTTTCATGTCAAATCAAACTCAAGTTTTTTTAAACAAGTAAAGACGCCAGACTTTGTAACTGCCAGCGAGAAGATAGAATGGCGTTTTGTAGAATAAGGAACCAAGTTTCTTAGGAACCGTTAAAAACAAACAATAGAATGACTTACACTTGCCACTGACTAGCAATATAATGGCTCACATTGTCGCGGTTTGAGGAAAGTTATCAGTTGTATCAAGTTCTGTTATAAAGGATCGTCGTAATGTCGATGAACCATCTGTCAGTCGAGCATGCCAACATCAGGGTCACAGTTATTACCAGTGACTCTCGCGACAATTCGCTGAATCAACGGTCAACGTCCTCCCCTGTCGTCCACAAAAGTGCGGGAAAGAGTTTGACTCCCGTCTACCAGCGGAAAAGCGTTAAATATCTGGACGTCAAAGTCGAATACTTCACTTTGAACCAACCGCGGGAAATATGCGAGGGTTACGGCGGTGGAGAAGCTTCTCACGGGGCGTCTTCTACCGCAAGATCAAGGAGATCGTCATCAAGTTCACAAGAGATACGCGTCAAAGGAAAAGCGCCATCTAGTGACACAAATGTTGACGGCAGGTCAGAACACCGCTCCTCATCAGCTCAAGACAACTCCGGGGATGAACGACGGAGCACGGAAGAAACAGCTCAACTCTGGACATCTACAAGAAAATCTGACTCGAAAAGCCACAAGAAATCAAGTAAGCGTTCAAGGAAGTCTTCAACGTCTGCAGGTGTTGTGCCAGACAAGTTAGGCAGTTCTGCAGTGTGTAACGTCACACGTGTGACTCCTGATTCGAATTCAAGGCCAGTATCAACTTTTTCACTGGTTCTGCTGCCCTTCAAACCACCAGAGATTCCTGGGGAAACTGTTGTACAAGGTAGAAATACGGAACTTAAAAGCTCAGAACCGAAGAGGCCCTCCTCATCTGGAGTCCCACAAGTCAACCGAACTTCCGAAAAGCAGCCGCCACCCAAAGTCCTGCACAGAGCACCATGGGTCGCATGGGGGCGCTGGCACGAGGCCGTGGAAGACGAAAGAAGATCGGAAGTCCTGTCTAGTCTTATGTACAAATATAATAAGACTATCCCTTTCCCCCTATTGCCACTCACTCGACCGCTAGTTAAGGGTTCCTCACTGAATAAGATGTGACTATCAGATAAACACTACCTTTTCAATAGGTAGAATAGTGGGTATGTTTGAATGGTTTATGGTATTTTCATAATTGTTGATCTTGAATTGAACTGTGTATGTATCTTGCTAAAACAGGCTCTGTATAAACACGTAATAGTGTACGAGTAAATATCTAACTAGACTAAAAAGATATTGACACTAAGTCTTGTGACAGTCTGTCATTTCATGTTTAATTTTCAAATACAACAGCAGTGTATATTCATCATAAGCAGATGTTCTTGTACTTAATATTAAAGTCTTTCAGTGTCACAATTCATAAATCACACAAACACACACAAAAACAGTATAAGTGGGGAAATTCACCATGGGATAGAAAAGAAAGCAATACATAGAAAAGCTATCATCTAACTCTAGCACCTGTATGGCTTCAGATGTTGCATGCAATAAGGTTTGTACATTGTACAAAGTTCTAATTCATAATCATACAATGTACAAATGTATTTGGAATGCGATATTTCCCCAGAAGTACACATGTAGTAATATGATACAAAATTTGCTATCATAGTCATTAAACAATTTTGTATACATTACTTGTTACAAAAACAAAAGATTTAATGTTGATAATGAATTTGCCAACATCATGCAAAGTCCGGTACAATGGATATTAGATTTTATTTTACACAAGCACAATGCCTGCCACTGATTGGATAGTCCTCCTGCTAACTTCCTCAGGGGAAATAATGACTGTTGTACTATTGCTCACCACTAGATGGCGCTTCAGCAAGAATAATGCAGTCCCAAACATGACTGAGTTTTGGCCCCCCTCAATCTGTTTAGGACCAAATTCTTTAACTTAGTGGGAGACAAAGCTCCAGTCATTTTCTCCTGAGGAAGAAGGCAGAAGGACAATCAAAATGTTGGCAAGTATTTGTCACTTTTGGTGGCATAAAATGAAATCTAATAGCCATTGAAACGTGTTAAAACTACTAATTTCATGAGTGTTTAATACATTTAGGGACTCCTTGCAAATGTGAAGTAACACTGTAGCATTGCTTGGTGATTCTTGTGTGTGTACAAATTTTGTCTTGGTAATCTCATACTTCCTTTATTCCTTCTCTCAGCAGAGTCCCCATGTTTGAGGTAAGGTGGACTGTTTAACACTGGACTTCTTCCACAATTGTGTTATTCAAAACTGGGGAATGATCACACAAGTAACAGATTTTCCTCCATTTTGTTCCATCTTGTGTGGTCCCCCTGCTACATGTACGGTTAAATACCCACTCAAAAAAACAGACACGGGTGCTAGCTAGACTACAACGTCCTGTAGGCACGTGGAGTTACACAATCAGTCGTCATCATCCCAGTCTGCCTTCTCTCTGGGTTTGGGACCTCCTGCTGGCTTGGACATAATAATCTGTGGAAAAATAGCAGACATACAGTTAAAACTACATCACTCCACTGAAGTACTCTAGAATTAAGATCCAGATCTTTCCTATGACACTTTCCTAAGTGTTGACGGCACACTTCAGAGAAGCCACATGACAAGTCTCACTGACTCAGTCTATTGAAGAAAACCAGAGTGACTGATCGAAGGCTCTAGATGAGAACAATCTCTTGTGTTGGAACAAATGTTTCAACATGACATAACTACTTGTTTTTAGCCATGCACATGAATTTCAGACTTGCCATCATTTTGAACAAGCTAAGCAGCAAGTTCTGGTGGGCAGGTACCCTTCTTCCAGGCATGAAAGTATCTAATGTCGAGAATAGCAATTCTTTTTAAAATCTTGCAAATTAAAGGAAAGGTCCCATACCTGGTCCACCTTCAATACAGTGGCCGCTGCGTTGGAGGCTAGTCTGATGCCCCACATCTTGGTGAGGTACGGCTCCAGGATATTGGCCTCAGCAACATCTTTAACTGCAACTCCCTCCCCCTGTACAACAACATTACATACATGTAAGATCTCAGTACATCAAGTTATAGTTAAGTACACTAACACAGAGACAGGGATCAAAATACTGGTGCAGATAACATTGAGAATAACATGCACCAGACAAATGTTACCCGTATCACTCAGAATTTAGGAAGCATAAATTACACTACAAACTGTTCAGAAACCATTGCCATTGTTTCTTTTATACTTCATAGGTGGTACCAGTCTCAAATCAACACTAACAAACTCTGAGGAATGAGAAAGCAGCAGTCCTACCTCATTGTCAAAGCCAACATTCTTCCTGCCCTGTTGGTGCTCAGCATACAGGTTGGCTATCAGCTCCTGGCTCTGAAGAAATTAGGACAAAAACTTATCATTCCAACATTAACAACAACTTAATGGTAGCACTTAAATGGTACTGTTACACTGGTAAGTTACACTAGTCTCTGTTTATACAGTTTAATACCAACAGATGTGGATCTACCAGTAATTACATTATGTAAAAAAAAGGACTAGTTCTGGGCTAAGAAAATGAAACTGACCTTAATACCGCAGTTCTCAGCTAGTGCTTTTACAAGTGACTCAAAGGCCTCGGCGTACTTCATGATTGCGTACTGCTCCAGACCTGGGCAAGTCTGCAGAGGAAAGGGAAGTCAGAAGTCAGTCAAACAGAGTTTTTGAGTAAGGTGGGTCAAGTCAGTATTCCAACAATATATTGGACATATGTTGCAAGTATTCAGATTAATTTCTAACAAAGAAAACAACTGTCATTAAAAGACACTGTCACATTATCAGAGTCTATTTATTACCTTCGCCAGGAAGGTTATGTTTTCAGGGGCGTTCGTGTATGTGTGTGTGTGTGTGTGTGTCTGTCTGTCTGTCTGTCTGTAAACACGATAACTTGAGAAGGCCTTGATGGATTGTCTTGATACTTGGTAGGTGGGTAGGTCTTGATGAGACCTCAAAATGATTAGATTTTGGACCCCCTAGCGGCTGGTTATGGTACTGCAGCTGAACTTCCGGTTTTGATATCTCATGATCTAGACATGCTGTGGTGATGAAATTTAGATGGTAGGTAGCTCTTGTGCTGGGAAAGAAGTGACGTGAGTTTGGACCCCCTAGCGGCTTGCTCTGGAACTGCAGGGATAAATTCTTGAAAATATTCAAAAGGGGATAACTCAAGAACCGGTTGACGGATCGTCGTGATTTTTGGTATGTAGGTAGCTTACGTGATGCTTAATATAATTATGTGACAATTATGCAAATATGGATGTAATTTGCATAATTTATGGGGAATTCTATAAGTCAGCTGCATTCCATGACAGGACAATTGAAGCTTGTGACATTGGTAATTGACAACGAGAGAAACACAGGAAGATGTTGATTATGTTAATAATGACTTAATTTGCATAATTAATGAGAAAATTTTATAATTATGCAATGATAACTGCCTGGAATTTCATACTTGTGGTATTTGAAAGTTAAATTGAGGTGAACATCATTAAACATAATTTATTCAAATCAGGACCTCATTTGCATAATTTATTAGGAAATGCTAGAATGCATTCTTTGTTAATATAAGACTGTCTTTTGGTTGAGATTATGATAAAATGATATAATTCATGAAAATTAGGTTCCTATTTCTTAAATCAGGGGGGAATAATCTAATCTAAACTTTGTCAGTCATAAAGATTAACATCATTTGGCGAAGGTATGAGATCGGGGAACTCTAGTTCATTATGTCCTACCTGGGCCACGATTATGTTCGATACGGGTGTTCCGGCCCGTGTGATAACTAGCGGTACGGCCCGGGGGTTCTTAACGCGTACGGCCCAGCCCTTCCAAATGTTCCATAGAACGATTCGAACGCGTTTCGCCCTAACCGCTTGCACCGCTTTCGAAAATTCGAATACAAAATTCAGACGTTGGAATTGATGTTGTTGCATTTGTTGGGTTTAGGGACACCAAATTTTCGCTCATTTGGCATTGAAAGGCGTGTTTTCTTGGGTTGGTATGACATAAATAAAATACAACACAGTGTATTCCACATCACCCTCGGTCCCAGCCCTCCCGCGGATCGGATCTCCCGATCCGACGCGCTGTCGGGCTGGTACCTCGGGTGATACGGAATACCCCGTGTTGTATTCTATATGTATAACCATTCGACCCTACCATGAGTCTAGCCCTTACCTCTGCATATGATGCTAGCTGCCTGGCCAGTTCTATCTCTGTAGCCCCTGCACCAGGTAGCAGACGTTGGTCCTGGGGAGACAGAATAAAACATCAACATTAAACCATCAGAAACTACAACTGTACTAGTAACCTTTTCATGCCTTTTACAGCAAAGATAAAATTTTTGCATAGATGGGATCTTAGATTTGTTACAGTACTTAGGATATATGATATATCTCAAGCTACAAAATACTGAATACTTGTCAATAGTACAGTTTTAAAGCAAAACAAGCTCTATTAAGCATACTTGACACAATGACTTTACGGTGTCTTTGTATTAGAAAGAGATTGCAAAACATGAACTAGTCTTACCCTTGTGATTACTTTGAAGTTGTTCACGCCGTCATCAATGGCACGTTCAATGTCATCCATGATGTTCTCTGTCGAGCCCCGGATGACAATGGTGGCCAGAGCACTTTCTTCTTTCTCTGTACAATGAATGGCACACATTATATTTATGTTTTCAAAGATTTGATTCCGCACAATTTGTTGGGAGGTAGGTATAGAAGTTGGCTGATGTAGAGTTTTATGGTTGTATTCCTATTCAATAGCTTCCTACATGAATTGTAGACCACACATTTCTTGTTGTACACTAAACAGCATAGTGTCAAACTTGAGCCAGTAAAGCGGGCATCATTATGAGTCAACTATTGTTTGCAAGCATATGTGTTAATGTGCATGTGACAGGGACAACTTAACCCAAGATTCCAACACATCAGGTTTTCCTAGTCTTGACTGAAAAGCAATGCAAAGAATGTCAAATTTCAATAATGAGTGATTATACAAGAACAGGCTGCACAGTAACTAGAGCTGTGTGTCAGCGTGCTCCTAACCTTGTTTAAAGACGACAACTTTGTCCTCCCCGATCTCGTCAGAGTAGACCATGTCACAGTGGCCCAGTTCTTCTGCTGTGGGCTGGGTCTGTAGGGGTAATGGAACATTACCACTTTTTACTGGTACATGTACTTCAAATAATATGGTCTTTACAGGTCCTAAAATCTCTCTATCACAAACCACTGGTTAGTGATGCTTAAAATAACATCTAGGCTTTAAAAGCTTTCAACATTTTCACTCACAATTGGGACAAAACTTAATATTTTTTCTGTTGAATTCTAAATAGATCATCACTAGAAGAAGAAGACTTTCAGGGGTCAATAAGGGGTAAAATAAACATGTATTATTGACAGACTGAGTGACATTGATCTTTACTAGTAAATTAAAGATCAGGTCCAGACAGAAGTTAGAGTTACAGATTTAGCAGCAAGGGTTCTAATAAACATGATGTATTGTTGATAGACACAGTAAGAGTCCTGACCAGCCTGGGTAGAGCGGTGGCTCCCACGGCCTTGCACAGGCGCCGCAGGTCGAACTTGGAGTTGAGGCGGACCACCATCAGACCGTACTTGTTGGCGTAGTGGAGCGCCATGTCCGCCACCTTCCCGCCTGACACCACCACCTTGGCGCCGGTCTCCGCTATCGCTTTTACTTGCTGAGAAGTGAACAAGCATAAACATTTAAACATTAAGTGTTATTCTAATAGTTCTTGGTGTCCATAATTATTATCACTGATGTGCACTTCATTGACGACTTTCTCACTGCAGGGGTAACAAAAAAATTCCTCTATCAAAACTAAATGTATTTTTAAAAAAACTAGCACACATTCCCAAAGATACATAGTTTTACATATAAATATAAAATTGTAGAAAGTTTTTTGTTGTACACGTATTTTGGTCATATAACAAACATGAGTAGAAAAAAACACTAAATGACACGACTACAACCAAACCATATATAGCATGGAGTAGTAGAGTACATGACACTGATGAAGGCAGCTGAAACATCATTGAAGAAACTGTAGTTCCGCTAAAGGAAAACTCTACTTTTAGACCTAATCCAACTTACAGCATCCATCAGTCCTTCCTCCCCCTTGCTGAAGTCCATGAGTTCCTTGGCTGACTTGATGAGAACTGTTCCTTTGGTCTCCGTGTTGCCCATGTCAAACGGACAGTTGTACACCACGATCTTGGCGTCCTTGGCCTTGTTCAGGTCACTCTCTGCCTCCCGTTTGAACACCATGCCCTGGATCACCATGGACTGGTACACTCCACAGCCCTACCACAATACAGGTCACAAACCCAGTCAGTACAATAACATACACACATTACTATGTAACATGGACTGATACACACCACAGCCCTACCACAATACAGGTCACAAACTCAGTAAATATACATGGGTAGACATTTACCTTCATTTCCATTTTTAATGCACTTAAAAACGCTAATACCAGTAACTGCAATGTGCTAAGGTAAAAGTTACAACTGTTACAACAAGTTGGAAAAAGTTTGAAATTACTGACCAGCATTTTGCAGACTCTGACACTGTCCACATTGAAAGCTGACTTCTTGGGATGTACCATGACTAAAAGGGAAAACACACACATATCAGACAGAGATCAAAGTAGCTCAGAATGACTCAGACTCTAACCACTATAGGTAGCAATGTGTAATGCACAGTATTCTAAATATCTTTTTAAAAATGTAGTGAAGCAATATATTACACATGTACTGACGTGCCATATTTCAAAGGTTTTCTTTCTTTGAACTTTTGTTCTAATACTAAAGTAGTTATACATATTTCAATGTACATGTACATAATCTGCCAATACCTGTAGTTACAAATAAAGCATTCAAACAATGAAACATGAACTTGAAGACTAAAAGTTAGTTTTTGAATGCGGACGACTTACTGCAAGCTTTGGTGATGAGGTTAGCGAGGAAGTCCTCGTTTCCGTACTGCTTGCTCGCCACGGCCGTTCGAATGACCTTGAAAATCTCCTCGTGTTTCCGAAGGTCCTTCACTTCCCCACACACCAGGTCTTTCGAAGAAAAACAAGCCATTAAAATCAAAGGATGTGTCAATCAAGTATCATTCATGTGACCATAGTCAACTTCTACACATTACAAAGACTGAGATGTGCGTATCACTGGAAAAGTTGTACATCAAATAATATTTTTTTTCTTTCTGAAATACAGACATGTTAAGATTTAAAAAACGGAAAATGATAAACTTTTATTGCCAAAGAATTTTTTTCCTTACCTGGCAAGATTTCGAGGGCCTTCTTTGCAGCCATATTGTATCCATCAATGACTTCTGTTGGAGACAAACCCTGTGCAGAAAATGAATCACAAACTCAAAACTTCTGACAAGTGGCAACTACAACAAAAAGAGAACACGCACAAAGATAGACACATAACAAATTTTCTGGCATTTTCAGATTTAGACCACATATCTTTTTACGTACATTTCCCGGCATAAAATTATTGTTGGATGAAATAATTTGTGCCCCCCCTCCCATGATTTGTGTAGAATGTTCTAGTAGGCTGTGATAGATACAAAACAAAATGTCTGGAGTTTTCAGTTTTGTGAAAACTCACCATGCGAAGCAGTTCTTCAGCATTATGCAAGAGGGCCCCGGCGAACACCAGGATAAAGTTGGTGCCGTCTCCGACTTCCTGCTCCTGCATCTGTGAGGCCAGGATGACCATTTTGGCCGCAGGGTGCTGGACCTCCAGTTCTTTCATGATGGTCGCTGCATCGTTGGTCACAAACAGCTTCTCAAGATGGTTGATCACCATCTTGTTCATTCCTATGAAAATAAATGTACGGGATGTCCTGATTTAAGCATGTGTTTCTTGGCTTTCAACAAATAATGTCAAGAACTCCACGGCAGATTTAACTGGCAATTACAGTTGTGCTTTTCATGCATTCAAATGTCAAGAATGTCAAAATACACTGTATGTAACAAACACAAAAGCTTAGCTGACAAAGTTCATGATGATGACAAAGTTTAGACTTTGGTAGCTTAAGTTACTGTACTAGTAGAGGGTTCCTGGGCCCTACTAGGGTTTGGGTTGGTGTTAGGAAGGGCATCCAGCTGTAAAAAAAGTCTTGCCTCAAAAAAGACTTGATGCAAGTACATCTAACCCCCAGTTCTGGGGGAAAAAAGACGTTAAACTGAAGAGAGAGAGAGAGAGAGAGAGAGAGAGAGGGAGAGAGAGAGAGAGAACCATACCGTTGGGTCCATAGGCTGTCCGAGTTGTTTTGGCCAGCTCACGGCAGGCATCGATGTTCCTGTACACGGCTTCCTCCAGACCATGGTATGTCTGCCGGTGGAAATTTCACACATATTCTTAATATGTAGCAAGCTAATACAGCAAAGCTTTCTTGTCACTAGGCTGGGTCTATTGGAGTGTTGGGTGGGGAAAAACCTGGTCCTAATCGGGCAGGACAAATTCATTCATGTGAAAATTCAAAATTATTGTACCAGTAAATTGAATTTTCTTGGGGGGGGGGCCTTATTCAGCTGCATCCTAAATTATCATAATTTTTTTTCTATAACGTGCAGCTGCTAGGTAGAGCATTTTAATTATAACTAACGATTTTATACGTCGTTGTCTTTCATACGGATGTTTTTTTCTACTGACGGTCGAACTTGAACGGGGCTTCAACGATTTACTACACAAAGAGACACGAGAACATAAAATTTATCTCTGTCTGACTTGCAAAAAATCATATGATACAAAATCCGTTAGGATAATTTCTCAAGTTGACCCTTTAGTTCAAAGTTTCAAAAAAAATTCTGATTAGTTGTCTTTGTACAGTTCCACATTTTTAAAATATCTTTTTACGTATATTTCCCAGCATAAAAATGATTGTGAGATGAAATAATTTGTGCCCCCCTCCCACGATTTGTGTAGAATGTTCTAGTAGGCTGCACGTGCAGAAGACTTTAGCACAAAAGCCACAAAGACAGACGATAAAATACGACAATCGAGACCTGTTAGATCCTACACAGAGATCAAATACAGATTTAGGTTCCCTTTTAGAGTCCGTTTAGGAGGCAAATACCTTACCTTGGAGCCTTCTTTGAGCATTTGCGCCAAGCCCGGCGCTTTTGGTACGCGCATCGCCATCTTGGATTCTTTTGCTCTGGTGACAGCCTCGTAGTGGGGTTAGCGAAGCTTACTTTAGGGTTTACAACTTACCTTTACAACCAAATTTGTGGAATTTATCGTCAAAATTGTAAGATCTTTAGACTTAGACAATAAATTTAGGTGTTTCTGAATGATTTACTTCTCGCTTTGATGTCTATGATGCTCAATAATTTGTTCGATTGGGAGCATATAAACTCCTTGTGTAGCCTCAGGTTACCTCCAAATTAGGTCATGACGTTGGCAACCGCTAGGAGGCGTGTCATGCACAATGACCCACGCTATAAAGAGCAATGTCCGGATCCAAAGACGCCACTCTTCAAAGTTATATTACAACGTTGTCACATAAGTTGGCATGGAAAACGAAATGATATTTCAATCAAACCCCTTCGTTTAATAATCGCTTAAGGAGGTATAGGGACGATGGCATTGTGATCCATTTATACAAACAGTACTTTCCCTTTAGTAGGCCTCACCAAAGGTGCGGTTGGCATCCAAGTCACCTCTGCTAAACATATGATAATCTTATCAGTGGCAACCATAGTTGGCCATAGTTTTGGAAGAAAGCCAAACAGGCGACCTCAAACTGAGTATAAAGCATGTCGCCTTTTCGTTAGCTAGTACAGCAATGAATGTGGCTTCGTTCCCGTACCACACACAGGGGTACCTCAGGGGCTACACCCTCGATCGCGATATTGTGTTGTGTTCTCATATTCTCAGTTTACTTATAAGGCAAGGAGGTCTACGCTACTCAAACACGGGGCAGCTGGCTTAACGCCCCATCGAAAAGGACAAGACAAACAGCTATTCAAAAGCCGGTCGAAAAGTTTCATGGCTCATTGCATGCAACTTTTAACTTGTTTGTGGAAAACTCAATCGCTCATATCGGAAACAGTGCCATCATCGACACATCATCTTGCCTCCGCCCCTTAAAAATTGTCACATAAAATATACTCGTATCTCGTATCTGAACCAGTTTCTTGTCCCCTACCTGGATTATCTGTACATGTTGTTGATAGAGTTCCAGGTCTGTATCCACTGTTTCCTCTTCACGGGGTTAGTAGTTGCCATGGGGATGTAGGTCAACCCCACATCTAAGATCTTCCCGCTCACGTGGCGATGTGAGAGCAGACATTTCAGACCCGAACATACCGTAGGTACTCCCGCCAGGAACTTCTCCTTCGTCATGGACTTCAAAAATGTATAAATGTTCTCAGTTATATTCTCGGGTCTCTGGGTTTCTCCGTAGCAACATGTGCCCGGTGTATCTGACTCTTTGGTCGTTTTTGCCGCCGGGTGTGTCGGAGTTTGTTTTGCGCCCCAGCTTTCCAAGCCGGTGAAACCACGAAAAAGTCCGGTGGCGAACTGGTAAGCCATCGTACAGTTCGATTTCGATTTTTTCACGAAAAATAATAACATACGATCACACTGAATATACGTGACGCTAAGCGCTACGATTCAGCAGTGTTGTAGGTTACGAAAGAGATATAACTCTGTTCTATGTTCACTTTTTGTGACGTCAGAAAAATTCCATTGGAACGTCGCAATAACCTGAGAATCTGAAAACCTGTTCTAGAACTACGGCCTTGAAGAGATGTTCTCCCATATGATGGTACATGTTGATTGTATGATGAATTTCATCCTAAGCTATAGCTAGGGACTTCTATCGCATTGTTGTATTATATAAATCAAATAGGAAAGATCGAAGGAAAGAACTAGTACTTTTAAACAGCCTTGTCGTGTGGAAATACGAGTAGCACCACTAATTACGAAGGTGGCGATGGATCACAAGTAACAGTCTATATTAGAGTTGAAATTTTACCTGCCATTCTTGCATCTTATATTACGGAAGTGTCAGTGGCGTTCCTATCTCTAGTAACACAGTGAGAGTTACAGACTTGCTTTTAACAACAGAAATATCATACACATAATACAGTAATGCTGTATTTCAATACTTACGGGGCGGTAAGTAACAAATGCCGTTAGCTAGTTCTAGATCTATAGAAATTCAAATGAGAGAAAACACCCCTTTTCACAAGTATATGTCAAGTCTACGATAATATCATATCTATATCTATTTATACATATATATATCATATATATATCTGCTTAAGGTAAACATCTCGATTTATGTTCCTGATTTCCGGTGGGTCATCCTATTTTCTTTAGAGTATCATATATAATTCATATTATTCTCTGATATCACATACAACTCCAAACACTACATGTATAGGATTTGGTGATATTATTTGTAGTGTTCTCGATATGTAAAACCCCCATGTATACTGTACTGTCCTATAGTACTAATATAAGTACTACTGACCTATTTAACGATATTATTAAGCTTAGTACGCACCAATTTACTTGCGATATTGTTCCACTCATTTAGTATAAAGTACTCACTTACAATGTATTTAGTTATTTAGTTTTATTTTAGTTATTATGTTATCTGTTTTTAACACTAGCATACAATTCAGCGCTACTTACTTAGTTGCGCTGCCACATGCTAGAGATTGTACTCATCGATCAATCAATAAACAATTATCATTATCATTATACTGTCCCTAACCTCTAACCCGGCCCCTGCACTAACAGATGTTTTGCATAAATGTAACAGTTATATGTATATGTACTTGCATAGGTACAATCATGTATATGATTGTAATCTTGTGACCTGTGCTTAGCCCAGTGGGGCAAAAATGTACAATAAAAGTCTTCGTTCATTCATTCATTCATAAACCTCACTGCATCACCATCTGTCCGTTCTATCCTGTGTTTAACATATATGAAACACAACATTATCGTAATATTTGCCTGAGTCCCTATATTCTGACTCTGGCGGTAGTGGACCCGTCCACTGACGTCATGCCAGGCGCTTCAGAAGTGAAACAGAGCGGCCAGGATACACGCTGTGGCGAGACACATCAGTGACGTCATGGAACTCACACCAAGGCCCACCGCACCTGACGCACAAGAAGAAAAAAATCATGAGTTTTCAATTTCAATTTATTTATTTAACCAGTAATTACAACTCAGGCCATTTTGGCCTGCTTTTCAGGTAATCCTGCATGGATACACATAAAAATACACACACAAATACACAGTACATAAACTATTACTAATTACAACATCCTAAACATCAACAGTGTCAAGTCCTGCACCTAATGAACTGTTTAAAAATATTTTAAGTTTTATTTTAAGTTTTTATTTTAAGTTTTTATTGTACTGTATACTGTATATGTTTTTATTGTACTGTATATGTTGTATTCATGGCGTGCTTGTTCATTTCTGTTCTATCTATCTATGTAAGACGGACCGATGCATTGTATGAGATACATTGTCATTTTTTATTAAAACGGCAAAAACATAAATACATACACGATGACGTCACACTCAAGTTGTTTTGTGTTGTGTACATTGTCATTGTCGATGCTTGTTGCTTTCCTATCGTGTAACAAGCAAACAAACAAAAACAACTATAACAAGTGATGATTTACTGCATTAGCATTTTTTCTGGTTTATCACGAAAGTTAAGTTTCAGACAGTAAAGAGACTCTTTTTACACAACCAAGTCTTTTATTCAGCCGACGTTTCGGTGACCGTCTGTCACCTTCCTCAGGGCGATTCTGACTGGTTCACATTGCACGAAACGTCGGCTGCAGAGACTTGGTTGTGTAAGAAGAGTCACTTTACTCAGTGACTTACCAACCCGATGAAACTATTCACGGAAGTTAAGTTTCAGTAATGTTAAAGTTAAAACTTTTGGTCCAACATAAAAAATTCTCTCACCTAGAGCTTTCGACCAGTTACTCTGGTCTTCCTCAGTAGACTGACTCAGTGAGGCTTGTCATGTGGCTTCTTTAAAGTGTGACGTCAACACTGGGCCAAAGAAGCCACGTGGCAAGCCTCACTGGGTCAGTCTACTGAGGAAGACCAGAGTGACTGGTCGAAAGCTCTAGGTGAGAGAACTTCTTTGTGTTGGACCAAAAGTTTTAACTTTAAACATGTAACTACCAACACTGAAATTCCGTGATATGTTTCAGTAATGATACCCTCAGTGCTTACCTGATGAGGAAGACTCCAGGTTGACTTGAGCCAGCTTCATGGTCGTCTGCAGTACAGAGTCCGTGACCTTGGCCAGGAAGGTCAACTTCTCGTCAGTGATGCTGGTGACATTGTCACATGGTTTGTGGTAACACTGCCGCATGGTTCCTCGGTAATTAGCTGAGGGGGCAGTAACATAACGTATGACCACTCGAATGTGTTGGGCAATAACAGATCTAGAGTTGGCCAGAGTAGTTCGTCCTGATTTTTCGGTAGTTTATGGCCATGGATGGTATTTGTTTACGAATTTTCAGCGAAACACACTAGGATTCTCGACACGTGTGTTGGGTTCTTTATAAAGTACAGGGGGTTAACGGCTACGCCCTTTTCCGAAGCAAGGTTATCTCATAATGATTCTTAATGTGGGATAGTGCATGTTGACATAAAAAGTATGCAGCTGCCTAGTTAGCTTTCGGAGAAAAAAGCTCTCGAATGAAATCTACAAACCTGTGTCTGTCACAAAGATGCACCGGAAGTAGGGGTCTCGGACCCAGAATGCCAAGCAGTCGCTTCTGCCCAGGAATTCGTAGTACCTGTCAGTCGTCGGCTGATCTGGTTTGCCTATCAAAAACAAACAAAAACACGGCTATAGGAACCTTCTTAAAAGTCGTACAGCATAAAGCACGTGTTAGGTAGATAACATTATGGTGTGTTTGCAAAGTCGCAAGATTAACAGAAAGCATCATATCAGAATACATCGTATTGTCTACTCACTATCTACTGTACGAGCAGAGATTTAGGTTTTGGTTTATCTTTGACGTCTTTTCATGCGTTTCTATCAGTCTTTCTTTTTTTGTACCGGCATTTTTTTTCCCCAGCCAAACTTTACGATGGCGCGGATACCGCCTATTTAACCTGGCCAATTTCATACTGTCCAGTAGCCACTAAAAAGATCTGCTTAGAGATTTCGTAATACGCGTATTGTCTACAAGTTTCCGTACCAGACACTGGAACATTTATGTTCAAGGCGGGAGCGGCCACGGGAGATTTCGACCTGTCCTCCCAGGTCTGCTGAAACGCGGACACCATCGCAGTCTCGTCCGGCTTGTGGATCAAAAGCAGGAAACCTCCCGAGAAATTTAAGTCAACCAACTCTTGGTGAACACTTGGGAAAAACTGCAGGGAGTGTACACATTGATCCATTAGCGAGGACAATAATCATAACTTGCATATCAATGGTGGAATGATCATTCAGAAACACAGACAAACACACACACAGACATACGTACAGAGAGTAATATCTTCGCTCACGCGGAGGTGATTGAGCCATGTTACATTTGCTGGCAAACGAATGATATTTCATTCCCCATCCTATGGCCAAATTTTAGACCAGACTTTTTTCAAAATTCTACTTTATGGTAAATGGACAACGTTTTTTCGTGATATATGCGCCACTGTAAAAACCGAAAGGGGCGAGCATGTCACAACCGGGAATCGAACCCGAGTTGTCCGCTTGGCGGTCACCAACGCTAACCATTACACTAAAAGGTCGCACGACCATTTTAGCATGGTCAGTTAGCACTGTTACACTACTCCCCCTTTTCTTTCAAGAGTCGTCCTCGAATCTTCCGAGTCCGACATCCCTGGAGCTGCCACACTTATCCTCAGTGCCAGTACTCACAGGGCCCACATCGGGCGCCACTGTAAAAACCGAAAGGGCGAGCATGTCACAACCGGGAATCGAACCCGAGTTGTCCGCTTGGCGGTCACCAACGCTAACCATTACACTAAAAGGTCGCACGACGATTTAGCATGGTCAGTTAGCACTGTTACACTACTACCCCTTTTCTGATGAAGCTAGGGTCCTTGGGATGATAGAACATGACATAACTTAATATACGTATACGCACAAATGGGAACAATTGGGGTTCAGGAACTGTTTGGACGTTCGGCTGTGGGTCATAGTTCATGATGGTCTCCAACATGAAGATTCCCTGGAATTCTGCACCTCCTGAAGACTGGAGGAAGGGGAGGAGCCAGGAGCAGACAAAGTCGTCTGAACCCTGAGGTGTTTCACATGGGGTACCGATAGCAACATTTGCGGGGGGTGCATCTGAATTAAAAAGAAATAGGAAAATTCATATCATCACTATCTTTATACATATGATTTGGTGACGGAAAGTTACAAAATAATCATCATTTTCAGTTACTACTTTTCGTTTAACATTAAGCTTATGCCTATGCTGAAGAAGTGAATAATATGAATCAACAAACTTTCTTCGTGGTCAAACGCCACAAATATGGTGGTGAAGTTCTGCTCGTTAGATGACGTCATCACCCTGGCGATTTCCAACATGGCCGCCATACCGGATCCATCGTCATCAACACCTGAAAAAAACCACGGTTTCAAACAGATAGTCTAAAAGTAAGAATTTTCGTTCAAACGCGTTCATAGGCGAACGTTATTAAATTTTACTCTCCAAGGAGAGGTTTGAACTTTCAACTTGGCTTATTTTTTCTTTTCGTGTTTCTAGGCTTTTCTAATCGGTCTTTTTTTTGTACTGGTATCTTTTGTTGTGCCATGCAGCCCCCCAAAAAAGAAGGTCCAGTAAATTTAGGCCTAAAACATACCAAAAATAAGCAAAGCCCAAACATCTGCTTGGAGAGTACACAAAGAGGGGTTAGTGACAAATTTGGTGTACTTATTTGCCTGTTACCTGGAGAGTTGTACACGGTGTCGTAATGCGCCCCCACAGCCACGATCTTGTCGTCTGAAGTTCCGTTCAGTTTCCCGCGCTTCACGCCGATGATGTTAGTGCCAGCATTGCCCTATCGGTCGTTTGAGAACAAAATTCATGCAACATTAAACATATACCATGTTTCCTGGTGTTACAACTAACCTATTGTGCTCGTATCCTGTTTAGATAACTCTGGTAGAATTCCGATATATAGTTATCATTGTACACCTCCATGGTCTAGTGTCACTAGCCGTCGCGTTTTCGCGTTTCTTTACCTTGGTTGATACCGTGACAGCCTTTCAATGGCACGTAGCACAGCGAAAACAAACAATTCATACAACAGTACAACAGTACTGTCGACAAGCACATGTATTCATACATGGCTAAAGGCCTTTAACTTTTATTTCATTTTTCTGAACGGTTGAAGTACGATAAGACAGATCTTATAAACTAAGTTCACCGTAGATTTGCAGTTTACCTTGAAAAAGCATTCAAAGGACGATCCAGCTATTCTTTTCATGTTCATCTAACAACAATAAAAACATATAAGCTAAACCGATTAACACTTAGGCAATGTTGATTTGATTATATGGATGACATCCGCGCGCAGATGAATTTTCGGCCGTTCAACCATACTGTAAATCGTACAAGACAGTTGCAAAATGAGCAAATATATAATGATCAGTTGCATATTGGAATATTGGAAAACAATACCAATTTCGTAGGAAACCAACACAAACGAAAAATATGATAATGTAAAGAAATAAAGACTAGATTATTCGCCATACCATACTCTGTGTCATTTGTTTAACCTTCATAATCACGTAGATTTCCTAATGAAAGCAACTTGTTTTTTGCCAAACTTTTTTTTATTCGCACGCTCGCATCAGTTTTGGGGTTCCCAGAGGATGCCATCCATATAATCAAATCAACATGGCCTTACTTATCAAAACTTACACTGACGCTTCCGCTAGGCGCGGTGAAGTTTTGCTCTGTGACCTCCAGACCGTACTGTCTGAACGTGGAGATGATGTGGTCCCGAGCCGCCGCCTTGCCCGAGGGGTTGGTTTCGTGATGCCGGTTGACCCCGAAAGGTCCTTCCAGGGATTGCCTCAGATTTTCCACGGAAACGTCATACATGGTCGCAGCACCTATCACAAAACACAGGGTCTGACAACATGCGACTAAAGGCGACGATTTCAACAATGGTAGCGTCTTCATCCCACATGCTATAAAGCACTGGATGCTGACGGGGTAAAATAACAAGAAACATAAAGCACAAGAGTTCTATGATCTCATACCTTCGCCAGATGATGTTAACATTTACGACTGACGAATCGTACATGTCTCTCATTGATTATGCAAATAAGATACTCATTTGCATGCATTATGTTTGTATCAGTGTATCATATTCTCCATCCAAAGGAACAAAGAAAGCTATTCTAGCATGTCCTCATAAATTATACAAATTAGGTCCTGATTTGAAAAAGGTATGTTTAATGCTCTTCACCTCCAACTAACTTCCGTTGTAGTACCATAAGAAGCCCACAGGGTGTCCAAAATCTAATAATTTTGAGATCTCGTCAAAACTTGGCCACCTACAAAGTTTCATGACAATCCATCCATAGTTAATCGAGTTGTCCCTTGGTACTCGCATAAGCCGCTACCAAAAACATAACATTCTTGGCGAAGGTAAAATGTTAGATTTGATTATAAGCCCCTTTGTGTAGCCTACGACCTGAGGACGGTTCCAATCAAATCATTCACGGGGGCCCAGGCGTTATACTAGCTATCTCAGTACTGGCAAAATAACATGTCAGGAAGTTAGAAGTAAGAAGACCATATCTGTCTTGGAAGCTAGCATCTACCAGGCTTCGGGAGGCGGCTGGAAAGAGTACAAATCGGTTTTTTTAAAGATATTAAACATGCCGAGGGAGTTGGTCTGTTAGAGAGTACATTTTGCCACAGATCAACTCCCTTGGCATGTTATTGCTTTATTTGGCCGATTTCTACTCTTTCCATCCGCCTCCCGAAGCCTGGTAGAGGCTACTTAGAAATACCTCCATGGAAATACATAAGTGGCATCGGTGAATATTAACCGTTTTTACAAGTTGCGAAGGGCCATATATCCATATATAAGTCCTTTCCAAAGGCGACACCAAACTACGATAACATGGCATTGTAACTCAACTGTAACTAACTGTTGACAACATGGGGGAAAAAGTTAAAATCCCCTCCCTTCCCCATGTTGTTCACAGGCAGGAAGTCGCCAGAACTGTGCCCTACGCGTTTGGGGGGACGTTTTTGTACTTTGGGGGCGGATCCCATAGACAACACAACTAACGTCGTTACGGCTGATATACTGAACATTAATAGCTATGAAACAGTTGTATATAATCATGATATGAGACAAGGACTGTTACGTTAGCTATCGCTAGATTTACACACGTTTTCTACCCGGAAGTTTTAACCGTTGGTGGCGTTACAACAGAGAATACTAGTGCTAACAGCTAGGAACACCACACACCACACAGTCACACTCTGAGTAGGTAAAAAATCTTACCACTTTGTAGCCAGAGCGCAAAGAACAACAAAGGTAGTCCGAAATGGATCGCCATGTTTTCCAAACGTGTTTCAAGTCGCGACCGCCGGTACGGTGTCTAGATACTAGCTGTCTACACTACTGACAACCAGTCTGTCTGCACAACGAGAGTTCACGGTTCAGCAGCGATGATATGAAGGAAATCATGTGTATGACGAAGTCAACAAGCGACAAGCACGCACTTCCTGTATACGAGGAAACGGCGTTCATGTTTATTCATCGCATGTTTCACTAGTTTACAGGCGACTTGCAACGTAAACCCCTATGGACAAAGCGGGGGGGGGGGAAGTGCGAGTGATATGAAGACTTAGCAAGGACATTCTGAGGTAACACAGATTGCATCGAAGGGGGAAGAACATGATAAAAACTGTGACCCAATTGTCGAAAATTGGTGACGCCCTGGGGGAACACATTTTTACAGAGACATGTTGCTGGCATGCTCTCATGACGTCAATTCACGGAACTTCCAGATCTGATAGCACAGTCTCGGGGGCTCAAGCCGTCTAGGGACCCATCAGAAACCTACACGAGTTAGCCCCCACCCCTACTAAAGACCATGTGACACCAAGGAGGTTTATACCAGTCTATGGGCCGATCAGCAAACCTTCACTCCTTCACGAGTTAGCCCCCATACCCCAATCAAAGACTCCCCTATAATAAACTCCTTGGTGACACACTGAAATGTAACAGGTCCTGTAAATAGTCAAACGTGATGTATTATTCAATGAACAAAGACGTTTTGGACCCAAATTTAACTCTTTTGATGTTAGGGAACATTGAATCTTGCAAATCATTCTTACAGCATGGACGATAGGCCACCGCGTTTTTGTTGGAATTGCTGTTAAAAGTAACTGAACACACGTACACTGTGCACTCCGTACAAGATTGCCGAGAATCAAAGCGTACGCTGAACCAAGGAGTTATGGCAGTTTTTGTTGTCTCGGCGAGCGTGACGGCCGATTCAGCCCTGAACCCGGCACCACGGATCACAAGTAACGTTCTTTCGAGAAGCATACAAGACATCGTGACTACATACAATTGAAAGTTCTGAATGTTTGCTTTTGTTTGCTTCTCAAATGAACCATCCCGGAGTGAGTGGTGCCAAGTTCTGAATCAGCTCGCCGTGATGTCGCAGGCAGAATTTTTTTTAAATCGGATTAATTTAACTGGCTTTAGAAATTATAGCCTCTACCAGGCTTCGGGAGACCTCTTGTGCGGCAAAATGTACTCTCTAGTGGACCAACTCCATCGGCATGTTATCTCTTTATCATTGACCGATCTCTACTCTTTCCAGCCGCCTCCCGAAGCCTGGTAGAGGCTAGGAAGATTAGAAATCAAGAACAGGAAGGATGATTTGCAAAAGCGAGTGTGGGAAACTGTTCTCTCTAGCGGACCAACTCCCTTGGCATGTTATCTCTATTTGGCCAGTTTTTTTTTAAATCTTTCCAGCCGCCTCCCGAAGCCTGGTAGAGACTAAGAAAGCCTGGTTCAGAATCACAGCTACTCTACATTACTGGAGTCCAGCCTTGTTAGCTTTAGTCCGCTCCCCAAATTGTTGGCTGGGGAGCGGATTTTGGGGAGCTCCAAGGCTGGACTCCAGGCTAACTCTGCATAACATATTCAGTGGGCGTGGCCAAGTTTCAGACATGGCAAAGTCCATTCGTCGAGTCGGCTCCGAACCAGGTTGATACACGAAATCGTCACCTGTCGAGGCCCTGTGTACTACAGAAATTATCAGTATTTATCTTAAAATAGCACAAGTATACGTGTAACCTGTAGGATTAACGTTGACGGAAACAGCGGCAGCTCAGTATTTGACTTCAAGCCTGGGAGTCGTTTCAATATAAGCTAATAATCATGCATGGGAGAACGCCTCTTGCACGAACTAGCGATAGTCTCACCTGTTGACGAGGACGACACCAGGCCGGCCAGTACAGCGATGACTGATATAGACAATGTCATGAACACAGACATCACGATAAAGTAAAGACAGCTTCCGTAGGTAGCTAGTCCAAACCGCTTCCTTATAACTTTCACGTCGTTCTTGTGTTGAATCCGAACGCTGGGATACTCACCAATGGAATGGAGGGATATGGAGGGGGATATGACATAAATACTATCAGTGACCAACTAATAGGTTTTTAGTATGGGGAGGTCAAAGTACAATTAGCCCGAGAAATGAAAGGGTCGTGCCCTACTTAAAGCTGTGTGGGACTGTGATTGATTTATGTTTAGGTCACCAGGAAGGGCCATATACTGTGGGTGCATGCACGGTACAATCTCAGTTCTTCATATGAATGAAGCAATGCCTCTTTGTACAAGGAAACAGGGCATAGATACAATTGGGCCAGGAGCAAGGGTGGGGAATGCTGACGTAGTGGTAGTGGTAAGTGGGATCTAGAAACAACACAAGCCAAGGCTCCACGGCATGTAGAATGAAAGAAAATACGATGGCAGAAATATTACAACTACTAATAAGTTATTTTGGCTATATTAGACTACTAGTATTTCTATATCAATGGTAACCTCAACAAACACATAATAAACACAATTACGTTCATCGCCACTTGTGATTTTAATACAATTGACATATTTTCCACAGTTGATCGTTGATAATGATAATAATATCTTCAGTGTTAAGATATATTACCAAGGAAATCGCTTACCTGGGAAATATTCTTATGTTATGATTACAAATTGGCACAGTTAGGAAACTTGCAGAATTAAAACGATCTACGTTCATATTTTTGTATCTGGATATTGCCTTTCCTCTATAGTGTCGGTTAGGGGAGCTTTTCCTTAAAGACTTGGAGATATCTTCAAGACATCCGGCCAAGTTGGATGGGTGTGCTCCTAGCGGGGGATGAGTGTGCGTCCTCGAAAGGTTCCTGAATGATGGCTTCCCTGTCCCCCTGTATGATGGCTTCCTGCTCAGCGTTCTTCCGCTGTCTACGCTTGTAGATCACTACCCCGACCACGATGCAGGCTAGTAAAACCCCGCAGGCAACGGCGATCCACACCGCCTTGCTCTTCCCCGCGGGGACCACGCAAACCCGCCCGGGGTTGTCGCCACGAGCGGCCGACTGGTCCTCGTACCCGTCCCGGCACTGGCAGGTAAAGGATCCCACCGTGTTCGTACACGACGCCTTGTCCGAACAGTCGTTGTGCTGGGGGGCGGCACACTCGTCCATGTCCGTCACATCGAACAGGTTCAAGTCGATGTTCAATTCTGTCCCGTTCTTATATTCCAGAGCTTCACGGAACGCCGCTATAACCTCCTCCTGACCTTCCTCTGCTGACTGCAAGATGTGGACCTGTAAGGGATGAATGGACACTCACTCTAGTACTTGGAACTGAACTGAACTGAAAGAGCCACATGCAATCATTATAAATTGGCTTATCGTTTGAACAGTGGAAGAGAGAGGGAGAGAGAGAGAGGGAGGGAGAAAGAGACAGAGAGAGAGACGGAGAGAGAGGCAGAGAGAGAATGAAACAGAGAGAGAGAGACAGACAGAGACAGACAGAGAGACAGACAAGAAAAGAACTAGAATACCAAGTAAAGAAGGCTTAAGTAACAAACCTTCAGGTCAGTAATCACACTCCCCGCCCGGAAGCCCAGGACTGTGGCTCCCTGGAAGACCTCCGAGATGTTAGAAATCCGGAAGAGATCCTGGACGGTGTCCGTCACCTCGGCGGCCAGGGCCACGTACTCCGTACTCTGGTTCTTCCTCAGGGCGTCTGAGAACGGGCGGGACTTGAGGCGGATGGATAACTTGTACGTCCGACTGGCCTCGCACTTCCCACGGTAACCCTTGAACCCAGGCTTGCACTCTGTACAAGACAACGATAATCTACTTATTAAAATATGGTTAAAGATATACACTCTAGCCCAATACAGACAGAGCTAAGTCCGTGATTATATCATATAATACAAATCGCAAAACACATTTCTAAACCAATACAGAAAATCATGTTCTATTCAAAATGTTAATCTTAATGATCTTTACATGTACTACTGCCATCCCAGGGTCGGTCAAACGTAGCTAGTTTGCTGGGTCTAGCTACGTCACATTCGGAAAGAATAGTCAAAGTGTCGTCGTTTATCTCGTGACTTCCCTTTATTGTGTAAGCTAAAATATGGATCTTTATTATCTGAAGATTGTAATTAAAAGCAAGTATTTTACCTACTGCACAGGATCCACAGCTGAGCTGGCATGAATCCAGCATCCATGTGGGGTTAGTTTCACACTCCCCGTCAGACGCCCAGGCCGGGCACAGAGCGTTGTCGTCTTTACAACCTTGGGGAAACACAAAGGTTAGATACACCGTCGTTTGCACGACAATACAACTGCCAGGATCTTCGTTTTCTGTTGAAAATCTTAACAAAAACACGTACTAATTTTCGAAAGGATGTATTACTCAGGCATGTATTTCGTACGTCTTTCTTGTGGTGCGCGTTTTTCTCTGTTCGCATCGCAGTACGTATAAGTCATAATAAAAGATATAGAAAGACGTGGAAAAACATTCGGATCCATTCACATCTGCTTGGAGATTGGCACTGTAAAGAGATGGCATGGGCTTCCACGTACTTTTGACCAACAATTGAAGTGACTGTTAGTATAAGATCAAGCGTTAAAACTTGAAGCATTCGTCAAATCGGAAATTTTACATAAATTTTGCGTTTGGAAATGTCCTATTATCAGATCGTTTTGGCCACGCCATATGTGAGATATGGAATTATATTTACCCGTTGGTGTTGTTGGCACTTCGCAGGCGTTACAGCTCAGGCGGCAGGCCACCATCATGTACCGGGGATTCTGGTCACACTCCCCGTCAGCCGCCCAGTCCTCACACCGGTGGTAGTAGTCCATACAGAAATCTGAGCAAAACAACAACCAGGTCTCGGGATGTAGTTAGAAATTAAACTGTTCTCCAACTCAGAAAAAAAATGGACTCATCGGAATTATCGTCTGGTCTTCACCAGCTATCTGACCCAAGTGCTGTAGACACATGATTTTTCCCACTTGTGAGGTCAGCACTGAGTCAAAGTCGGTACCGCCTCCCGTATGTGGATTTCCACCTTGCTTAAAAAGCGCAACTTGAAGTCGTAAAAAAACATATATATTGGCCAGCACGGGGGTCGAACCCGCGACCTTCGCGTTATCAGCACGACGCTCTAACCAACTGAGCTAACCGGCCAGTACACCACATACAGCTCTAACTCTAGTCCAGAATTGGGATTACCAACCACCATACGGTATGTTATGAGCGGGTCGGTAGAACGTACTGTACCTGCGCCAAACCACGGTTTCTGTTGGGTATTTGGTCAGCTATGCATAAGAATTTTCTTCGTTGAATAAGATATCTTTTCCGACACAGCATTTGAAAACTTCAGACGGAATATCATACGGGAACACGACCTGAAGCAAACGGTACGTTCTGTAGAAGTGTTCTACATATTACACTCCGAATTTCGTGCAGGTTCAGTACGTTCTGTCAACGTGCTTATCAATTATGACGATATCACAAAACAATTATATACCACCGCGTCCAAAATGCTCCCTTACTTTCCCACTATCTACTACCACGAGAAAACAATTTTACTACTGAAATCAAAGAACCCACATATTATACGAGGAAGAAGTGGTTAAATTCGTCTTCCATTGCCTCAAAAGAAGAAGTCAAACCCAGCAAAACTAGTACCATGTAGAATGTAGTATAATTATGTACGTAGTCCCATTGTACCTTTGCATTTTCTTTTTTCATACATGTTGTTTGTACCTGCAATTAGCCCTCGGGCATTTATTTACAATAAACTAAACTATGTTATGTAGTTGTACCTTGTGCGCAGGTATCACAGCTCTTCCTGCACGCCCCCAGCATGTATCCCTCGTTCCGCCCGCACTCCCCGGCCGCCGCCCAGTCCGGACACTGGTCATGGTAGTCTAGACACAAGTCTGGTGGGAGGTACGGGTCATCATCAAATGTTGAACTTTCTTTCTTAATAAACAGTAATGTTGATTCGCTGAAATTCTATTCTTTTATACACAGAAACATAAAACTTCATAGTTACTTCCGTTAATCTCTAAGCAGATCATAAGGTGACCAGGCAGTATCCATTTAGCCTCTACCAGGCTTCGGAAGGCGGCTGGAAAGAGTAAAAAATCGGCCAAATAGAGAGATAGCATGCCAGGGGAGTTAGTCTGCTCCCGAGTGTAGCAAAATGTTCTCTCTAGCGGACCAACTCCCTCGCCGTGTTATCTCTCTATTTGACCGGCCGATTTCTACTCTTTCCAGCCGCGTCCCGAAGCCTGGTAGAGGCTAGTATCCATTGGCTAGATTAGTGTCCGGATCCATTACCCACCGAATGGACGCAGCTCTGGCCAATAGATACTGCTTTGCCACCGTACGATCTGCTTGGATATTAACTTCCGTAAGAGAGCGATATGTGCGTCTGAAAATAACCTATAAACATAAACACATATGTTGCATCTCGTCCCTCGGATAGGACGTTAAATGGAGGTCCCGTGTTTGGGAGAGCCACACCCCATGCACGTTAAAGAACCCACCGCACTTATCGATAAGAGTAGGGGATCTTCCCGGTGTGAGTGGTTCAAAACTTACAGTCCGGTCTTACGCAGCTTGTACATGTGCGCACATGTACAAAACTGGTGTGTTACGCCTGAAGCACGGTGCCTGAAGGCGGTTTACCGGTTATGCGAAACAAACAAAACAAACAAAATGGTGCCAGGATGCATTGTATGCCAGCCTTTTTAGCTTTAATACGTTCTCTCTTCCCCGCCAAAAAGACACATTTTCTATCCGCCTGTCATTTCAGTATTTGTTCAGAATATGTTTTGGCATGGGAGCGACAAAGCGTACTGCAGCCTAAAAGGCTGGCATCCAGGCTATGTGCAGAAAGGTGGCCTCCAGATACTACTAGTAGTACCTGCGGAGCAGGAGTCCATGTTGACCTGAGCAAGTCTTAGAGTCGTCTGCACCACGGCGTTCGTGACCTTGGCCAGGAAGGTCAACTTCTCGTCAGTGATGCTGGTGACGTTGTCACATGGGTTGTGGTAACACTGCCGCATAGTTCCTCGGTAATTAGCTGAAATTCAATGGTTTAGTGGGGATGCATATGTTATGAGAATTCATTCTGACAGATCTGATATTATTTTGCGGCAACCATTCATGACAGTTCTAACACACGTAAACTATAGTCATTTTAGCGATGAATATATTTTCATGAATCATGGTCGAACAAAACACCTACAATGTATAATACTAGCACTATTCTGTGCCCTATAACGCTGTACTTTCTATCGGACTTAAGTATCTCAGAATAGCTGTGTGTATGAATGATTATGTTGACCGTAAAACTATTGCGATTTATTTTAGCTTGTGTAGCAAATGTTTAATGCTTTATTGTCAATTTCTGTGATATCACTTCATCAATTCAGCCTTCGGGCTGATGCGACTGTTGTGATATACATGTAGCTATATAGTTGACGTCATAAAAGGGAGGGAAGTTACTAACCTGTATCTGTCAAAGACACACATCGGAAGTACGGGGCTTTTGCCCAAAACGGCAGACAGTCACTTGGCCCGAAGATGTAAGAGCCAGCTGCTGCTCTGCCTAAGAAATAGATTCAACCTCAGCTTAGTAATTACAATCTACACGAAATACCACTAACGGTTGTAGACACAATCTTTTTTGCAATAACATTAACAATACTCTCAACCAAACTCAGTACAATTCATTCATGACGTTTGTAGCACTGTAAATTGTTCTTTGACATTAAAAAGTAGATCCGGGAAAAGATTATGATTTTAACCCTAGCCTGAGTGACATCCTATCTAGTTTGCCAGTGTTCCCGTAGACTAAATAGGATGTCACCCAGGTAATGGTAATTTTAGCAGTGCCGGTATAGGATATTGGGATATTTGTTCGTTTCGACAATTTTGACTGGAGTACTGCTTCTCGCCGATATATGTAGCCATAGTAGCGAAATCCCAATATCCTATGTGTTACCAACCTGAATAAATCATTTTCAGAAGTGCCGGTATATGTAAAATCCGCTAAGAACAGAGTTTGGGGTACCTTCCGATTGTACCGTGACGTCCAGTAACTTGGCCGCGGCGGGTTCCTGTGTGGTCTCCGCCCATGTCTGCTGTAACGCCGTCACCAGCTCTGCCTCGTCAGGCTTGTGGATCAACATGAGGAAGTTTCCCGACATGTTGGCGGTTGTGGAGTCAAGGTACGCGTTTGGGTACATCTACAAAGGACAACAAAACCACTAGCGAGTTAGCAACAAACTGCAGCGTACCGACTCGCGTGATTGGTAACTTCTAGGCAGCTGCACAGTTACTGGTATAAATAAATGAAGTTCTCTCACCTACAGTTTTCGACCAGTCCCTCTTTTCTTCCTCAGTAGACTGACCCATTAAGGCTTGTCACTGTACTCGCGACGGGGACCGACATCGTCTACCAGATACCTTTCACCCAGTGTTGACGCCACACTTCAAAGAAGCCACGTGACAAGTCTCACTGGGTCAGTCTACTGAGGACGACCAGAGTGACTGGTCGAAAGCTCTAGGTGAGTGAATTTTTTGTGTTGGACCAAGTTTTAAGTCTAAACATGTAACTACCAACAGAGATGAGCTTTCATGTTAGTAAAATGAATTAATATTTTCGTACCACTTGGAATCTTTCAGGAAAGTATTGCACGTATGTCCGCGGGTCATAGTTCATGATGGTCTCCAACATGAAGATTCCCTGGAATTCTGGACCTCCTGAAGACTGGAGGAAGGGGAGGAGCCAGGAGCAGACAAAGTCGTCCGACCCGAGCTTGGTCTGACAGGGGTTGATGGAGACGTCAAGGGGGGAGACACCGTGAACTGAGGAGAGAACAAGTAGACAGTTTTTATTATCAGGGGTGCCAGAGTATACAGTACTCTCCAAGCAGAGATTTGGGTTTGGGGTTATTTTTAGCGTTTTTAGGCTTTTTTTATCGGGGTTTTTCGTTTGCACTGAATTTTTTCCCCCCATCAAACCCGAAAAAAATTCAGTGCAAAAGAGAAACCCCGATAAAAAGGCTAAAAACACGCTAAGAATAACCCCAAACCCAAACCTATGCTTGGAGAGTAAGTATACAGTGCAATTTTAAGGGATACAGTACAATCGTATTAGTATACAGTGCAACTTTACGGAATGTAGAGGCAATGGTATTAGTATATAGTTCAATTTTACGGAATACAGTGCAATCGTATATTAGTATACAGTGCAATTTTACTAGTATTACAACGGTACATTATGTGTTTGTTTGTTTGTTTGTTTGTTTTTCAAGACTACATATCTTAAAAGAGTCAAAGGCCTTCAAACTATCGACAAATCAAGTAAGAACAAACCTTCGCTCTTGTCGAACGCCACAAATATGGTGGTGTAATTCTGTTGACTACATGACGTCATCACCCTGACGATCTCTAGCAAGGCCGCCATTCCGGATCCGTCATCATTAACACCTGAAACACGGGCATGGTTATCTCCAAGCAGATACTGGGTGTAACGTTTCCCGTTCTTCCCTATCCTTTACAATATCTGATTGGAGTCGTTTAGAATATCTACACACATGCACGTTCCATATTTCTAACTTTTTCACGACAAAACGGATGTGGTAGAAACCCTCAAAGCTATTAAAGGGTGCCTTACATGACAGACGATGTCTAGAATACTTCTGGAATAGCGGCATGTATTTTTTAGAGGGGGGCGCTGATACGCCATTTTTTTACACGGGCTAAAGGGTTTCCAATGACCGCCATAGGGAGGTAAGCCGCATGGGGAGTTTGGCCACTCTCTCTCCGCAACATAACTCGGATGTCGATAGAAATAATTGCTGGTTTACGTTACCTGGAGAGTTGGACACGGTGTCGTAATGCGCCCCCACAGCCACAATCTTGTCGCCTGAAGTTCCGTTCAGTTTCCCGCGCTTCACGCCGATGATGTTGGTGCCTCTTTCCTGCAATTGTGCATGGTTAAATTTTTTCAACCCTTCGTCGTTTCTTCTAGCTACCTGCTTTATTAGCCTCCTTCTCAGACTTCTAGGGCGCGGCTTTACTTTCGGCGAGCGACCGTCTCTCCCCGGCAAAATTCCCTCGGCATAGCTGGCGTCGCTCACCGAAAAAAATAAAGCTGTACCCTAGAAGTCTGCGAAGGAGGCTACTGCTTTCCTAGGTTCTCTTCATGGATACAAATCGGAGAGAGAACCGCTAGGAGCGCTATTCAGTAAAGCCCTACTGTCAATCTCAAGAAAAAAATCCTTTGCCATGAATGACGTTTGCCAAGAATACTCACATCCAGGTTTCCCCCCGGCCCAGTGAAGTTCTGAACAGTAACTTCCAAGCCGTACTCTTCAAACACATCTTTGATGTGTGTCCTGGCCGCTGCCTTTCCTGAGGGGTTCGTTAGGTGGTGCCTGATGACGCCGAAAGGTCCTTGTAGAGAGTCCTTCAGAGCTCTCACCGAGACTTCAGGAATATCGGCGTGGACAACTCCAACTACAGTGTGAGAGACATTTTAGTGGCTGTTTTAGTGTTGACTTTGAAGTTAAAAAAAAAAAAACACTACTATATTTGGGAAAGTTTGGGAGCGAATGTGATATGTCTACTTCTCTATCGACAAACTATAACTGAAGTAGCTTTCATAGTAAACCGGCATTCGTTTGCAGTTCTCCCTTAAAACTTTGTGTTTTCATGTTTACCGGAGGAAAACGTTGTTTTTGCTCAGTTTCTTCCTCTTCTTCTCCAACAAAACAATAAGGTCAATGACCTGCACCAGACGTCTGTCACCATGGTAACTAGTGTTGGGTTACATCATGTTGCAATTTATAGTAGGAGGGATTTAGACTGCTGTCAAAATATATATGAATGCGTTAGAGCAGACCATATGCGAAAGTAAACATTATGCATTTGCTTTGCAAATGTTACCTTTCTAGTTTTTATTGTTTTTTATTGCTATTTTTTTGGTACCGTGTTCTGATGAGTTCCAAAATGTACAACACTGCAGCCAAAGTACGAGAGACTCCGAGAGATCATGCTCAAGATTATCATTCAGACACGACAAATGGGAAAAGCTGGAACAAAAAGCCAGTGGGATTCCTGCACTAGAGGAGTTGTTTACTACAACAGTAGCGGTAGCAGTCTGCAGATGTCGGGGGGAAGTCAGGCCGGATGTCCCGTGACTGACGGGAGTCTGCCACCTGATTAGTACGCTGGCTTATCTCCAAGCATATGTTTGGAAGGGTAAACCACTATATGTCTGCCTGTAATATTTTGTCAACACGGTACTCTGCGCTGAAAAACGGACAGTAGAAAGATATAGGAAGATGGGATGATTCTTTAGCCTCTACCAGGCTTCGGGAGCGGCTGGAAAGAGTAGAGAGATAGCGTGCCAGAGTGCGGAAAACATAGCCTGGGTACCATCCGGATTTTGGCTTCGCAACGTTTTTCGAGCGGCAAATGTACTCTCAAGCGAACCAACTCCCCTGGCATGTTATCTCTCTATTTGGCCAAATGTTTCCAACCGCCCCCCGAAGCCTGGTAGAGACTATTATAATGATTCTTAATGTAAAGAAACACTCCACCGCCACGACTGAAAAATACATATCTTCTTGGTAACAGTAGGCCATGAATGATGCAAAACCCCGGCCCGTAGCGACTGTTTAATTTGGCTTGACAAAAAACAGGGGAACGTCGTTCATTATACCGGCTGAGTGAGCTGCAAATTACGCTGGAAAACGTGTCCAGAGAATTTGTTTCGCATCATTAGTGCTACCGACTGATGACATATCTTGACCTGTCCCTATCTTCTGTTCTGATCGCAAGTTTGCAAATCATTGAGAGGGCCCCCATAGAGCCTGTACGTGAAAAGACGGAGTGAGGAAAGTTTTGCCGTGCTTGTGCGAGGATCAGTCAACGCAGCTGGATCAACCCGGCTTTCAACACGGGACACCGGGGCCAGGACAGATGACCTCGAGCTTCATTCATGGACATGCTAGCATGGGGGAGGCGGATCATTTGCATCTTGCATTTAACTCATTTGCTGTTTTCTTAATTAAAGTACAGTTTGTTTGAGCCTTTAATTTGTTTATGCAAGAAAGACTAAGTCTACACAGTCTATTATAGCATTGCAAAAACAGGATTCTTCTAAAGATATTTATTTTTGCTTTGAAGAAAGTTGTATAAGTGGACGGGTCAGATAAGGGAAGATAAGAGATGTTTCTCTTCGGTGACGTGGTACATAAGTAGTTGGGTTTTTGTAAGCGACCACTGACTTTCTGTGCACGTTGTAGTGTCTGGGTCTGGTTAGTATTTACAAAAACCACCGGCACAGGATCATCTTTACGCCAAGGAACCGTTAGTTTATTCTCACCCCTCTATCTACTGATCTATCCCTGGAACCGGTCTTCCACACCTCCATTTTGTTTTGTCTGTCTTTCCAACGAAAAATATCTCTTTCAACTTGACAATGCATGAGAATTCCTCGCGTCTGAGTAGAGCATACAAAACGGGACTTACCTATTTGTATGGATATTGCAGACAAGGCAAAGACCGGCCACAGACTTCCAAACTGCCTCCCCATGGCTTGCTGCAGCGCCGTGCCTAATTTCTAACGCCCACGAGTTGCTTCCTCTCCTCTCTGTGCATAGTTCAGCGATGTTTGGACGTAAGCACGGTCACGTGAGCGCCCCCGAAAAAGTGGCCAAAGAAGCTCCTGAGGGACTGCAGCCACCGCCGATGTACCGTAGCCCTTTTGTCAGTGAAAATAGTTTCAAGAACTCCTTTGTTTGGTTCTATAGCGACTGTAAAGAGCTGAGTCGTGTTTGCGATTGCTCTGTGTAGAAAGGTCGATCGTCTTCAATGGCTGTTGGGCCTGGCAGCAAGCGAGGTGATGCCCATCTGGCCGTCAGTCAACATTTAGACACTTTTAGACAGTGTATGTCTCCAACTCAACCGTTAGTTGGCAAAGGGACAAGACTAGATGCGTAAGCAAGAAATGAGACGAACAGGAAGGCGACAGTCTTTTGGACGAGCGCTCTTTAAAATTTACTGAGAAATTCTAGACTGGGCCGTGTGCGTCCTTCGAGACTTTGGGCTAACTTGAGGGTACTGCGTCTCGGAATTTGTACTACTAGTACACAAAACAACCTAGAAAGTTTCTTTGTAGAGAGGCTCCTATGGTGAGAACCTTACGTAACTACAGTGCAAAAACATCTGAATTTTTCTTCCCGACTTTAAGCAAAGGTTACCCTCAAACTGTCAAAGTGTGCGTCTGTAAACCCCCTTGTTTGGCCCTACCAGGAGCTCACCAACATCTGTTTCAAATGCAGAGGGCAGACAAAGGGGCAATGGCCTGTTCGAGGGGAAGTTCGTTGTAGATGGGCGTATATCCAGGCCAACCGGTACTCACTAAGCAGAGATTTGGGTTTTGGCTTATTTTTGGCGATAAAAAAAAGCTAAGTTTTGGTAAAATACGCGTACGCCAAATAAGCCCAAACCCAAACCTCTGCTTGAAGAGTAGGTAACCGGTGCATCAGACGACCCTATCCGCAGCCTATCCCTGAATTGATGTTGTATTAAAGGCACTCTATGTAGTTTTTTGCGCAAAAAATTGAAATATTCTAATTATACTAAATTTCGGTGTTATTAGCAGTTACTATCACTTTTCAACACATTTGTGTCATTATTTCACATTTTTTTCGTATATTTTGTCCGTTCAAACAGCCCTTCTTCAGTTCCCGGTGCCACCGGTTTGCTCTGAGGACAACAACAACAACAGACAGGGGTTGCCCCCTAGGGTGGCTAATTGGCCCGGGCATGCCAGGCTTGATAGACAGGGGCAGATGTCACAAGATATACCCTCCTTAGAAAAAACTCATATCTTTCACATGAGGTGGAATATAATCATCAACTTAGAGTATTTTGTTGGGCATGAATAAACTGTGGTCATTATCCCCTCAAAAGAGATAAAAAATCTGGTAAACGATTAGGTATTTCAGAAACTGGTAAGCTATCAACTGACACCCCACTGGGATGTAGGTCAAACCACTGGGAGTGGACAATACCATATGTGTGGTTTGGCCAGAGGTTGAATAGAAGATCATTCACAGTTTTCTAAGCTTCTAAGGAGCAAGGATGTTGTATTTTTTGCTGTGGAGTATAATTTTGGAATACTAATGGGTTAAGCCAATGTACTATGTAAAGAAAAGAATAAGAAATATACTTTTTGTATTGTCAAAAAACTACATAGAGTGACTTTAAAGTTGGTATGTGTCCGGTCAAGGACATTTATATGTCCTTGACTCTGGTCAAGGTCTGGTAGATACGGATGAGTCACGGTTGCTCTTGACCTTGGAGATCACACTAGGCTACAGGATGTCTCTCTGGGATGTCTCCATGAAGAACAGGTTGCCTTGTAACCACATCACCATAAACTGCCGGTATCTCTGCGCAACTGCTGTACCCTTCGCGGGCCGATACTAGTCTGGCATCCAGGGTACAACTGCTGGCTCAGCTTATAGCCTGACTAAGCCGTGCTCCTGGCCGAGACCTTGTGTAACACTTCTGGGGCAATGTGGCGATTAGCGTAATTTTTACGGTGTTGGTTTCAATTACGTACTCTGCAGAAAGACCAGTAGGAGAGACAGGATATCAGAAATGTCTAGTATGCTCATTATGTCCAGTATGCTCAATGTACCACTAGAGAACAACTGCTATGTGGGCACCGTGGTGAGAGGAAAAGTGCAGGTAGACAACGTCTAGTTGGGCGGTGAAAAACTCTCTCCCCGAAAAAACTCCCTCGGCGGCAAAACCTTCCCTTCGCGGCATAAGCCGCGTCGCTCCCCGAAAAAGAAAATTAACGCCGCCGCCCCAAAAGCCTGCGAAGGAGGCTAGCCTCTCACACGTACTCCTCCTGGCCCTCCAGTCATTGGTAGAACCCGCTACACAGGTACAGTAGGTACTAGCTAGACATTCAGTCCTGGGACACTGACACAGAAACCGGGACACTTAACTTCTGGACAACAGGTGCGCATTTGCGTAGGGTAATTCTACTTTGGGTAGGGGGCAGATAGTGTTGGGGTTAATGACCTCCGCCCCAAGGGGGCGGTAACCTTCGGGCGGTAAGGGGCCAGAAATTTCGTGAAATATCTAGCTGAAGTGAAGGGCATTGGAGGAAGAGATATGAAATCAACTTGAGCAATTAAGTCCATTTCATGTGTCCCCCTAGGTGTTTTTTCTGTCAAGGTAGGTAGTCAGTAAAACTGGCCCTACCACTATGATAAATGTTACGATCTCCCCTCTTGATGGTCATAACAAAACACTCTCAGTTAAAGCCTGCATGAAGCTCCAGTTTATTTTCACAGATTTACATCAATAAATCAAAACGAAAGAAATGCTGCATACAACATTTACATTTATAAACAATACAAACCATAATGCTACAGCTGTAGAAAATAAGGGATGTAACACTACTGATTCTGAAAAGCCAGTCGCTACTAGTTTGGAGCATACATTCACGTTTTCAACACACAATCCTGTGTCCGCACGTTCACATGCCAGAATAAGTACGTTTCTATGCTCCTGATATTTTCCACTTATCATTTACCATTGTTACATATTCTCTGACTGGGGTCTTTACAACTGAGCAGCCGATATAGACAACAGTTCACATACACATGCCGTCTTCTATCACAACAGAATGTGCCCATCTTAAACTTTGATTTTTTTTTTGCCAATAAGGTTTTATACATAGTATCTGGGTGGTTTTTATTTACACAATTTGGCAAAAGGCACAAGTTAGTCAGACAACTCGGCGGTAAGCTACCATGGCAAAAAAGTAAAACGTTGCAGCAACAACATGAGCATTTTGCTACATATTATCTCTACATAGATGGTAGAATGAAAAAGCTTGCTTTGGATTTTTGAAAATAGTGCTTCTGGTGGTGAACTTGAAGTTGTAGCAAGTACAGTCATGGCAAAGCTTTATCAATAGTACGGAGTACAATGGGGCCATTATAAAACATGTGGTTGGGGAAAACTTCAAGCTTACAAAAAAGCTCTAACTACTCTCCCAAATCACATACTGGAAGAGTGCATTTCCAATTTTTCCCCTCAATACCAAGCAATGGTAAATCTTTTAAACGGGGGTCAAAACAATCGCAAATCTGGACAAAATATCGACATGGCATCTGTTCATGGGTCCAGTATGCCTTGTGTTCTTCTTGTTTTTCTGGTGTTAGACTTGGAATTTCTAGAATAATAGCCTAGTCATACGAAATACATAAATTCTTACACCAAACACGTATAAAACTGTCCTCATGTATGGCATGCATATCTGTACTACATCAAATTTTCAAACAATACTAAAATGAGGGGGTGGGGGGTGGGGGGTGAGCCAATTTCTTTGGGAAGTGCACATTTCCGCTAATATCTGCATTACCAAACTTCACCCCCACATCTGTAATTGCACACCTGTAAATTTATGACACTTTCATTCCGGCAATATTATACCTTTCAACTAGAACTTGAAAGATGAGTATCCTGTATAAATTACTTCTGGTTAATATCTATATCCCATTAAGGCAATTACAAATATGGTGACACAACAGACTTTACACATTATACACCTATCAATGTTAAATCCTTATTGTACACATTTTTTATCATTTCTGTACATCCTGGTTATTTCTGTACAAACTGCATGATTCCGATGTGATTTGGAACAGTCCTTCCTCGGAATTTATAAACATTGACCCTCGGTGAAGTCCTAGGGTTTTAGATGCAGTGCAGTATGATGTTAGGTAACTATTGAAAAAGAAAAGATTGCTAATGTTATGGCAGTGAGTTCAGTGATGCCCTCGCCTTGTTTCAAGATTTTCTCAACATGAAAAGAAGTTCCGAAAGGCCCTATCCCTTTTTCTTTACCAAGCACAACTGTCATACCATTTCTACGATGTCCTTTTTGTCACAAGCAGAAAGCTCAAGTCGGTAAGTTTGCTAAGTGTTGTCAATGAGCCAGCAAAGTACTACGTATCAGAAAAAACAATTGCCCTCTCTTAGCACATTACACAACAGAAGAAGGGTGTAGATTCAATATTTACATCACAAGTGCCACCGTCCTTCTGAAGCAACCATAATGTTAACATATTGGTCTTTAAACTTTAAACGTAAAAAAAAAAGGAAGAGATAAAACCACAACCAAAAGGATTCCTGAGAAATATCAGCTTATAGACATGGTCCTCTGGACAAGAACAGTACAATAATGACTTATCTACAATCACTCCAAGTACATTTAATGGATTTGTTGAAGATGACAACAAACAACAGTCTCGTGGTACTCACAGTTCAATCGCTAAGTGTACAGCTGTCTTTAGATTTAGCACAAACGCACACAAACATTTTCTCTTGCGCTTAGTTCTGTGCCATTTGAAGCCCTTTTGAAAGCAAACATAAAAATTTCAGATCTGTGGTTTTTAATGAAACCCTTCTCAATACACACACAACTACAGTTTTCCCTGTACTCAAAAAGAATTGTATATGCACAGTTGATTTTTCCACTTCCAGAACATACAGCTGTATATACCTTACATCTCTATGATTCTAGTGTCTTCAATAAAACTGTAAAAAAGAGCTTGATGAAAAGTAGATGCCAGAGGGCTTTACATCAAATGCGCACATTTGACACAATCTGACACTTTTCCTACAGCCACTATCTTTGTTGATGAAATATCACAGTTCTATATGCACCTTTGTGCAATCACTACTGTTAACGTTTGTTACAACTTAATAGAAAGAGACCACGCCATTTCTGCCTACTTTGCTATTAGTAAAAACTTGTCCTTATGTATTACATAAACATCAAGGATTTCCCTCTGTCAGGATGGACACAAGGAAACAATATTACATCAATTATTCTTACAGTCATTTCCCTAGACTATGTACAATTTTGACAATCAAGTGCAATCAAATAGACCCAAAGTTGGACATCCCCTTGTTGTAGTCGTCTCCGAGAGCGTCCCCCTCGGAGACAGACCGTGGCGGCGGCGAGGTACTCTGTACTGGCGTAACGGGCGGGTTAGCGCCGGCTGGCGGCGGGGCGAGGGTTGGTAAAACGGCAGGACTGGACACGATGGACGCCACAGACTCGGCACCGTTGATCGGTGGAAGGGCGCCGGGCGTGGAGGCGGTTTCGTTGGGCGTGGTAGCCGTGTTACCCTGGTAACCACTGTATCCGCTGTCCGTGGTATTGTTGCTCTTGGCTGTCTCGGGTGATTCTGTAGTCTTACTGGCGGTTTTTTGGTGATTGTCGTCCAGATCCTGAGAGGGGAAAACAAAACAAGCTCAACACTGGTGACAAAATACAGGGGTGTAAAATTCAAATCTACCTTTTTTACAGCAAAACATAAAATGATGCTTAGATACATCAATGAAGGTTAGACATCCAGGTAATGAGATACACATGGAAATTGGTACTCAAGCAACTGGATAGATTTTGAAAACTGTCAGACGTTTCAAGTGCATGTAGCATGCACTTGACAGTTTTCAAAACTATCCAGTTGCTTGAATAACACTTTCCTTGTGATGCTTACATCCCTTAATGCCACAATGAGTTGTACAGCTGACAACTAGATGTTGTCTCTGATTTTTGAGGGTTCTGTAAAGTAGTGTTGCTGGAGATATAGAGTGAATGTTGACAATGTTGCCACAGGGGTTAGCTGCAAAAGTATGGGTAAGTAAAAACAGTAGCAGCAGACAGGACAGAAAATGAGTCAAGAACAAATCTCCCACAGCAGGAGGGCTGGAGACTGGAGGTGGACAGGGGTTTCATTTACAGTCCTGCTCTTACCACTCAGGGGAACATCTCAAAAGTGCTCAAGCCTTCTCTTTCATGTCTTCTGTAAACCAAATTCGACTTTCCGTCTGGTCCCCTTCTTCCCCCTGGAAGCCAAATCAGAAAGATTTTGCCAGGGTTAATATATTTTTTTCTATGTAAAAGGATGAGAACATGAACTTTTGAGATGTTTCCCCTTTCAGCCAAACAAAGTAGGCACATACATGGACTTGGGATCAACTGGAGGGTATTTCTTCATTTGGACTTGGTTCAGAAGTCTCCTGGTGAAACAAACAGGTTACGTACGTTAACTACCTCAGTTCTACCTTTTCGGCTCCAGAGATTGTGTGTTTTTTTTAAAATAAGTTCTAGATTATTCCATGCAGATCTTTATCTAGAATTTTTGCAGTCTTAGTCAATTACATTTTGTACTTCAGATTGTAAATTGTTTGTTACAAGCATCATCTATGTCTTAGTTTCAACACTATTCTTTAGTCAGCAACAATAAATTATGGTTGTATTACACGTTGTTACAACTTCAAGGATGCAGACGAATTCTACCTATCATATAATTATGATATTATTACTACTACGATTATATTATTATTACTCTCCTGTAGATCTGCCATTTGGAAAGAGAATTTAGGAAGTGCAGACTAGGTACAAGTAAACAACTGCACAGGAATATTCACAACAGGAAGGACATTTTACATAGATATGCTGGAAGCACCACAAGTGCTATCCCAGAGTAGTGCAGGTCATTGCAGAAGCTATTTAGTGCCCTCAATATCCCTGGTATATTCCCTACGAGGGAATCCCCGGTGAGAGATACGAGTATGTCCATGACCTGAGCGTACCTGCTGAGGCTGTGCTGGGGGCTGTACAGTAGTGGTCTGGGTGGGGATGGCTCCGTAGTTCCCCAGTCTGACACCTGTGCCGTTCATCTGCATGGTGTACTGCTGAGGGGTGGGGTCAGGCTCCACCAGCCCTCGTCTGTCCAGCAGGCTACACAATTACACACAAGGGTTAATATGTCAAATATTTTCAAATAATAAATAGTAGACTGAATGCATTCCTCAAGCTACCCAACATCTACAGTTGTAGTACATGTACATGGCAGTCACCCCTCAGTAAGACAAGACTGGAGCTGCATAGTTCCCGTTTGGAACTTTTATTCTACCTGTTTCGCCCTATGGGCTTCTTCAAGTGTACAGACTGAGGCTAAATGGCACAAGTTCAGGAAATTCTCACTTTTATACCTTTCCAGCACATATCGCTCTAGTCAGCAGTGTACTGAGTCAGTGCTTTACAGAGGGACTACTGCAATGTGCTAAATGTGGGTTAGCTTGAGGAATTAATCCATTTCTACTGAAGTCACAAAACCTACCAGTACATTCGCCACTGCATTTATAAAAGTCAAACCCCTTAGTAATGAACACCATATATCTATAAAATAAAAATTTTTACATTCTGTTTATTACCTTGTAATTATCTTCCGTTTACCTTGAGTTTGTAAATAAATTGATATAAATATGCTGAAGCATAAGGATTCTCATGGAGGATTATATATACATTTGGAAAAATAATACAGCAGCAGCTAGAACACTGCTTACATGTAGAAGGGAATACAGTTGTGTACAGTAATGTAGTTACCATGATCAACATAAGAGTAGAGCAGACTAATACAATTGACACGCAGGTTAACTCTAGCCATTGAGTAGGGAAATCCAAACAACATGACAATTCCGTTTTATTTCCCTGGAATACCCCGAGTATTGGTTCTTTTAATGTCTAATTTTCCAAACAACAAATTGAATGTGACTTCTGTGCCATTCAGAGACTCTGTTGTACATAATGGACCTATATAAAGTGTCTGTGGTGCTCCTACCTTGGTGTGGTGGGACCACACAGGACAGCAAAACAATTTTTCACAATCCCTCCTTGGCTGTAAGGATTATAATTATCTCGTCCTCTTTTTGAGGACCAGGAGCCTTTTATCTGAAATGGGAAACAAAGAGATAATGAGTTCACAAAGTATTACAAGAGCTGCTGGACTAATACTATTAAAAAAGATTTTTTCATCATTATTTTATTGACATGCCAAAAACACAGCTAATCTGTGTTTAAATCGTCTCTCGTTAAAAAGATTGTGTCTTCTTTCTAAAAAATTACTAGTAAATTGCAGATGAAATATCTCATCTTTTTTATGTCTTTTCTGTTGATACTCACATCTTCATTAGTAGTCTGGTTGGATGTAGTTAAGTAGGTGTGGAAGCCAGCCAGCCCCAGGATGGACCAAACAGAGAAAAAACACACCACAGCCTCCAGAACAGTGCAGGGAGTCAAGGAATCAAACAATGAAGAGTTTTCTTTGGATGTTTGAATCTTTGATCAACGTTGCATCAGAATTTTGTCCGTTGCAGACGATAATCTTTTCTGGCACAACATTTGAAAACTATAGACAGAATGTCATCCTTAAGTATGCAAATACGGCCTTAAACACATTAAAGGTTGTGTGCAGGAACAGTACATTCTGCTGACGTGATACACTTTATAAAGAAATGGTCACCCTCTGAATTTACAACTGTTACATTCACACATGAAAGCACAGTGAAAGGATATCTAGCTGGGGATTGCTGCATTGCCTTCAGGAAATTAGCCTTCTGGGAACCTGTGGGAAAAAGAACACCTTAGTTTGTAGAGCACTGTTTTCTTTTTTACAGTTCAATCCAACCAAATTGATGACATTAACATTGACCATAATAATTCCTTTTCTTTCTGGAGTCATTAACACAGGTTACATATGTATGGCTATTCCAGAATCTATACTTAAAATTGGACATTTTTCGATCGTGAAAATCAAACTTGCTAAAAGCTTGATGTCAGGCACACAGCCAATGGGAGATTTGACATTAGAACTTAAGCCAGCCTGCCGGAGGTTAATCTAAGGGATAATCTCCCCGGGTTAAGCGAATTTCCACTCACGCATGATGATGTGGGTGATGACACAGGCGAACAGGAACACGCACAGTAGCGCCAGTGAGAGGATGAACATGTAGAAGTAGCGGTAATTCCGCTTGCCGACGCAGTTTCCCACCCACGGACAGTGGTGGTCGAATCGCTCTGAAATGGGAAGAGAAAGAAAACCATTTCCTGTGTGTGCACCACTCTCTGAATGGCTGGAGTAGAATTCTTAATAAGAGTGATCTTACTTTTGTGAAAACGCAGATGATGCCTATTGTGTACTGTAAATCTTGTAAACCAATGTTTGCAGGAAAGTTAATTTTTTGCAAAATAATTACACTGTAAATTTGTGCTACATGTATGAACTTCTAATTGTTTCAACTGCAAACTTCAAACACTGACATAATCTTCTTTCTTAAAATCTCTTTAAATCTCCTTAACTTTAAACTAAAATCTCTTTAACTGAAATATGAGACTACCGCAAAAGTAAATATATTAAATTTTACAGTATTAAATGCCACTAATCTTCAGCCCACACATTTCTTTTCATGTTCACAAAAGGAGGCTAATGAGCACACCGCATGAGACCAGTCTCAAATCAACCCACACATTATGAAGAAAAGGAGACATGTAGGTGCTTACATAAGGTCTTAGTTAAACCTGGTCTGAACATTACCTTCGTACAACTCTAGAAATCTAAGCAAAAATATCTGTGATTTTACCCAACACTACAGATGCTGAAATAAGACAATCAGACACTTTCTGTGACATAAAATTAGTGCCTTGAAGTTCGTACAACTCTAGAAATCTAGCAAAGAGATGTGTGATTTCACCCAAACAGCATCATAGCATAGCATATCATAGCATGGCTAAGAGCAGTGTTCTTTTATTTATACAATAACAAGTTTGCAATAAATTTTCGGCCTCAGCGGTACGGCGTTTGACGTGCAATCTGCCCAAAGCAAGTCCCAATACCCAACTGCCACAGATCAGTAATCATCAGAGGAGGTTAGCCCCCTCTCTCCAGATTACTGCAACATCCCACATCAAGTCATAAACCTGGCCCTGAGGTTATAGGGCCTAGGGAAAAAATGTTGTGTTTCCTGTTTCAGTTCTGAAAAAAATTAGGTAGGTGCATGTAGTATCTTTTTTCTTTCTTTTTTTTAGACTTTGGCAATCTCTAGTGATATTACTAATACAATACAGTTTAAGAAAGTAAAACTTTCATGAGGACTCTTTCATTTTCAATGTCAATGTTGGAAAACCGATTGTACAACGTTTCATTACTCAGGTGTCAGATCATGGAGCTAGAAAAGGTTGATCAGCTCGAAAACTTATGTCCTTTGCAGGGGTCCACAAAAAAGGCTAGGGCCGGCAGATTTTTCTAGGGTCGGTCTGGAAACACAACTTTTTTTTTCTAGGACTCAGCCCCCTTCTCCAGATTACTTCAAAACCCCACATCAAGTCATAAACCTGCTCCTGAGGTTATACAGCACAGAAAATCCTGCCATGCACACTTACCCACACAGTTGTCACAGATGGAGCAGTGGGAGGCCCGGGGTGGGCGGAATATTTTACAGGTGAAGCAGTACTTGAGCTTGATGGTCTGTCCGTTCACCACAACCTCCTTCTGCCTGGGCGGGGGTCTGTAGGACGGAGAGGGCTGTCCGTTTGGTACCTCTGTGAGATATCCAGACAAAAAATATCATTAGTATATATGGTCAAAACTCATTCTTTCCTAGAGCTATTGCAGAGTGGAACTTGCTGTCACCAAGTACAGTGGGGGCATTATCATTAGATAGCTTTAAACAATGTCTAGATGATCAAGGTTTAGGTGTGTACATGTATCAGGTAGCTCAGTGTCATGTAGCCAGCTGCCACTGTGCCGCGTGCCCGTGAAAGCTGGTGTGTTACGCCAAAGGGTTATAACGTCAGACATTTTTTATGAAATTCATAAATAATGTTTGACATGTTGGTTGCTGCAGGATAATTGCCTTAAATTAGATTGCAAATGGGCGTTTTCACCTTGCGTAATTTAGGTCCACTAAAATGCCTAAAGTACCTATAGTGAACATCCATCCAATCTCACATGGACAACCAAAATAGGGATGATGGTACACTAGGGATAGCCAGGGTGCTGTAGACATTCTACTCAAACACGAGTTGAACTAGGGTAGGGCTTAAAAAGCAGCGGGTGGGTCATTCTTGAAGCACATTTGTAGCACAGTGAGTGGCAAATTGCCGTGATGCTGAAAATTACATGTTCCATCTGAGAGCAACAGTTAAAGCTTTACTGGGCTTATCCCAGCATTGTGAAGGTGTTCCATGCATATCCACACACCACTGATATCACATTCACCTAATAGTATTAGCTTTACTTACATATCATCACACATAGTAACACAACAACTCAACATTTCACTGCTTCAAATGAACAACATGGCATCATTCCACAGTCAAGCAATAAACACCTATAAATGGTAAATATATTTTATGAAGCGACTTAGTCTCTCTTTGCTGACTAATATGCTGTTAGGCCACACCAATTCAATTTGTTGGTTCTCTGATTCGCCTCTACATTTTTTTCTGATTTGCAAAAAAAAAATCAACACAAAAAAATGCTCATATTTTGCCCCCATCAGTTGTGGAAAGTCCTTTTCTTCCTAGCCTGGATGCCAGACCCAAAGCACACTGGACACAAAATATCTCAAGCTCACTGAGATATTTTGTGTCCAGTGTGCTATGGGTTTGGAACTCAGGCTATTTTCTTCCTAGTTGTTGCAGTTTTTCAATCTATCAATGCAAAGTTCAAAATTCATTGTTTAAATATCAACCCAGCCTTTTGTGTTGACTTCATGGCTCCTATAGTAGCATTTGGGGCTATAATAGAATGCCTAGACCTGCTTTTATTTAAATTTTTTTTTCGCCCTGTCACTTCATATTTTTTCTGAAAAATCCGACAACCAACAAATTAAATTGGTGTGGCCTTTGTGTTAGCAAAATACGAGCCGCTGCATGGATGATCTGGATAGCTCCTACCATGCAAGACTAAGCTGCTGACAGATCATTTTTATGTACAACTCCAGGAAGGCTCCATTACTGGAGCTGAAAGTATCATTATTCAGGCAGGGTTGCCTGTGGGCAGACTGTAACATATATGATGTTTTCCTTATAAACCTGAGAAGGGCTGTGCCTGCTCAGAATGAGCTGAGTACTGTGGGGGCATTGAACTCATTCTAACTAACTTATGGCTTTCCTCCAGGCATGGTACACTTTTTATAGATGGCTCTTGTACATGAATGGGCCATCGAACATTGACTTCACAAGGGTGATGCCCTTTGAAATTGAAGACATGATGGATTCTGGTATTCGCCAAGTGGAAATTTTCTTCAGAGTTTATTCAGATGGTTCCAGAATAATGCATTAAGTTGTATTACAGGTGATTCAGTATTGAAACATATACAGCCATACATGTGCAAATAAAGAGGTTTTGACTGGGCTTTACTCATAAATATACATGTACATCATACCTTTTAAATTTCTGTGCTTCAAGGTTTAAACACTTTCTACATGATACTAAATACAGCCATTGTACCATACATGTGCATAACCTGTGCCAGCCATATGCATCCATCTCCAAGAAATAAATGTTCAGTCCCTTGTCACAGGGCCAGTCTGGAAAATCCATCACAGACTTGGCAGGAGACAACCAATATAATGGCACAGACTGGTGTGTGGGTATAGAGTTCAGGGATTCAATACCTCTACCAGTCTGCACTGTGGTTGACACTGGTTGTATAATATCAGTGTGTCTTCCCTTCCATATGGGCTCAAATTTGTACGTGTAATGTACTCTGTATGCAGTTTAGAACATGCAATTTTGCTTGTCTGGCTTCTCCGGGAAGGTAATTTAGATAGCCATATTTGATATTCACTACCACAGTCAAGTTTGTTTAATATGACACGATTACTATTAGAGATAGACAGGGGTTCCATTTAGATTTTCTTGACAAGAGGCAGTACATGGTACAGGACTAGAATAGAGATGGGTTAAACAACAATTGAGGCTTTCAAAATGCACAGTACTTGACAGTACACACGATCATCTGTTTCAGATCTTCAAAGCACTGGCATGCTACAAAATACATGTACTGAAAATTATTAACAGGTGGCCCTGTAGCTTTCATTAACTTGATCCAAGATATATCAGAGTTTAGAACTTCCAGACATGATCAAAGCAGATGAAAAGATACCCCAAAGGCATTTTACATCTTCAGACAGGGTGACCTACTTATTCATGGATCTTATCTAAGTGTAATCATTCATGTACCACAGAAGGGATTTTCTTCAAATCTCTGCACAGATGTTTACTGCACAAGCACACAATTTCACAGCTCCAAGCCTCTCTTCTACTGTATGCACGAAGCTGGCATTATTACTTTAAGGAGAACATAGCAACATTAAGTAGTACTGAGTGATTGGAAAACAGGAAGTTACAGAGATCTCTAGGAAGGGAGAATTTTGTCATGTCCTTAGGCTGTTTTTCTCTGGCTGTGAAAATGTAGGGCTAAAAATACTTGTGCAGGTAAAATTGGAGCTGCACAGGTATTTTTGATGTTCACCTGCACCTAACCCAGGGTTGGACAAGTTTTCAAAAATCCACTTGCCTTATCGGGCAAGTACATGGTCATTTCCACTTGCCCGAACCAGCTTTTTACTTGCCCAAAATATGACACATTTCTTTGCATTTTACTAGCAGAATGATTTTATAATGTTGGATGCTTATTTATCAAAATTGTTTAAAACTTGGTTGAAATACTGCAGGGGCTAATACTTTGCATCCAAAAATTGTACTTGCCCAATCGGGCAAGTACTGGGGGATATTTACTTGCCCGAACAATGCTTTTACTTGCCCTGGGCAAGTGGGCAATGGGACTTGTCCAACCCTGTAACCTGTACTGGGACAGGTACTGGGTTCCTATACAAGTGTAGGTGTAATGTAGATTTCTTTTTGCTGCATTCACTGCGCGCTGTACACACCTACATGTATATGTATGATGTTTAAAAGATACATAATGATAATAGTTTCTGAACAGTTTTTAATACGACCCATACTTCTCAAAGTCTGAATGGTTCAGGTAAAATTTGTCTGGTGCAGGTAATTTTCAATGTTACCTACACCAGTGCAGATATGCCGAAAAAATTTGCGCCCAGCAATGTTGCCTCTTCGTCTCTGCTTGCAGTCGAAGGTTGCATAAAGACATTAGCACTGGCTGTAGATATAGATGCAACCCTTTTACAGTTCAAAGGAAGAGCACTTGAGCTGATAGTACATCATGCATGCATCTAAAAGCTTTTCTTAGTCAACCCCATTCCTTTTGATGGCACTTCTTTACAAGCGAAAAGTGCCATATAGAAATCTGCCATAATGTAATAAAACCATGTTGGCCATTCTATACTATCCATCTATTTTGTTCCATATCTATATTCTACAAGGTATCATGTTGCTTTATACATGAATTATTATCTTTCTGTGCCTGTCGCTTCTTAGAATAAAAATTGTACGGACATTCAGATGATCAGTCTGCTTTTTTGTCATCTTGCTTTTTTGTCATCACTGTCTGTTGTAAAGTAGCCTGGGTGCCATCCTAAGAATATTTGTATACTCGAGCTCCCATAGCACTCGCTCCCTAAAGAATTACATGTAGTTAGCGAGTATGGGAGCTGTGATATACAAATTTTGGACGGCATCCAGGCTAATAATGAAGGATGGTACCTAATTCAAGTAGATGGCATCGTTGATAAGATATCTAGCAAACGGTTCAGAATAAAGATGATGTATGTGATATGGATAATAGCTAGAATAGCATAGTTATAACATTAAGATATGTAGTATCTTTACAACAAGGTTAGAGAACTGACCAATTTGTCTCTCGATGTCTGCAGCCTCGTCGGGCGTGGCTCGAGGGATGACCCCCGGGTCGCTGAAGCTGGTCCGCAGCAGGGTGGACATGGTGAACACAAACAGCACGATGCCGATGACCGGTATGGCCGGGGTCAGGTTGACCGCTAGGTATGGACAACTGGACGGGAAAAACAGGACAAGAAACAGGAACTGTTCATTATTGCTCTTATGATAATAACATGTACTACAATTACTGAACTAAGTATCAAGTTTAACATTTTAATGCAGACAGGATAGGAGACGATGTCCTTTGTTTGACATGTGGTTTTTTGACTAGCTGTCTGGTTATCTGTAGATTCTGTACCACTACATGTAACAGCTGTAACCATGTGTGCCAACACAAGTGCTTTGTATATTTTGGTTAGCTCTGACTCAAAATACTGTCAGGCTAACCTTCCATTTACACATATAACAACACAACTGACCCTGACAACACAAGAGGCTGGGTGACAGAGCTGGAGACAGGGTAAGGACTAGGAAAAAAATGTTCTGTTGCCTGTTTCCCGACCGACCCTAGAAAAAAACTGCCGGCCCTAGCCTTTTTTTGTGGATCCTGCAAGGGACATGAATTTTTCACGCTGTACGTAGGATGAAGTTATCCATACATGTATTTAAATTTGTTAGATCTTTAGTTGTAGAAGACCATACAAAAGTCCCTGTACTTCTTGTTGTGTCAATAAAGAATCTATCTCCATTATCTGACACCTGAGTGATAAAACGCTCAATTTTCAAACATTGATGTTGAAAATATAACTTATAAATGTCCTCATGCAAGTTTTACTTTGTTAAAAAACTACATAATATTAAGTTCGTTCACTAGAGAATACCAAAGTCTAGCTAATAGAAAAAAAGAAGGAAAAAAAAAGATTATCGCTACCTACCGACCCTATTTTTTTCAAGACTGAAACAGGAAACACAACATTTTTCCCTAGGCCTAATACTAGAAAAACACTTTGCCCTTGGATGCAGACCTCCATAAATGAGCAACAGTTTCTGAAGGTCTTGACCTCAGGATACCACTGTCAAGTTCACTTACTGGCATCAGCTGTGGATTCAGAGCTGGGCTGAATCAAGTCAGACATTTCTACGGCTGACCTTCAGCCTTAATTATACTCCCTGTACATCTAGAGCTTGTGCCAGGTTTCATGGTATAAACATGTCATACTCTTCATTGAGAGAGCAAAAAGTTCTCATATATCAGCTGCCTTCATGGGCTTTGAAATACAACAGCCATGCCATAATGAAGGACCAGACCAAATTAAGTCTGACATTTTCTACAGCTGACATTCAGTCTCTGATTATACTGTCTACACGTCTACTAGTAGAGTTAAAAGGCTTTCTGGCAGGCGTACCCCCATGGTTTTCCCTTCCCGTGGAAGGCAAAAGGTTGTCTTGTTATATAAGCCTTTGAAATGTGACAGCCATAGTTGATTAGGACAAGGTCAAGTTCTACCTCTAACAAGCAAATTTCTGAGCATCACTGCCAGACGATACTTCTAGAAATAAGAATCTTGTTTCTAGTCAAACGAGGCCAGATTTGGACCTGTCACTGTGTCAGTATTCATACATGTCTTTACACCTCTAGTCTAGTTCTATAAGGTATTCTTACAATGTATAGACACCATTTGCAAGCCGCAAGCACATACTAGTAAATGATCCTCCTGATTTGAGGAATTACCTACTACACAACAGTACTTTTAAACGACACGTTGCAATCATGTCTAGCTTAGAGGTGTGCCTTCCTATGAATAATGAATACATGACAACTTTATAATGACTTTGAGGGAAAACATCTGTTATTTGTATTCATGTTAGTGTACCGATATTCTTGCCATGACCTGAGGAGATAGATAATACTGGGTAGGAAATGGCTTTCAACAGCCTGTCTAGGAGATAATACATCACTAGGATGAGCATGATATTCAGGGGGACAGGTCTAGGAGAGATATGTATGGTATTACATGTGTATATGTGTGTGTAGGATGGGTGGGGGGTGGTCATGACTGCAAATATACTTGCTACCTTTGCATCCTCTCAGCTACCTATACCAGCAGACCTCATGATTTTGACTGAGGCCATTTTGGTCTGTGTAGAGTGCATCTAGCAATCTTTATGTGTTTAAAATCCATTTGAAACCTCTACAAATTTAAAGCTTTGTAATGCCATCACTGAAATATCCAGAGTTGTTGGAAAATTTGGACGAACCCTTAATGTCTTTAAAGTTCCCTCTTGTACTCTAATATAATAGTGATAATGTTTAATCTTCCTGACATTGGAATTTTTATGCTCTAGCCTCCAAAGTGCAACTAGAACTCAAGTGTACAAAACATTTAACTCTTAGAGATTTATTACAGCACTTGCCACCTGCCATTACCTTTAACATTAATCGAAGCTAGTAATGCTGAACAGTATGCAGTATGCGTATAGGGGCATCCCGCAACTGGCCTGCTAATATGTTCTGGAGGTTCACACCTCCATGCTTTCGTAATGGGGGATGTGGAGGCGGTCAATCACCAAATTGAGCTGTACCCCACCTGCAATAAATCCTGCTTGTCCCTGCTGCCATGCCTGAGCAGGGAACAGTTATTTGTCATGCATTACTTCCTCGTCATGCTTCATTGGACTCATCAGTCCAGAACTGGGACAAGTTTTGCATATTAGAAAGATTGAGGTCGCAGAATCTCACATCGTGTGATGATACGTGATCGGACACTGACAATATCAGCAGTCAACTTCTCTCTTACCTATCAAAAAACGTGTCAGCAGATACATGTATGAGCCTGGATAGGTATCTGGGTAATATTTCATATACTGAAGCAGATTTTCTCGACATCAAATTATCATAGAGCACCTCTAGGTTATCTGCATCATAATGAACTGTAACTGTGTATTACGTGTCTCACACATTGCATTTTTTCTCTATCCAATTAAGCAACAGATCATGCATTCAGGAAGTTATCAAGCATATGACCTGGAAAACGAGTAGTAACATATGCAACTTGTGACATGAATTGACAAGCATATCTACTGATATCATACACCTTCATGGCTTGCTTTGATATAAAAGGCTTAAAACAAAGCCTTCCGCAATACACATTGAATGTAATACTCGATTAGATACCAAATTTTATACCTCTGAGTCTCTGCCCTAACTTCAATCAGAGACCCCCCTCCCTATGGTCACATTACAATAGAATTAATGCAATTAAATTTTATGGCTTCTTCAATGTTTAGTATGATTTCAGAAAAAGAGCAGCCGATAATATTATCCTACATAAAATGTAGTACTACCCAACTGATGATGATGAATATCCTACTAAAAAGGATATCAAATATATAACTAGCATATAGTATCATTTACTCGGATATTTGTAGTCACAACTACATTGTACAGTAATTGTTTATTTCATGTCCTGTCCAACTAATGCCATCATGCTTTAACCTAATGTCATTCATTTGCCCCTACCATTCTTCCACTGCAATCTTCTACAATACATCTCCTGGGTACTATCATGTTTCTGGGTAATCAGTTTATATACCAGGGCTAACCCATACCAGTGGCAAAATGGCCATGCCAATCACTACCAATTGGAGCTGTGTAGTGCATACATAGGTACAAGTTTATATCTATAAATCCTTCCAAAATCAAGCCAGACCAGTGATTGTCCAGGAACTAGTTTAGAGGGGAGTAACTTTGAGCACTGTATTACCCTAATAGCTATGTACAGCTCATTTATACTGATGATGTAGAATGTGATTTAGAATTGAAAAAAGTAATCTTCACAGCAATATCAACAGCTATAAATTGGAAGTATTTTATCATACACATTGATTATGACCCAGTCTTTTTCACTTGAGTCAAAAACAGGTTATGTCCTAGGGGCAAATACCTTTAAGTGACCCCACAAACATTATACGTGTACATATCGAAAACTAGGTCAACAATTGGGTTTCACATAAGTGTAAGTAAGTAAGAATTATGAGCATCTTTATACTGTAATTTGAAAGGATGGCTCCTTCCAACAGGATAGTAACTAATTCTACTTTGACCCAAATAGATGCACTTGCAATCTTACTGTAGTTTTGCATGTTAAAAAGCACATTCACTGAGAATTACCCGAATGTTTGTGCACATTTACTTATCATACTGAAAAAAGAGAGAACAGTACTAATTTTTGAAAAGATAATGTTCTTAGCTTGGTTATAGTCACAGATTATGTCCAAGAGCACTTTAGATTTTTACAGTAGTATGTACCAAAGGCTGTTGTGATTTTTTTGTGAACATAATGAAATTATGTCTCTTCTTGCTACAAGATGGTTATCAACAGAGCAAGAGTACAAGCTAACACACTGCTAAGTATCACTCCAAATGTCAACCGAATATGACATTAGAACAATCATCTGTCTTAATTTGGTAAGATGTCTGTAACAGAGCTGCCTACAAATTACGTAACAAATGAGATTACTTGTCTACATCATGTACTGTACATTTCTCACTTTCTTAATTAAGGCTACTACCCAAATGGTTGTGCCATCATTTCGATCCATTTGTGAACCTGTCTGTTCATTATTGTGCAGGTGTGAATGAAAATTATATGGGGAGGGAGGGAACAATCAAGTTCTACACAGAATAGTTCTATAGCCAGGAATTCTGTTAAATTGCAGTTGTTTCCATCAAAATCTACTAATCTCCCAATCACTTATTCTTGTATGCCAGCAACTTCACACTTATACAGAAGCCATGAATTAAATGGGAACATAAATCAAAGTACTGTTGCCAGCGTCAGGGTCAAGAGTGACTTTAAAGTTTATACATACATGAACATATCCTTCTTGCAAGGCCCAGAAATTTAAAGGCATAATTTGCATTGCACTTCACCCATTCCAAACATATTAAAAATTGAAGGTCACGTAATCCAAAAGGATTTTAAATACCTTGGCCAGTGAGTGAGAACTGTCACATAAATTCTCTTTCTTTCTTTTTTTGGCTCAGACTCAGTCAGAGACTACTTTTGACTCAAATTGAAAATATTTGAATTGACGATTGCCAACATAAAACTCTCATTCTCTTAGTCTTAGTGCCAACATTACCTAACATTTGTAGGAGTTTAGGAGATAAGGAGAATGACCAGGAGGAACTGGATGACAAATCCTCACGCGTGTCAGTTGATAGACACTGGGTCAAAGGTTAGAATGCAGCCTGAGGAGGGAGCAATGACTTACTGGTATTATTTGTATTCTGGGCAAATTTAAAGGCTGTGACACTGGAAACACAAGCTTGTTGGCATACCTAATTAGAGCCAGTGTGTAAGGATTGTTTAAATCAACTTTCTAGTAGGATCTTAACTCACAGACTGTTCCTTACAATGTAGCACTCAAGGTGTGGTTCTTGTCAAACAAAGAGACTTTAACCAACCCCCAACACAGTTGTGGCCAGTGGGTATAACAGCATCCAATGCTCGAAGTGCAGAGCAGGATTTTAAATTGCTTAGGAATTCCGTATCATCTGGCAATATACTACTGTCAAATATGTCTTGTCTAACAAGGAGGTTATACTTGTATTTAACCTCCTTGTCTGTAACTAGGAGAAGAACAAACAAATGTCTTACTCTATCATGAATCAGCAAAAAATTGGAATTAACGTACAACAGCATGAAGTGAGGAAAACATGTTCTGTGTCAGTGAATATTGATTAACTATGGGGGAATGAAAGCTTTCGTGTTGCTTTATTTTCATCAGCTGTCAAGCTTGGTGTACAATTCCACATTGTGCATCGAGAACAAACCAAGTACTGTATTAATTTACACACACAAGATACACACATGTACTTCGCAAATAACCAAAACAGATGAGTATACTAGTACTTTCTTGAAAGATTTATGAATTACAGAATTTTAAAATTGATTTCCAGACAATTTATAATTTGAAGGAAAGTGCAACAGCATGCAATACAACAGCACTCCCAACACCTAATAAGTAACGTTACTGATACCAAATTATACAGGTGAAGTACATGTATTTATGTATCATAAACGTCACCACAGGTGTGAATACTCACTCAAACCCGAAGAACAGTCCACAGGTGACCACAATGAGCGCCACAGTGAAGTAGAAGATGCCGGTCTGTCTGGCCATCATGATCCGGCCGTTACAGTGGAACTTGTTCCGGCCGGGATGGACTTCCCACTTTCTCTGCGGCATCTTCTTCTTGGGTTCTGCGGCGGGGGAGGAGGGGGAGAGGGGTGAGGCTGACGCTGAGCCGGGAGGGTCCACGGTCGGAACGACGCAGTAGTCACGGCCTTTCATGCCCTCATCGAAACACCGGTGGTCGCCTGCCTAGCCCCGTGGCGTTACCCCAGGCCAGGCAAGCTCGAGAAGGTGTTAAAGACGTCCTAAGTGCAGCCGTGGCGGCGGAACCTGCCGGAGTAGCCCTGTTCTTGCGTGCTTCCCCCACCACCTGTCCTGCCGACTGAAAAACCACACCTGACTCCGTCGCATAAAATCAGCCCTGGACGATCTCATAAGCCACGCAGACACAGTGTTTCCTCACATTAGCCTCCACGGTAATATCGAGAATCTATTACGGAGGGAATTATGTCGTATTTGGACTCGAAATCGGAGAAAATATTGTTACAAACTGTATTTTTTTTGCCACCGCTGTTTGTAGTCTTCTGATCACCAGCCTTCCCAGGAGCCAGTGCGGTAGGCGACACTGCGCATGCGTTTCCGAGACTGACCTATCCCAGAGTTCCTTGTAACCATCATGGCGGAAAAAGATGAAAGTGGGAGGGCGGAGGGCAAGTTATCCAGGTTTAAAGGTGATTTCTGTTATCAATCAAATAATTTGAGTCACATTTTTTATGACACTAGACACAAAGGCATATGATGTATCGTCGGGGTTGGTGTCGGGGCATGATAAATGAAGATAATGGTCAGAATGTCTACCTAAATCCGCAGTGGTTCAAGCCATGGTTTGAGCAGACGACAAAATCATGTTGTAAAAGCTAGGTGAAGAGACCTTGAAGAATCCAAGGTGAAGTTGTAGTAACGTATTGACAGATAATACAAACAACACAGAGTGAAATAAAACACACGAATAGAACACACGCACCTTTTTTCCAAGTGTCATGGGTGATAATCACATCATAGCATTTGGATTGCACTGAAAGGAAAAATAAACTTTTCAGGAGGAATGTTCCTGGCTGCAGTGGCGGGAACAGGCTTGCTGGCAGGCTTCAGCACCACACTGGGGATGACTAAGAAGAAAAGCCCAGACATGTTTGATAAGGTGACTCTATTGGTAGTTAGATATTCAACATAGAAGAAACAATAGGACATGTTATGTATGTGCACAAACAAACAAATAAACAAACATGTATGGTAATAAAATAAATAACAAGGTATTAAGAGAAACTGACAGTAGGAGCATTGTCTTAATAGATAGCTTTAAACAATGTCTAGAATTAGAACAATTAGATGTTCAAGGGTCAGGTAAAAAGTCGATCAGTGTAATGTAGCCAGCTGCTGCCACGCCGCGTGCCTGCAAAGCTGGTGTGTTCCACCGAAGGGTGGTTATACCTGCTATACTGATACAGAGACTCCAGAAATGGTTGATTATTACACTGAGTTATTACTAAATTGTAATCTGTTGTTTCTCCTAGGGTCTGGCTGGGGGTCCAGGTATTGAGAGTGGAGTTTCAGTTGGACTGAGAGCACTGAAATGGGGGACGTTCTATGCAGTAGTTGGTGTTGGAAGCCTTGCCTTCCTCTCATTCAAGATCCTAGGCGTCAGTAATGTATGTAAACTTTGTCAATCACTGAGATATATCTGTGCTTATCTTACAATTAAATGATGAAAAGTTTTGCCCATATCATATTAAACCTTTGGCATACTATGAACATTGTTTGGTGATTAATTTCACATGAATGTCGCATTTACAATTTTCTTCATCTTTGTCCTACAGTTACAAGAGTTCCGCACAGAGATGCAACAAAAGTTACCAAGAATACCAAAAGCACGAACCAAGAATAGGGTTGAAAACTTGGACTCTTTATTTGGGATTCAGAATGAGACCACTACAGAGAGATAGTCATCAATACACTTTGTTGTACACAAGAATACAAATAATATTGTTTGAAAAGCAGGTGACAGAAAGTGTAGTTAGCTATACATCTTGAAATTTATTAGTGTTGCCCCCACTTGGTGGATGCTGCTACCATAAGGCAACTACATGTACGTAAGTGTTAGAGAAGACAAATTTACTAGCTATAGGAGAGAAATAAATGTTAAAACTTCCCAGCAATGTTACATGTACTCATCTGTTAAGGAAGACTATCATATTGTGGGTTGAGAAGATGTAACCTTTGAAATTTGTTACGTCATATGTTTATCTCGGTATTCACATTAATGACAAACTGAGTGACGACGACTGTATTCTTACCCAGATAAGAGGTCTGTATAGCCGTGCAAATACTATTATACGCAAATTCGCTTATTGTTCTTCATATGTTAAAAAGACGTTGTTTACAGCTCATTGCTCCCAACTTTTTGCTGCACAGTTGTGGGACAGAGCTAGTTCTAGAATTGTATCAAAGTGTCGAGTTGCTTACAATAACTGTCTTCGCATCATAATGTCACTACCCAGATTTTGTAGTGCAAGTGAAATGTTTGTATACAATAGGATTGACACATTTGATGCTACATGGCGTAAACAATGTTACTCATTTATATCCCGTCTATACAAGTCATCAAACAACATTATCCAATCTGTTCTTAAATCTGAAGTGATATTCCGTAGCAGATTCTTTCGCAATAACTGGGCCCGTCTGTACATATAGTTATATTATTATTTTACTGATGTTATTGTGTGTGTATTTTATATGTATGTTGTGTATGGGCGACTTATGCCTGAAATAAAGAAATAAAGTAAATAAAAAAGTTTGATTCTATAAAGATAGGTAAGACTTTATGTAAGTTAACTACTTTATGTTCTACATTCTTGTCTGTTGGTTGTATGCTGTATGTTTTAAAAAGTTACGTGCATCTGTATGAATCAGCAGATATAACTTTTCACAAGAATGGCTTAGCTTGACAGCTAATCAAAAGTATACTAGTATAAAGCTATCTTAGAGGTTTTGTTAAAAATTGTAAAGAATAAATCAGATAAGAGACCTACTTTCTGTATACATTGTTGTGGATAACCTCTGTACAGCACAGCTCATCAGAATCTATTTACTGAGTAAAGTGTAGAAGACTGTGCAGCATCACTTTATTCAGGAAGTTCAGCACATAAAATGATAGAATTCTTACACACCATGTGGATAATCATTATAGAAATATTCTTAGACGTGTATTGAGTTTAACTAAGGAGGTTCAAAATAAAGATTTTAAACCTTGGTTTAACTCAAAGTCTACTACAATTCCACAGAGAAAGCAGCATTTATGTGTCATGCAGTATTTGACATTATGACTGCATATTTCATTAGTTTCAAAACTGAAGGCCATAATGACTGTTACAATGTATGCTGTAATACGATCTGCAAATAAAGCACTTGTTTGTTTTTCATTGATCTTAAAACTGTTTTGCTAATAGATACACTTAGTATCTCCTCAGCAAGTCAACACATAAAGAAGTGTCTACATTGTACTTCAGAAGTTGAAATAACAAACAGAAAATGTATGCCAGACAATTTGATCCTACTAGTAGGATAAGACAAGCCCTAACAACACTAACAGTGTTCCCTTATTCTTTGTAATGATCAAGAAAGACATGAGAAGCAGTATGATAAAATTGGCAATTGCACACAAACAGCAATTATAGAATCTGCATAAATTTTCCACAATCATAGACATTGCACTGAAAATTCAAATGATCATTTAGCTTTGCTATATTAAAGTTGAAGTTAACAACTATTTCAACACATCAAGATTTGTAACATAAAAGTACTGACCCACTCATTTTTACTTTTTCGTCTAGGTGCAACACACCACTGTTAATAACATCTTCACAACACATATTGGCTTGTTAACCAAATTAAGACCCTGCCAATTGAGTTCCTTTCTATTTACCCAGTACTGTCTTCTATGTACAGTGTTCTCATTAAATGCTGTGTCCTGAAATATGTTTTATGGAAACCAGCATTTAAGAGAGGAGGACTTGCATTTAAAACAAATGTACATCATATGTACATAAAGAATTAAGTAAGAAAGGAACTGTTTTTACTGAGCTAATGAATTTCTAAACATGGTTTCCATTGTGTATACTGTACATAAAGCATATTAATATGTTTGTACTCAAAGGTCCTAGAGTATCGAGTTTTATTGACAGTTTTACAATATATGTACAGTTGACTTTACTACAAGTTCAAGTGTTTGGAGAACAGATTATAAATAAATTAAATAAATTTCAAATTGATGTTTAGACAACTTGCAAGAAGGTTATCAAGTGTTGCAGCAGATGCTTTGAATTATAATTAAATACATGTACATGTATACAATGTGTACTTACATTTCAACAAGCTTTTTGGCTGATTAATTTTTGGATATTGCTTGGTTGACAGAACCATATATCACATCAATAAATCTTTTCTATTGCTCAAACAATTTTGAACATTCCACTTGAATTGCAGTTTTTCTGTCCCTTTCAGTTAGATAATGATTCTAATTTTGTAACTTGAAAGGTTCTCCTTGTGACACTTTAAAATTTACCAAAAACCTTTAACTCTCAGTTTTGGCATTGCAATGAAGCTGACTATGCTCTAAAACAAAGAAGTGTTGGAGAATACAAAACCACTGCTCATGAAATTGCAACTTAATTTGTTGCGAATGATTGATCAGCTCAGTGTCATCGCAACAAAATACAATGTAACTACTACATAGGTTGCAGAAAGTCTGTGGCGCCCCCCGTCTCTGTTGAGGGACGGTCGTAACGACCTGATGTAGATGGCCTCTTTAACCCTTTAAACCTCAAAGACTGGAGTTGTACAGTCGAAAATTTGGGTAAGTCCAATTTCTTGTGTTGGAAATTGCAGTTCAAAATCGTTTCATAATGACTTCTACCAACACAGATGAACTTCCAAGATAACATATAGCTACTTCTTTGCCCCAGGTAGTTGTTCTAGAAAGTCTCTCTCCACCGCTAGCTCAGCCTGAGTTGGCACAGATACGGAGGGTGTGTTGCCACGTGCTGGACTAGAGTGTTTTGGGCTGGACTCTAGGGTAACACAGGACAGCTGGGCTGAGCACACCGTATTGAAGAAGGGGAGCAGGTCAAACAAGCTTGATATCCTGGCTACGTTCAGAAGAGGAGTGCCATACTCCCACAGGAGAACTCTGTCAGCATCTTCTGATGGGACCTAGGAGTGACAGAAAGATATAGTTTAATGTAACACTGTCACATGCCAAGTGGCAAGGCTAGCGGACACGACACTGAGCTAGACTGTAACACACGCAAAAATGTGACTGCCTCTCACATCAGAAACATGTTGTATATAGTTTATTTGAGATTATTCTGACTGTGATGATTCCATTTTATAATGTATTATGATGTATATACATTGAATTTTTAAGTGATCAATGATGCATTTCAGGTACAATGTAATATTGATTTATTTGTGTACCTGCTAATTGTCATTGGAAATAAAAATCTGAATCTGAGAGATCATGAGTTCGATCCCTGGCATCTGGGTAGCTGAGGGTCTTTAGGGGGACACAATCAGAATGGTACAATGAAGAGTGGCATAGTTTATAAACCTTTCTTCGAAGTAGTCTTGTAAGCCTGACGAGATGTGGTGTGAAGTCATCCCCCTCCACGGCCCTATCCTGACGCTGGGAGTGTTTGGTACTGTAGACACCGGCCTCACCCACAAAGGCCCAACGGTACCTTTTACACACACAAAAAAGATGTACCAGTTACCAAACAAATATAGACACAAAGTGCTAACTGTAAATGGGTATCCATCGACATACAAGACTGCTATAAGACTGTATGTAAGAAATTGATCCTTAAATTTTGTGGAGTACACCACTTGCTACATGTGTTACAATACTCATCACAGTGACACAAAGACATACTAGTACTGGAATAACAATTCATAGATTATAACTGGAGTCAAATGAACATATCCAAACAACATCATAGTTCCTTCTACAGTTACTGTTGCAAAGTATTCTCTACACACAGAGAATTATGCCAACTTTATCTTTTTGGTAAATTTTGTCTGACATTTATCTCTTCCTTGTGACCGCAAATAAAACGTGGCCCTCAGGCCAATTTGAGTTTCTCTTCATTATGAATAAAGAATGGTTCAAACAAACAAACAAACAAACAAACAAACAAACAAACAAACAAACAAACAAACAAACAAACAAACAAACAAACAAACAGGAACTTACAGTTGGAAGTGTGGCAGCAGGTCGGATGGCAGGGCCAGGGCCAGGTCCAGTAGTTTACAGGCTGCTAGGAAAACCCTGAGCCAGTGTGGGTTGGAGGTAGGATTGACACACAGACCATTCCCCTCCACATATGCCCAGCCTCCATCTATACCTGACATCCTCTGGGACAGGGTTCTGTGAATAGGCAAGAAAATGTATTAAATAACCGTCTAATGTATGGTATCACAAATATAACATTGATAAAACAAAAAGATACACTAAAAAGGTAACATTTGCAAGCAAATGCATTTTTTTAATGTTTACCTTAGCATATCGTCTGCTCTGTTAATTCTTACTCAAATACATTCATATATATGGTCATACAGGAGTATAAATCCCTCCTCCTATAAAATTGCAACATTCTGCAACCCAACAACAGTTACCATGGTGAGAGACTTCAACAAATCAGGTCATTGGCCAGGTCAGAGGTCTGTGTTTTCTGCTGCTAAAGAAAGAATAGAGCAGCTGACTATGTCCTTGGTGCTGAAAGACTTATACTGACAGCACGGCTCTGGTCTCCACTAAATGTCATTCACAAAGGACATATTCCTGAGTGTCTAAATGGAGTATTTCCACCAACTGTCCATTACTTATTGTTATATGTATAAAGAATTTAATAAAAACTAGAAAGGTAACATTTGCAAAGCAAAATGCATTATGTGAACCTTCACAGGGTCCAGCTTAACAATCTTTGTTTATTCTTAAGCTTACTCATTTATTCATTTATTCTTACTCATAACACATTTCATATATATATATGGTGACCATGCAGCCCCTCTTGAACTCAGTTCTGCATAGCGGTTGCAACATTACATAACCCAACACCAGTTACCATGGTGAGAGATGGCTGGTTCAGGTCATTGACCTTATTTGTTTGGAGAAGAAGAGGAAGAAGAAAAGGAAACAGTGCAAAAACAAAACGTTTTCCTTCTGCAAAGGTAAACATAAAAAGAGAATTTCCCACCTGGAGACCTCAGCATCAGCGCTGAGCTCCTGCTCCATGTGTAAGAAGACCTGGACCAGCTGTGTGATGATGGTGGGCCACAGGGCCGTGAGATGAGAGGCAGAGATCCTCAGCAGCAGAACTTTAAACAGCAGGAACACCTGCTCCTGTAGGATGGGTGCAGGGGGCAGCCGCAGGGTCTCAGCTACACGCTCTGGAACAGACCAGGGTTAAAACAGCTGTTAGACAAGGTGGGAGGTATGGGGAAAGAATGTCTGATGTGTGAGAGCATAATATATTAGGTTACTGCATGTGTGACATATCATTTCATGAAAATACACCCACATACACACACATAAAGATACAGATACATACATGCATGTTACATAGACACACACACATTAACACACATTCACACACACTCACACACATACAGTCATTCACATACTCGCATACATGCACACAAACACACACAAACACAACTGTCATACAGTATACATTCAGACACATACACACAAACACACATGCACACATACACATTCAAACACACAAACACTCTCTCTCACACACACACCTACACACATATCTACACACCTTGTATCTCCGGCAGATGTCTCTGGTACTGGTCAGTCTCACTACAGAAGATAGTGAAGGCCAGTCTCTTCAGCAGCATGGCTCTCAGCTCCAGCTCCTGCTCACGACTACTGAACAGGTTCAGGGAACCACTCTGAGTCACCGCCACTCGGGCTGTAAACACACAGGAGAGATGTTACAAATCAGCCTCCACTCTTCCACACCATTGATCAGGATTAAATCTGCCTGGGAAATGCACCCATTTTGTAGGTGTGTTATTAGACAGTCAACTTGGTTTTGGAAGAGCAGGGCTCACGGGTTGAGGGTAAGGGAGGGAAAAAAGTAGCGGAAAAGGATACAAGCAAATGTATCAGAAATCTAAAAAATCAATAAGCATTGAATTGTTTCAGGCTTTTGTACAGAACGAAATCAATGTTCTTCATTCATGCATTAACCCACCCTTCAAATCCTTGATGAATATAGCCTTGCCAGGTGTCAGATTTTTGACCAATAGATATACAATGTAGTTGTATCTGCCAGGATAGCCTATCCATCAGGACTTGGTACAAAATAGGAACACATGTATCTAAAGTATGCTCTCCATGAATTCATAGATACAGTAATGTACTTACCCATCAAGTCCCTAAATGTTGTCTTGTCATGGGTCATCAGATTGTCCACCACAGATTTCCAGCTGGACAGGGACTGACCGTCCATCTGGAAGAAGTTGTGGTCCATGAGCAGCTCAAAGGCCTCCCGTTTCCAGGCACGGCGGGTGTACTGGTACCCGCTCAGACTGCTGAGCAGCCGCGAACAGGCACGGAACCGGGCCATGTTCTCTACACTGGGGAGAGATAGTGGGAATTAGTGTTCTACATCCAGACTATGCATGATGTCCAGGCTATGCATGATGACAAAATGACTGGTGGACGTACCAATGGTAATACCAGCCAGGAAAAGAACAAGAAACAGTCATGCCTTCAAGTATCAGAGTTATCAATCAAGGATTGAGGTGTTCAAAAACTCATTCTTTCCTAGAACTATTGCAGAGAGGAACTCACTGTTACAAGTTACAAGGCATTAACAACTACAACAAAAAACATGAACAGCTTACCATGTCCTTGGTACTGAAAGACCACTCACTTTGATGTTGTGCTAAATGCCATTCATACTAACAGTGCTCCAGTATCTGTCCTTGGTACTGAACAGCAATAATCAACTACTGACTACCATTTAATGATTTATACTACCTGTGTCTAAAGAGGGCAAGAACATTTTCACCTATATCATTAGGTAAAAAAAGTGCCTCACCTGTGTGATCTGAGGTAAGGTGTGACGTTGCCCATGATGGCTGTGAGAAGTGGAAGAGCTCGCTCCTTCTCTTCACTACCAAACATCACGTCTAGCAGTGAAGCCAGCAGCTGAGAAACCAGTACAGTAACAGTTGTTTCACTTGAGAATGAAATGCTCAAATATTTGTCTTTTATTAAACGTTTGATATACAAGCAAGCTTTTATAGTAAAGACTAGTTTGAACAAAAACCTTCCACATTTTCAGCCGTAGGCTAGGACAAACTGTGCTAGAATGTACTGTGCCTGCACGAAACCCTTAATGCACTGTGCATAGCACTTCAGCAGAACATTTTGTTTAAGGTCATATTTCCATATTTAAGGATGACATCCAATGCATAGTTTTCAAACATTGTGTTGCAAAAAATTTTGTCTGCAATGGGCAAAATTCTGATAGAACGTTACCTTGACCAAATATACAACAAAAACTGAAAAATCCGGGTTTTGTGCAGGTGTAATACATTCTGCTGACGTGCTGGCTAGAGGATCTGGCCATGTGTACACTCGTGTGTTTCCTTACCTCAGCCAGAAGTGACAGTGCGTGCACACTGTAGTGTGAACTGTTGGGGAGCACGGCTGGCTGGGTGGGAGGGGGGCTGGAGGGAGGAGATGTGGAGGGGGAGTCCTCCACGTCAGAATGGGACAGGTTCGGATCCGTCTGCGGTCCGGGGATCACGGTAAGGCTGCGGCGAAGCCACGTGGTCTGCTCCAATGACGAGCCAGCAATGGTACTGCAGGATTCTAGCAGCTTCTGTGTGACATCCTGGAAAGTTTCCAAAACTTTTGTGAGTGCCATAATCATTACAAATCATTGCAAAAGACCAGTGAAAAGCAGTATAGATAAGAAGTGAATAAAAATATAGCAAAGCAAAGGAAGAAAAGTATGGGAAAACAATAAGAAAGGAATACTCAGTGCAAAGGATTTACTTCAACAACTTTCCTCTGAGCAAAAGCCTGTGTGAGAACAAAGGAATCAAAGATAAAGCACTACATTAAAAGTGTAATTGTTATAAAACAATCAAATGTAGGTAGTTATTTTTAAGTTTAAATATCTAAAGAAGAGTTGTTATTGAGAATGATGACAAGAGGTAGCTTGCAGCTATTAGCTTGCAGCTATTTTATGATACAGTAATATCAAAACATGTAGATTTATAAATCTGATGACATTAAGTTTAGAGATTCATTAATTGTCCTGGCCATGGGTGTTTAAGACCAAACATGCAAGCTGTTCCATGTATTATAACATGCCTGATATGACTAAATCAACTGTATTTTGACTAATACAATTTCTAATTTTAATTTTCATTCTGACGTGAAGAATACAAATCAGCAGTAATTGAAGGATAACAAAATGTAACAGTTGTATTTCTAACTTAAAAGTTGATATAATTTTACCTGTAGATCTCTCCTGTCCCTCCTATCCTCTAACATGGGGCACTTCTGTACAAACTGGTTGAGTATGCCCAGCAGGAGGAAGACTCCAGGTGGGGGGAGGTCCAGGGACAGACTCTCCCTCAGTAAGGCCAGGAGAGATGTCCAGGAGGCCATCACTGTGCCATTACCCATCCTAAAACAAAGAACAAGTTGAACATGTTTTTAAAAGTTAGAGCAGCATGTCTATGTAATCTTGATCGATCACCTACAAGGTAAAGGCATAGCACTTCACTTTCAATGATTTTTCCAAGATACACTCAGGTCGAAACTTAACATGTTTTTTGGCTGTCCTGGTTAAACATTTAAAAAGACAGAATAACTGTACTAGTATCAATAACACCTTATACTACCAGACAAACAAGTAAATTGAAAATGACTCTTTTTCAAGTAGATTATAGTGCAATGTGGCTTTGCTACAAAGCACATTTACCTAATTATAAAAGGATGGCATAGATCAATATTTCCAAGTTTTCCATTGGTGCACAACTGTTCTATTTTCTAATGCCAAGAACTCACTTTCCCAAACATTTCCATTATACTATAATGATGCTTATCAGTAAAAGTTGTAGAGTAACAAAAAAGAGTACAATATACCTCATGAGGAACACATAGAGAAACTGCAGCATGCTGACTTCTAGGATGGGCTGTTTCCTGTCCTTCCCTGACAGGGGAGGGGACTTCACTACCTGGAAAACACAATCATGTATGACCAACATGAACAGAGACGGGGGACGCTACAGACTTTCTGGAACCTACATGTATGATTCACTGCTCACGGAGTCACGTGTGTTTGTGTGACGTCACGGAAGCGTTGGATAGCTCATTCCTTGACAAAGACTGGAGTTACACAGTTGAAAATTTGGGTGAGTCCAATTTGTTGTGTTGGATATGGCAGTTCAAACTCATTTCATATCCATTTTCTATCAACACAGATGAACTTCCAAGATATGAACAGAGTGTATACCATGAAAGCATCTTTGAACAGATTCCTTATAAATTTTCTTTAGAAATTGCAGGCCTGGGATAGGACTGTTGGCATCTTGACAAGCTGATTTCAAATGAGTTCAAATGTTAAAGGAACACTGTAAGAAACCAGACAGGGTGTGATCTCTAACCTGTGTGACAGTGTGGATGAGGTTGTCCATCCTGACCACTTTGATGGCACTGACCAGGTCCACTAACCCCAGCTGCTCAGTACTGGCAACAGGCAGCACCTGGAGGATGGTGGGAGGGTGTGAAAAGATTCAACAATATTTGTGATATTCATTATAATTACATGCCATTGGATCATAAAATAACTTTATAAGGAGAGATCTAGATGGAATTGAGTAAATATATCTCATTTCTTTTACACCTTGTCTACAAACTTACTACAATGAAATATTTCAACAGGATAGACTGTAGACAGACCATGCTATACACACAAAAATTACCACAGACAGCTTTTTAACTAGCTGTTATACTGTACAACGTTATAGTAAAATATGTTCAAAAATTCATGACAATAGTGACAATTATGGCATAACAAGTGGTAATATTAGTTCTAATGTGATGGAAGTGAGCATTTCCCAACCTTCTCCCTGCCATGAGACTTCCTCTTCCTGTCCCTCCACACGATGGCGACGGCTGCCATGAGTGATGTCCCGTGGTGGAGGGAGATGGGACTCAGCAGCTCCAGGATGTGTTGGCACAGCACTTTGGGAGAGCCCATTATCCAGGCGGGAGGGGGTTGTTGTGCTGCCCTCTGCGCCCTGCCCTCCCCCTGGGACTCGGCCTGTTTGAGGATGCCCCAGGCGGTAGCGAGGGTGGACACTACCCGGGGAAGGATGCTGATGACGGCACGTCGTGCCTCCAGGAGGGGTTTGACCTGGTTCTCCCCCTCTCCTCCATGGCTGGGCAGCTATGGGAAAATATGAAGGATAACTTTTTCATGGCAGAGTAAAAAAGGTACTTGATCAAACTTTCATAAACACTGACATAAATGCATTCAAGTTGATGCAGTTTCATCCTCCACCTAATCACCATCTTAATACTATATTTAATAAGCAATCAAAATTTACAGTGAGTCTATAGTTACTTCATTGAAGGTTACTACAACTCGGTAGTGCAATACACTTTTAAGGAAACTGTTACTCAAGAAACAGCATGGCTTTTGAAAACTTCAAAATCTATCAAGTTGTTTGAATAACAATTTCCTTAGCTTGTGAGTCTATACTTCTTCAATAAAATCTTTTTTATAAAAACCTGTAGATTACTGACTAAAGATAATTTGTCTCTAAAAGTTCATACCTTGTCCTCTGTATCCACCCCAAACATCCTCATCAGACTGTGGAGGATGTGGGTGGGGCTGCCGTGGTCCTGCGAGGACCCAGGGGTGCCCACTGCAGGCTGGAAGCTGATGCCTGATGGTGGCACGATACTATCCATCAGGCAGTAGTGGAAGATCATGGTGAGCCCCTCTAGAATGCTGACGAGTAAGTCAGGACACATGGACCTGAGGGAAGAAAAATTGATATGGAATTGTGAAAAAAATAGATGAAAGTTTACTTAAGGCCAACTCCTCTAACAAACCATGCATGTATCTGTATCTGTATAGCCGGTATAACTGCCCTTTGGCGTAACAAACCAGCTTCGCAGGCACGCGGCGCAGCAGCAGCTGGCTACATTACACCAAACGACTTGTTACACCTAACCCTTGAACATCTAACTCTAAACATTGTTTAAAGCTATCTAATGATAATGCCCCTACTGTACTTGGTGACAGTGAGTTCCACTCTGCAATAGTTCTAGGAAAGAATGAATTTTTGAACACCTCAATCCTTGGTTGATACATTGATACATTGTAACTCTGGTACTTAAAGGCATTTGTTGCTCATATGTGAAAAGCCATCAGATCTGTATTAATTGTTTAATGTCACTCTGTCCTTACCATTTGGGATGAGAAAAGCTGTGTGAATACTCCTTGGCCAGAGTCTCCACATTCACACACAGCTGAGTGATGATGGGAGTTATGACTCGAGGCAAGGCCTTCCCAAGGTAAGGCAGGGAAGAGACAGACATCGTCACCTATGGTAAAGAAGGTATGCAGAAACCTGTCATTGGACACCTTGAGTAAAAAAATCATCACCAAAGGTGGCTGTTGCTGTATGAAACTGTGCCTGTTTTATGTCTTACCCAGTGAGGGTGCATCATGCCGACTTTGGGCTGCCTCAGGGCACTCAGCATGGTGCCCAGGAACATGCCCTGGGCCGCCACAGGCTCCCAGCTGACGTAGCGCAGCGACACGGCGCCCTGCTCAAACTGGATCCTCAGCCGGTCCCACTCTGTCATGCTGTCTTCACTGTCTGTCTTACTCCTGTGGGAGAAGACCTGGAGACACAAGACATATAATCATACACCTGTCCAGCACATTGTCTCTTATCTCATCAAAATTTTGACAGCTTTAAAAGATGTACACAAACTTGTGTTTAGTCTAATGCTATCACCAGTATCTGATATAAGGTCACACTAATCATCTTGGACTGACAAACTTTACAGAAAGATTCCTCAATACAACTTTCCTTTAACATCTATTTAGCGTCTATACTACTACTACAGCAGTAGCCATACTTTAGTAGTAGTAGTTACTGTAACAGTAACTACTACTACTAAAGTATGGCTACTGCTACTACTAGGACTACTGCTACTGCTATTACTGAATCAGATAACTACGTTTACTGTTCCTAGACTTACCTTATCCTCCAGTACAATGATGGCCAGTAGCAGCTTGAGGAGCTGTCTCTGCAGGGCCTGGTAACCAGGGTCACTGGGCTCCCAGGTACACCTGGAGATGGTCTCCCTGGTCATGTCATCTGTGTCACTGTCTGATAGAAGGGCTGAACATGCAGGAGGGAAACAGGTTAAACTAGGACAAAGTACATGTACTATGATTTAGTAGTCTTTTGTTTACCCACAGTGAGCAAAACAATAAGAAAACGAAGGTTGAGGTTCATTGGACACTGCTACAGAAGTGAGGATGAAATCATACACCAGTTATTACTGTGGGAACCCACACATGGAAAAAGAGGTCGAGGTCGTCCAGCAAAAAAACTATATTAAGCAATTAATGGATGACACCCAGCTCCACAGGAAAAACCTGATGGTAGTAATGAAGGATAGGAAGACATGGAGAGCTGTCATTGGAACCGAGGGAAGCTCGACACAGTGAGAGTGAGTGAGTGAGTGTTTACAGTATCAAAGTTGCATAATACTGGTAGGTTAAGATGCAATGTATGGCAATCTACTTGGGAGTTTGTCTGAAAGTGATACAATTGTCTTTACAAAAAACTTGCAATGAACTACCAAAATCTACTCCGAGGAAGGTGGACTGATACAAAATACTCATTACCACAGTGCCCAATTTAAGGGTAACTTTTCTCTACTAGTAAGCTATCACCTACCTGAGTCTTTCCCAGCACTGTAGACTGTTGCTAGCAGACAGTGTAGCACAGCCTTCTGCACCTTACATCTGGACAACAGGTCACTGATGTAGGTGGCGAACCCTCGGCTACTCTCTCCAACTACTCCCACCTAGCACGGCAAGGGAGCACAAATATATTTCAGAGAAATTCATTTATGTGGTTAGGGTTATAGTTTAATCAGACATACATGTATTCCTATAGGAATCTAGTGATTATTATCTACAGTCAGCATTGTCTTTACCATCATTTGGCCCACCTTTGGGGGTTGGGACAATTCCTTGTACCACTGTAACCTACCTCTGACAGTCGAACATGGCTGTTTTCAGATATTACATATCTAAACCTGTATCTCTTGAGATGGTTCTAGGTTCTTCTAGGTTCTACGGTGATACAATAATATAATTATTAATAGTGTATCATAGTGTATCATTACAAGCGGAAAAGATACCTAAAAGCATTTACTCAGAAAACTTACCAACTCTGACAACAGCACCGTCAGCACTTCCGCGCTCGCGATTTGCACGTCTTCGTTTCCCCGGACGTCGGTCTTGGAGGCATCCAACATGATGGGGTAGTGTCCGCGCAGGAAGTACAGACACACAGACACCAGGATCTCCAGGTGCATGCAGCTGCGGAAGGCACCTGACAGCTCCGAGGAGATGGTGTGGTAGAAGTCCTGGCCTAGGAGAGATTGTCTATGCCGACTGAGAAGTTCCTGTAGCACTGACTGCAGGGAAGAACCAGAACTGTGGATGCTGGTGGTGACAGTGGCACAGATCAGAGCTCGACCTGTAGAGAAGGCACAAAGAGCATGGGTGTGAATACCGTAATTCCAGATCTTTTTCAAAGAATTTTTATGTCCACTGTTTTCATCGTCACTTCTGTACCATGAACTTGTCATTACTTTTATCATGACCATTTTCCTCCGTGAAACTTTGCTACCTTGAACACAAAAGCAAAATCAAACCATCTTAGAAAAGTCTGAATATTGGCTGCAATTTTATTGATACATGTATATTTTTTAATTACATAGGATTATTGGCAATACCGCACCTGCAACACTCAGCATGGACTTGAGCGTGGTCAGGGCATGTAACACCTGCAGGTGTTCATACACCTGGATGTACAGTAACATGTGCTGGTTCAGCGGGTGAACATTCACAGACTTTGCCTCTTCCACCTGTTCCCCTGCTGCAGTCTTGTTCTCAAACTGGTTGGGCACCTGTGCCCTGGCTCCTATCCTGAGGGAGGCTGGTTTGGGAGGTAACGGGGGCGGTTTTCTCTTCTCTGTAAGTGTACGGCCAACCGAGCTCAGGATGTCCTCCGGAAAACTCGTGCTCCGGTTTCGCAATGCCGTCAGCAAACTCTCCCCACTTTGCCCCGACTGGTCTCCCATTGGCAGAGACATGCTGTTGGAGTATTGCCTGCTCTCCGGTTCCTTTTTGGGAATGACAGTTTCCAGGATGTCTTCGAGTAGACTCTGTACCACCTCAGGGCCCCCCTCCCCCGTCAAGTCCTTCATGGTGCTAACACCGACTTTTTTGTCATGTGCTGAGCCGTCTACAGAACTCTCACTGGCCAGGGAGGCCTGTGACCCTAACGGGTTGACCGTTACCGACACCTCGGGTGGCCGGTGTGGCGGCGCTCCCTCCTTGCTCGTGGTCACCACTTGTTTTCCGGTTGTAGTTAGAGTCGTGCACGCTGCGACAGGCTGAGGGGTGGGGTACACGACAACCTGGTTGGGACTGACCACTCGGAAGCACATGTTCCCGTCTACACAGCTGATGCTACGGATGCGATCCTCAGCATCTGATTCTGTGTCCTCCCTCTCCAGAGGGGTAGAGGGGGTTTGAGCAATCTGTTGGGCTTTGTAGTAGGGAGACACTCGGGCTGTGGAGGGGTGGAGGAGGAGGAGAAGGAGGGGCTCCAGGATACGTGTCAGCTCCCCCCTCTGGACTGAATGGAGCAGCCAGGTCAGAGCAAGGGATCGTGGGATACTATCAATGGAAGACAGGTTGTCCAACATCAGGAACATACATCTGAAAAAAATAAATAAAAAAATCTTTTAATACATTACAAATGACTTTCAAACATACAAAACTATCAATTACTGACAAGAGATAATATATAATAAAAGGAATTCCTTACAAGGTTATCTTATGTGATAAACAATTGATAAACAATACTGCTGTCAACACATGTCATGTTTTTTTATAAAAATCATGGACCATGAAATGTACAAGTCATGTACCTGTCAAATGTCCTGTAGGGCCCAGGCATGTTGACCAAGTTGGACAGTTTGTTCCCACTGAGGTGCCACAATACACAGAACTTCCTCAGAGCTGAGATCTGCTTGTTCTGGGGACCATGGTAAGAGACAGTTTGGTTAAGGTCATTGACCTGGTCAGAAGTCATTATTTGGAACGAAAGAAGAAGAAACAGAGCAAAAACAATATGTTTTATTGGGTAAACATAAATATGAGAACATGTAACTCACGGGGTCCTTATCTAACATGGCCGTACTGATGACGTCCTGGCAGGTGGCAGGTGCAGGTGCCAGACTGTGCAGCTGCTGCAGCAGGGCAACACTCAGCTGGTGCTGAGAGGCACTGGTGTCAGACAGGTACGACCACAGGATGGCTGCTACAGTCTACGGGAAACAGAAATGTTTCACAATATAAAATACTGTGAAAAATTGATCACGGTAGAATATGCATATGGATTATTTAAATTTTTTTTCTGGTTCTGATGAGGTTATATAAAAACTCAAGTTACCCAATCAGCACTAAGGACATAAACAGTTAAACCAATCAGAACAAAGGAAAAGAAAGCATTCTTGGCAACACTCCTCTGTTGGGGTCAAGTACCTAGGATGGAGTGCTATGCAGGTCATTGATATGTCATATGTTGGTTGTACAACAAAACGTTCCAGTCTAACACAGTCCTAGGAAGTGTGAATATCTAATGTATAGCAATCCTTGCAATGTACTAGACTACACTTAATTTCAATTACAATTGGTCCCAGGACCCAGATACATGTATAAAGCTGCAAAGAAATTTTCCTTCCTTGACTTACATGATACAGTGTAGTTCTTGTGTTGATGTACTCCAGTTGACTGGGCAGTAAGGCTGACATGACCACCACTGTCACTGTGCCCTCACTGTGTCTGTGGGCCTGGTGGCTACGTGGCAGGGCATCTGGAAGGAAACATTTTCATTTTATCAGGTATAATCAGCTCCAGGTATCCAATCAGCACAAAGGAGAAAACAACATTCTGATCAGTATGAAAATCAGGTATAGAAAAGCTCAAGTTACTGAATCAGCACCAAGGACAGCAACAGGTTATCAAATCAGCACTAAGAACAGCAACAGGTTATCAAATCAGCACTAAGGACAGTAACTGGTTATCAGATCAGCACCAAGGACAAAAACAGGTTATCAAATCAGCACTAAGGACAGGAACAGGTTATCAAATCAGCACTAAGGACAGCAAGAAGTTATCAAATCAGCACCAAGAACAGCAACAGGTTATCAATTTAGCACCAAGAACAGCAACAGGTTATCAAATCAGCACCAAGGACAGCAACAAGTTATCAATTTAGCACCAAGGACACCAATAGGTTATCATATCAGCACCAAGGACAGCAATGTGTTATCAAATCAGCACCAAGGACAGTAACAGGTTATCAAATCAGCACCAAGGACAGCAACAGGTTACCAATTCAGCACCAAGGACAGGACAGCATTCTGACCAACAAAAACATCAGGAATAGAAAAGCACTCAATAACCAATCAGCATTAAGGATTTTCAAGACTAAGACTACATTTAAACAAACAAAATCTGAGTATTTGTCTGTTGCTGCCAACATATACTAAAAAAATTGTGTAATTTGAGTCCTTAGGCTGTGATAAATAAAAAGGACAGCTTTGTGAACCTTAAAGCAGTGGACAACCAATGTAGTTCTTATTACAGACCTGCAAAGTGTTTGTCAGTAGACATGGTAGACTTGCAGAGACTGATGAGCTCCAGACATGTGGAGATGGCCACAGTCTGGATACCAAAGTCTTTCACACAGCAACAACAGGCCAGTAAACCCTGCAGCCAGCTGGGCAGTTTGTCCAGAGTAGGACCTGGGAAAAGAATAGAAAGAAATGTTAGCTTAGTTTAAGAAAAGCAGTTACTGTGTGACTACAGGAGAAAATGTTTAAGTAGTTTGGGAGGCAATCAGCTAAAAGTAGCCAACTCATATTGACAACTAGAAAGGCCGACATTTGCTTTGGAGCAAATACAGCAATGGCTTCACCACATTTTACGACATGGCAGGGAAAGAATGAGAAACACAAGGGAAAACAATGCTTTACATTGATATAACTATAGTATGAAGTAACATACAACTAAGACTACAACAGTTGGATAGCTATTCCCTACATTATTGGTTAGGATTTTTAATTGCATAATGCAAACTGTTGATTTTCAAGAAAAAAAGAAGCGTTCATGCCCCGCATTCCAATGCTGGAGCAGGAAAGCTTAAAATACCTACCAAAACACTTGAATACAGACATACTGTCAGTATGGAATGGCTCTGTGCAGGTATTAATTAAGTTAAGCCTGTTAAAATTCCAACAGCCAATCAGCAAGGAGAATAGAGGAAAGCTGCATGCCTATTGGTTGATGCCCTGCATTCCATTGTGATGACTCATGCCCAAATCTGGTAACACTCCACACTAACTCAGTAATACATTTGCTATAACACAGCCAAAAAACTCAAATAAAACCATTCTAAAAGCCTGTATCACAAAAATTAAAAAAACGCCTGGGGGTATTTGCCTACTGTACCTCCATACCAAATTTCAGGTCCTTAGGCCCCCAAATGAAGAAGCTGAATCCATTTAAAGAAATGGCAGGAGGAGAAGAAGAAGGAGGAGAATCATGAGAAAAAGCAATATGGTTTCACCACTTTGTGGTGAACCCATAATTAAAGATAATCTTATCAGATGCATCTCTGAACTAGAAAGGTAACATTTGCATAAGCAAATGCATAATGTTTAACTCCACGTGATCTAGGCCAGAAAACTACAGCTGCTCTGTTTATTCTTAACAAATACTGAGACCAAGCCCTCCAGCCCCTGCAACCTGCAACATAATGTAACCCAACACCACAGGGTGCCTGCTATAGCACAAGTTACCATGGAAACAGCCATGTGGTCCAGACCATTGACCTTATGCCTTTGGAGAAGAGGAAGAAACAGAGCAAAAACAGTATGTTTTCCTTCTGCAAAGGTAAAAAAACATAAAAAGCAACAGATAACTTACCTCCTTTTGCTGTTGACAGTTGGGGCAGTGTAACGTCTGTTTCCTCGCTTGAACAATATGTAGGGAAAGAAGAGAACTCCAGGAGAAGACAACAGCAGGCGGAAAAGGCCTTCTGCTCCTCTGCATCATACTTCTTTTCCACCAGGTGCACAGGTTCAGGAACATAACACCGTCCACAGGGATTCCCATACCCCAGTGTCTCTGACAGTTCGGTATCTGAAAGCAGCATCTTCCCACCTGAAGACATGTTAGTTCTCTTCACGTGTGTTTCCCAGGACAGTTGTTCCATGTTCTTCTCAATGATGTCTTTACTTTTGATAATCCTGCTTGACAGGAATTCTGAGAAAAGCTTCAGGAAGTTGAGAAGACACATCTTCACTGGTGACAGCTCCTCTTGGTTTTCATCAGTTCCTAAAGTGTCTGCGTCTTTGTTTAAGTTGTCCTCTTGAAAATTTCTTCCATCACTGAAGTCTTTTCCCTCTGCTTGTCCCTCTTCTGGTTTCCCATCGTTCCCATTATATTGCACAAAGTCGGTGAAAGCGTCATCGTATTCGTCGGTTGTACATTCAGAGTCGGGGCTCATGGTGGCGTCCTCCATGCTGGGTGTGGTTGCCTTGCTGTGCTCCGCGGAGCCTGACATGGTCCGCGTGTCCGCAGCAGAGCTGGCAAGTGAGTCACTACTTGGATCTTTCTGTTGTGGAAGAAACAAAAAGTAATCACTCAGCTTAAGAGTAGAAGAAATGCATCCTCTGCGATACACAATTTCTGGGTAGAAATCTTACAGGTGGTCAAGACATGATTACTGTCTGGTCCAAATTACCTAAGGATCTGCCAACTCTCGTTTATCCTAAGAAAATGGGCAATTTGTCAACTATGACGAAAGAGTAATGAGACATTGAGAGTGCCACAAATTGTAACATTAACAAAAACACAAAATATGAGCACAAGAAACAGGACAGGATGACAACTACTGTTATACTGTTTTATTGCTGTTTTCATGACAATATTAAGACTTGTTGGTTGTTACACTGTGTTACCTCATTCAATTTGTGTCCTGTAACACACTGGTTGACCCACCTTAGGAGAAGGCAGTGTGCTGGAGGTCGGTGACTCGGACCCTAGTGAAGGTAGGACTTTACTGAGTAGTTTGGAGCAGAGGTGGAGGGCAGCAGACAGCTCAGACAGCGCCAACCTGTCAGCCTGCTGGGTCAGCGCATTGATGATGTCATCAAGTAAAGCTGGCAGGTGCATGGTCTGGATTTCCAGGTAGGTTTCCTGAAAAAAGGAGAAAATTTTTTACCAGCTTTTTGGCTTCCAAGGAATACTATACTCTACATAAGGTTAGAGCATACGTCATTATCATACTCGATTCATAGCAACATACAGTCAAACCTGTCCAAGTGATACCCTCTTCAAGCTGGCTATCTGGCCATAACAAACACCTTTTCCTGGTCCTCAAATTCACTTTTTCAAAGATGTAAGCCTTAAGCAACTTGCCCAAGAAGGCCACTTTTCCTGGATAGCCTTCTTGGGCAGATCTGACTGTACATTTCAACCTCTGTTCATGTATTTGTGTATCTATTTTATATCCATAACCACACTCTCTTCTACTCATCTACACAATCACTCATTTTTTCATAGTACACAGTTTTACATTATATTCCTCATCTTAATTTCAGTGACACCTCTTCTCTTTAACTTCATGTACAAATGAATCAAATCTGAATCAATTTCTTTGACTACCGTACTGGACTTTGAATCAAACAATTCACATAAAATATCAAAAACATAAATTTTGTTTCATGTACCAATGACAGGATATCCAGTAGGACCTCCAACAGCCTGGCCAGCCATGAGCAAGTCCTCCCCCCCTCCACCCTCCCCTCCGCAGTCTTCACACAACACTCCCCAAACAGGTGTCCGATATAGCCCCACAGGTACGCCGGCTCAAAGGCACTGAACAGCAGGTTAGCTGTCTTAATCAGCTCGATGTTGGCCTTGGTGTTCTTGGCCAGTTTGGTAGATGTTGAAGCTGTTTTCTTGCTGTTGCTATCATCACTGGTATCTTGGCTGTGTCACAATTGAAACAGAAACATTGTCACACAAAAAGGCTGAATGATGACTAAGGATAACATATACTGCTCAAGACGCAGCTATTTTTTAAGATGAATTTCAAATACCGGTAAGATCTCATTTTTATGGATCCGAACTTCTTCTTCTAAACCATTTTAGAATCATGTAATGCACTTTGTCTTCACAATACCAAAATTTCATGGTCTGAGGAAAATGGACATGTTTACGAAATTTCTATCTTTATGGTGGCAGCAAGTGCAGGAAGGGGGGCAAAAGACAAATGATTTGATAACAGTTATGTCATAAGTCCATGATACAGAAATGACTGTGAAAACAGTGAACATAAAAATACAGTGAAAAAATTGGACTTATGGTATAAATGTCAGAGAAAACTGTCACTACCTTGGCTGAAGGTAGAATTAAACCTGATGACAAGTAGGTCTTTAAACACATGTTACAGTAAAATAATTTGGTGTGGGTTTGCTGACCTTGGTATTGTTTCCTCGTATCTCTCCACAATTCCCTCGAACACATCCATGAGGACGTCTGTCACAATCTGAGGACCAATTTCAGGTTTGTCCATCAGGCTGATGAGGATCCTCAGGGGGCGTAACATGTCACTTCTCTCTTCTCCTTTGCTGCAATAATTATTTAATTAAAGAATAGCAAAGTTTTTCATTCACAACCACTCATTTAACAAGAATCAACATTTTGATGGCCGTTACAGTAACACCTAGCTTTAGTACACAGTAAACCCGTCATAATTAATGTTAAGCTTTAGAATGCAGGAAGTTGACATAAACAATACACAGATCTCGTAGGGTTATTGCAACACACTGGTACAGTATTGTTTTCAAATTCTTAACTGTGCTTGGTGATAGAAAAAACATGTAACACTTAATTCAGCAACACTTATGGGTTGAAGATTAACCATAACTATAATGTAAATGGGAAGAACAAAAAGCTTTAGAATACTGACCTTGATGTGGTATTGTATTGCTTTTGCAACACGGTTTTGACACTTTCCACCAGGGGTTCTTTAGAGTAGGTGAGGAAGTACTGACTGGGGTTCTCACACTTCAGGGATCTGCTGCCCATGTGGACAGAGTTGTCTGTGCCTGTTTGGTTGGAAAGACATTGAAAAGAAGTTCATGTAATCATAGAATGTAATCATGTAATCATATATCAAAGACATCAAATACAAGTACAACTACAAGATTGGTACTTGGAAACAAAAAAATGGTTAAAAGGACATACTGAGACACAGATCTGAAAGTAAACAAAACATGCTTTTACATAGACTTTAAAGCAAGGATCTGAATACAGTACATTAGACAAGTGTTCTAGCCTAAGCACCCATCTTTCCGTTCAAATATTGCCCAATCTGTCATCTTTGACAGACCAAAAATTGGTGTGTAAATATATATGGTAGAAAGAGATATGGAATCTAAGCTTTGTCTAGAAGCAAAAATTTTCCCTCAAAATGCAGGAAATAGCATTTCAGAGGGTCAAGATTTCAACATTTTGTAGAGCTGCTGTGGCCTTGACGTGAAAAAATTTCAGGCTGACTAGAACATTGCACTAGACACTATGCAATGAAGAAATGCATATTAAGGCCACACCAATTTAATTTCTTGGTTAACGGATTTTTGTAGAAAAATAATGGAGCGGGCGGGCGAAAAAAAAAAAATAAAAAAACAGCCCTAGGCATCCTATTATGGCCCAAAATGGTATGATAGGAGCCATGAAGTCAACACACCAGGCTGGTTCAAAATTTAAACAATATAAATTTTGAACTTTTAATGATACCATTGCATTGACAGATGGAATAACTGTAACAACTAGGATGAAAATGACTGTTTTCAACTGTTCAGGGCAAAATATGAGCATTTTGCTGTTGATTCTGAATTTTTATTTTTATTTGCAAATCAGAAAAAAATGAAGCGGCGAATCCGTTAACCAAGAAATTAAATTGGTGTGGCCTAAGAGAAATATATTTACCAAGAAGCCATGAGTAGAGCCTCCTGTTGAGTGACATGTCTCTCCTGAGCATGACTCCCAGAGCCTGGGCCAGTACTGTCACCATGTCCTGTCTGGTGATGGGGGAGTTGTGGAAGGGGAAACACAGCAGCAGCAGGTCCAACAAACACCTCTGTACCAACACACTGTAGTCCTGCACAGCTGCGCATAGGGATTGCACCTGGAACATGTACAACAACCATTATACTTCTCTGTACCAACACACTGTAGTCCTGCACAGCTGCACATAATGACTGCACCTGGAACATGTGCAATAACCATTACACTCCTCTGTACTAATACTGTAGACCTGCACAGCTGCGCATAGGGACTGCACCTGGAACATGTATCATATTACTTATAAACACCTCTGGACAGCCGCTAGGGGGTGGAGTACACGAATGTACCAACCTCATGTGCAGTGAAGAGACTCACATCGTGTACATCTTTATACTTACTTATATTTACCTAAGCTATCCAAAGTATAGCAAGGAAATCAGTGTCAGTGTTTTATAAGAAGCTTACCAGTAAGTTAATGTCTGAGCCCAGTACGTAGAGCTGGTCCTCTACAGATTGTGTCCTGTTGACATGAGACAGCAGGAAGGTGATGGCAGGCAGCCTGACACTGCTGCTAGTCAGCACACACTCCCACAGTCCCTCATAGAACACCGTCTTCCCCACGGCCAGGCTGAACTGTTCCAGCAGGTGGTTGGTCCTGTCGTAGTGCTCCGAGCCCTCCTCTAGCCCGGGGAGCAGGCCCTGCAGCAGGCCCACCAGGCCGGGCCAGAGGGCCGTGCCCAGGGGCAGGTAGTGCTGCTCGTAGATGTTCAGCAACGCCGGTCGAACTGACATGGCTGCATTCGCCAGGAGGGGAAACAAACCTGTAAAATGAAAGGAGAGATGTGTAAATCATAGCACAAGGACCTGGCAAATTTTAATCAACTCTGAAGGCGGTGATAATCTGGTAATACCTGGCATGATACTAAAAGCAAATGACTAGAAATTTACCATGAAGGTGGCTAGGACACATTCTCATTAGAAATTTACCATAAGCCACTTCGTTTTTATTCACTTTGGGATGGGGAGGAAGATGGAGTGAAATATACTCTATTTGCTCCCGAGCAAATGTTGGCCTTCCAAATTCTTTAGGGATGCATGCATGTGTACTGCATGTACTCATTTGACATTTTCGACTGCAGCTCTAGAAGTGACAATTCAGCCACTCCCAGTAAACTTTAAGAACAGCTACAGATATCTTTTTACCTGCACTGTATATGAAGAGGTCCTGTTTTAACTTCTGATGACCACTGATAGTGAAGATGATGTCGTACGTCTCTAATGCCTTAAGGTGCACCCCACTGGGCAGGGCAGGGTGCATGCACTGGGACAGACGCTTAGCAATCATCAGTCGTTTGGGCACCACGTGGTATTTGTTATTTGCCTGCAGCACCTGAAAAAAAGGATAACAGTATTAGTGAGGACAGATTTGGTGACTCCTATCCTATCCTGGTGAGTCCTATCCATTTTAGATATTAATTTCTCCATATTGAGAAAAATTTGAACATTGGATATTTCCATGAAGTAAAATGGGGTTTTGTGAAATTATTTGAACAATAGTAACTGTATGATATCGATATACTTCAATAGCTCCAGCTTTTATGCTGGCTCCCTGCCAAATGCTGTGATCTTCAAGTTCACTCAATTTTCTCTGTCTGAACCTTTCAACCTCTTGTCATGTTGTCTATTAATCTTCCTCCCAATTGCTGTCAACCTACTCTGTTCAAACACAGAAAACACAAGTAGCCACTCATGTACATGTATGCTGACGTAAGCTATGGGAGAGAGTGAGAGTAGGTGAGTGAGTGAGCCAGTCAAAACAAATACTTTCATACCTCATGAAGTAATATTTATTAATGATGAAGCATACAGGCTTGACACCTTCTGTCAAGTTGTTATGTTGCCCATCAATCTTCCCTCCTACTGCTGTCAACCTACATGTACTCTGTCTGTATACAAAGCACACAATGCAGCCACTCAAAACAATACTTCCATGCATAGAAGTAATGAGAACACTCTGAAGAAGCATATAGGCTTGCCACTGACCTTGTTGAGTTTCCCCAGTGCTGAGATCAGGTCTGCCCACTCTGTCGACACCTCAAAGCTCTTGAGAGCCTTCTCGACTGCAGCTACATACGCTCGGTACTTGGAGTCTGTCAGTAACTCCATCTCCTCTGTGCTGAACATACTCATTCTGACAAGTGGGAGAAGTTTGGTACAGTTAGTTGAATTTGATCGCAGCTTGGAAAAATGATACCATCCATTAAAACTGAATCAATCCGACGGCAGACACTATAAAAGTTTTGCTATGTGCTGTACATCGTCTAACTGTTAATTGTACTATCAATTGGCTACCCTGGTTACCAAACCTTTTTAGCTGCAGATTCTCTTTCGTCCTCTCTGCCTAGTATTTGCAGAAAGGACGAAAGATACTCTGCAGCTAAACTAGCTAAATTGGTACACAGGCTATCAATTGTCATCAATTCCATGGAAATTGAATACTAGTATCATGGTACATTTTTTAATCAAATACTTAGCAATGTCATACAGTGTCTTTATTGTAAAGAATGGAGGGATAACTGGCATGATAAATTTTGGCACAGTTGCCATATCATGTTAGGACTTAGGATGTGAACAGGTTGATCAACTTTTCTCTTATCTATAACTAGATCTACACTAGCATACCTCAACATTCTGGTGCTGGGAACACAAGTCCATGGCAATGAGTGGAAGGCATTAAAAAGAATAGGAGCAATATTGTTTGTATCATATTGTGGAGCTCTGAGTGAGTATACACTCACTAACAGTCTAGACTATAAATATATGCTGAAGGCAAGAGGTCACCACATGACACTCCACACACAGTAGCAGCTAAATGTATGTGTGGCACTGGCAGACTGCCAGCTTGGCCTGGGACTTAGCTAGTAATATGGAAGCTTCCCTGGCTTGATATTAGTAATATAAGAGGGCCTGCATGGGGGGTAGTGATTACGAATTACACAAAATTTTCACCGCCGATTACGAATTACGCTAATTTCTCCGAGCTGATTACGACTTTACGCTTTGTGGCTAATGTACTATTATGAATTACGTTGATTTTTAGGGAGGCTGCCTACGGATTACGAAGACTAAAAAGGCCTGATTACGCCTTACAAAAAAGAGCATGCAGACCCCCAAATAAGCACCCAGCCTGGTACATGTAGAAGTACTTAGCAATATTACATTATCTGATTATTCAAAATAATTTTTGCTTTTCCGCCTAGATTAGTAACGCTGAATTAATCATAAACTTCATCAAATACATTAAGCACGTCATTTAGGTGTTGCATACATGTAACATTACACCTCACCTGTGGAAAATTTGGATCTAAAAAAAGAATTTAAGTGTGGGTTATATAGAGCAATTTATTTTCTGAAAAAAATCAAGTTTCAACATTCCAATGTCAAGAAAACAGAGAGTAAAAAACAAATCCTAAAACTAGTTTAAGTTAAGAGGGACGAACGATAAACATCATCATTGACGTAACGTTATTGAGCAGTAAAATAACACTCACCTGTGATCAGTTCCGGGTTCTCACATCCAAAACAACAAAACTTCAACACCAGGTTCCAAACGATGTCAGCTGACCAGCGGTGAACAATCTCGTCCCTGAAGACCCTATATTCTCATCTTGCTGTTCCATGCTTGATACGGCTTCATAATTTCTGTATAACCGTCCAAAATAAACTTTATATGACTCATTTTCAGGTGAGAATCGCCATCTTGAACACGTTACTATATCCGGAGATTACGTCCACTTCCGTCTCCGAATAACCCGCTATGGATACGTATAAATGTCTTAAAAATGCAAATATATCAGAATTAATTGGTCCAAAATACGATGTTAAAGCTTTGTACACAGTTATTTAGTTAAAGTTACAAAAATATGGAAAACATGCCTTTTTATAAGTATCTTTCTTTTTGGTGTCATTGACCCCATGCGAATCGGCGTGTCACAAATCACGGGCTGAAATATTTGTACGGAACAAAATGGCGTCCGACGACGACGATGTTCCAGGTGAGTAAATTTGATATTAGAAATTCGATTATTAATCCAACCCCGCAACAATTATCATTGATATACCGCCTCGAAAGTTTCATTCGAGAACCATGAAGTCATGGCTGATGATTTACTAAGGTTACAGACTGGCGGGAAGGGCAAAAGTTGACGCTGACCTGTCGAGCGTTGTCCCAAGCCGCCGGTTGCTATTTGTCAACTACCATAGGTTGCTACGCACGTCCCACCAGCAAGATCAAATATCATAAATAATACCCCGTAAAGCCTGTTTGTTTACGGTCAATAACTACTGTGCCGGCTGACCCATTTAGACCATCTGGATTGCTGCAAAATAATAAAATTTATAACCTTTATCAGATCAATAAAATATGTTGTCGTTTATTTATAATCTACGTAGTAAATCGTCTCGCTTAATTATGCAGATGTTTTACTCTTGGACATGTTTCAGTTTTATGACGTAGAATATTGATATTAATAATTATTAACCTTTGCTTTGATAATTATGCCTTTACTTGACCGTAGACCCTACTCTACACATGAAAAGGTGGATGTTAGTGAGTATAGGTCACAAATTGACATAATGAGAAAATTACCATGATTGACCACAGTTTAACCTTAAAGGCCAACAGATTATTTCAGAGATAATAGAACTGGATTCCAACTGCAAACAGTGACTCAGGAATTTGCAACAGCTGTCTAGTCATGTTTATAAGATTTCAAAAATTTCCAATAAGCTACTTATGTAAATATTGAACGTCCCTATGCCAAGTAGTGTATGTAAATTACTGTTCAAGGTGCAGTTTGTCTATATAAAAGTCAAAGCCAGTTTAGACAATTTATTGCTCTATACAATAAAACTGTTAGTGGTTGCCATAAGAGCTGTTACACAATTTTCCAGCGTCAGAATTTTTTTAGAAACCAAAGTTACTTGTAGTTTCACATTTTCAAAAATGTACATTGAAATGTCTTTACCAAGGCTGGTCTCAGTTAATACTTGTGTAAACAAGCTATTGAAGAAGCCAATGTACAATTATAGCATGCATTGTTGGTGGAATTTCACTTCAATTTGCCTGTCATGTTAATCCTTTCGTTCACGATTTAATCCTATTGTAAATACTACTGAGAACTTTTTACTCCCAGGCCTTGGTCCTTTTTATATGCTAATCATACATTTTCTGTAGGCTCAGGTAATATGATAAGTACATACACATGTGGAAGAAAAGACCTTACAAAAAGAAGAAAACCTTAAGCCAGGGTTTTGGATGACTTGTGATACCTTATACTGAACACACTTGCAGTGTTGGTAGGGTGGGGTTGTCAGTAGACTCAGTACCATTCAACATGCTACTGTAGTGTAGAGTTACAGATCAGGTGAAAGATCTTACTGAAGTGAAGAATTAATGTAGAACAAATTCAACATTTCTTTTTTATACAAGTACCTTCCTTTGGCTCTCTTTGAAACAGAAGTTATTGTCATGTTTCCTACGTACTGCATTGCAGGTGCTGGGAATAATTTGATAATATGCCTAATGACCAAACAATGGCCTGAATACGTGACTAAGCCATATAAGCTATATTGGTATTGTTCATGATTTTGTATGGTTGCTTGCCATCTTAGGTATGTGCAGGTGAAAGACATGGTTCATTGCTTATTGAAGTACATGCACTAAACCACAAATGGCAATCAGACACAACATACTAGTTACCCTGGAGACCATCCAAATAGATAAATAGAAAAGTCACTCCTTACAAGTCATATTTGTGCCCATGTCTCACATTCAGTCATGTCTTTTGGTATACAAATTGTTTTGTTTGTTTGTTTTCAAAGAATTTCTTGATACCTTACAGCATTGCTTTGAATATGATGTAATTTTTCCCCAAAGCTATGATGTATCATGTAGCTTCATACACAGATATTATAACATCTGCCTCTTTTTTTTCTTTACTCAGAAACCGGTGCCATCTTCACATTTGGTAAGAGTAAATTTGCAGAGAACATTTCCAGTAAGTTTTGGATCAGAAATGACCGTATCTGTGCTGTGGCATGTGGGGACGAGCACACAGCGTTAGTCACAGGTAAGCAGTCCATGTCATGCTCAACATCAAAATCATCATTAATGTCACTCATATCTGTTGACGATGCAGGCCACTACTGCTTTCCACTTTATTCTGTCCAGTGTTTGCCTTCTGGCTCCCTTCACTTCAAAATTAAAGGCGTCAGACTCAGAGATGTAAAAAACGTAGTCAGTAAAATCTTCCGTCAGTTTGAAACCTAACTTTAGATTTTAAAAATCGACTTTCTAGTCAAATTGAAGTTGTAATATCATCTCATCTCATATAAATTGTATAGGCTACCTACATCTATGAGGTTGAAGTGCATACAGTTGTAGATTCGTTTGTTTGAATCTCTAATAGGTTTCTATGGATGCCCTGTGCCAAAATATAGAAGCCTGGTAAATATTGTTAATACATGTATATTCGAATTCATGGCTAGTTGATCCAAAAGCCATGTGAAGGTAGAATCATTATGTTGGTTTGGGTTAGCTACAAAAATGTATGTGAGATGTGGTAAATTGAGAGACTACTATTAAAAACAGGCTCAAGTTACTAGTAGATGTTTTTATGTGGCTTTGTTTGTTCACACTGACAAAATGTTGTCTAGAGATCCACTTACAAGTTCAACATTACTGATGTAATGGAGTCATGATAAAGCATAATGATAGTTTCTGCACTGTTTTCTTTTGATAAAAGCAAAGTTGTTGTGATGCTTTTTTTTAGTGTTTTTTGCCTTTCAGTCAAACTATTCTGCTAGAAATACACATAACATGCTTCACAACATGAAGCAAAAAATATAGCTGTTTACTTGTCATTTTGATTCCAATTTTGGGGACAAACCTGATGAATTGATTGATACTGACCACAGATTCCCAATGGCTATCAACATGATGTAATTAATCAAACTACATGATGGTTCCTAGGAGCTGAGTCCACTTCACAAGTCCTCTCAGGGGAAAAATTAGCCTGTTCAGCTTGGATTACATTAAGTGTTTAACTTAAGTGTTGTTGTGGTTTCCCTGTGTTCTGCAGAGAATGGTCGACTGTACACATTCGGTAGTAATGACTGGGGCCAGCTTGGCCTGGGACACACCAAGACTGCTGCCAAGCCCAGCAGTGTCAAGTGTAAGTATTGAGTCAAATATGATTGTCAAAATTTAGCCATGCAATTGTAATATGTGTCTGTTCAGCACTCGAAATTTACTGGGTGTATATGCACCTTAGTGTAGGTAAAATTGGAGCTGTGCAGGTATTTCTGATGTCTACCTGCACCTAACCTGCACTGGTCCATGTACTGGGTATATGCAGGTTAGTGCAGGTAAAATTGGAGCTGTGCAGGTATTTCTGATGTCTACCTGCACCTAACCTGAACTGGTTCATGTACTTAGTAAGTATTGGATTAAACTTTATATATACAAATCTATTTATTTATGAGTCTTCCTAAATTCTGAGTGGTGCAAGTAATTTTCAATGTTGTATACAGAAAAAGGATTTTGAGCCCTGCTGTTATATAACTATAAGATTATAACTATGGCAGCAGATGTGAACAAAGAATGATATGCTTAACATCTGTTATTGGGTCTATTTATACCTGGTGTCCAACTTAGATGATTTAATGTTGTCTGATTATTTTTTTAACATTGTTCTTTGCACTATTGATAGGTTCTGTGGATGACAGATTTAAACATTGTGCATTCAAATGGTTGCACAAACTGGAAAAAAAAAATTAGTACACTATGTTTCACAACTCAAAGTGAAACAAAATTCTTTTCAATTTTCAATAAGACTGGGAGGTTGTCAACAAGGTCTGGAACTGAATAGACCCTCAAAATCTTGTTACCGCTGTAAATTGTATAATTGTATGATAGAACAATGGTTGAAATAGAATTAGATGGACTTTTGTTTTGTTTTGTTTCCAGCCCTTAAGCATGAGAAAGCCAAGCTTGTGGCTTGTGGAAGATCACATACACTTGTAGCTACAGGTGAGCACACCTTGTCTGGGTAAAACACAGACACTATTGTGTACTGTACTTGTGTATCTATAGCAAACTATGGGAGTTTGGGGAATAAACAGTGTGGTATCTACAACTAACAGTGGAAACAAGCATCATATTACATACAAAAAGTCTGCAAGCAAGATTATATTGCATAAACTCAAATGATGTATCAGATATGTGTTGTATAAAACTCACATTTGATTAGTATGTTAGTGAATTGATTGATTGACTAAACAATTATTAGATCAACTTATCACATTGTATTATCTTTCCTTATCTGTAAAAGTCCCTATTTAACCACCATTGAATGCCAATCTAAAACTAGTAAAAGCAATCTTTTCTTTCAGAGGATGGTAAACTGTATGCCTTTGGTAATAATGGAGAATCCCAGCTAGGAGTAAGTGGTATGCAGACATCCCCATCTCCTGTATTGGTAGAGTCCATGACAGCACAAAACATCATTGCACTATCTGCAGGGACAGACCATTCGGCAGCTCTCACAGGTGAGTTTTTTTTTCAAATTAAGATTAAGAAAGGCTGGGTGCAGTTAGAAGTTAGAGAATTGAAAGCATAGTTTTAATACTAAAATTAAATGTAATAATAGTATAATACAGAAAGCGTTGCTCTTTATGTGTTTTTACGAACTTAATGTGTCTCAAATTAGCATGTTTGGAAATGGTTCAATGTTGTTATTGTCCAGCCATGACAACAAAACACTTTGCCACACCCAAACTTGGTATACTTTGTATGAAAACCAAGGACACACCCAACGACTGCTGAACGTCTGAACGTTAAAAATAAACTGCTGTTATAAAGAGTACTGCTAGGGGTCATTATTACACATAACCCATAAATTTTAAATCAAGGTGGGGCCTGCATGGGGTTTAATTGAGGAACTGAAGTTTTTAAGACTAGTGTTTTACGTTAAAAGATTCAATGCGTTTACAACTATGGTATAAATGGAAGTGATTCCTCATTAAATGAATGAAATTAAGGTTTTGTTTGTAGAGTTACAAAATATATATCATTAGATGTGGATATTATGATATATCAAAGTACCTTCTAAGGACAAAACAGTTCTATCTGCAAAGTCAAGTCAAATTGTCCGTATTTTTCTTTTGCTTTGTTAATGTCCAGACTTTGCAAATAATCGACATTCAATTCATTCTGAGCAATAAGTCTCGAGTGATGTACTATTAAATTTTTACTGATATATGCATATTTTATATGATATGGTTCTATAATTAAGGAAGATATGTTTTCTGAAAACCAGTTAATTGAAGGAAGCACAGAATTTTTTCTTTTGTATGCTTGGTTAGAAAATATACCAAGCTGCCAGAAAATGCTGTTGTTACTAACAGAAAACCTAATCAATTCTGACTCACACTACACCCAATGAGGACAATGTTATTAAAATGATAGGATAGCAGATAAATGTCTCTCTTTGTTCCAGCTGTCAAAAGCACTATTGATTTTATCATGTCCTTATTCACGGCTGTGACAATGGGATGGCAACGCCGTCCACACAGACAAATTTGTTATGGATACCAAACAAACCACCTAGATCATGTCTTATCACATGAATCTGGCCAAATACTTGGTCCTGGGATTTGAATCCTGGTCGATAAGGTTTGTTTGCTTGTTTCTCACAACCGGTAAACTTGCCTTTAGGCGTAACACACCAGTTTTGTACAGTAAGTTTGTATAAGCTGCATTAGACCAGACTGTAAGGTTTGAACCTGACTCATTGGGAAGGACCCCTACTCTTTGTGATAAGTGCATTGGGATCTGTGCTCGAGGTGTGGCTCTCCTCAAACACGGAGACCTCCAGTTTTACGTCCAATCCAAGAAGACGTCCCTAACTGAAGATAGGTACTCATTTCCATCCAAGTCGAGTGAGAAAATAGATGTAAAGTGCCTTTACCAAGGGCACAACAGTGGGGTCTGCCAGGGATTCGAACCCAGAACCTTCAGATTCTGAGTCAACAACTCTAACCACAACATCTTGCCACTTTAGGTGACGGTAAGGTGTACGTGTGGGGAGGAGGGAGTGAGGGACAGCTCGGACTAGGCGAGGACACCACAGAGTGCTCAGAACCAACGCTTCTAGACTTCGACTCCAAAGCCATCAGTGTGTCCTGCGGTTATTACCACACGGCAGTCGTCACAGGTAATTTGATTTTAAACATGACGTCAAACAAATAGTATTGCTCATATTCTTAACATTCTTACACGGCTGGCTTTTGCATACCAGGAAAAGCTGGCCAGTATAATGCTATATCTCATCAGATTTTTTAGGCTACAGCAATTGATTTGGAAGCTTATATGGGCTTTAAAATAAGTCCTTAGCAGACTAGATTAATGATTTATCCCCCTGTGAGTGGCATCCGTTTTACAGAATATATTTTGATTTTGATGAGTTTTTTTGATGTTGGAAGTTTTACATGTCAGATACCATTCTCAAAGATATACCTGACTTCATTTAAACATTATATTCCAAGCTAATTTTCTATCCAATGCATGTATCGAAAATAAAAATAGCATTTCTTACTCATCATCAGTACAGCTTGGTACTAACAAACTGTGAAAAAAAATAATATGATGTGTATTTTGTATTTCTAACATCCATGTAGAATCCAGGAATTAAAAAAAAATCAGGAAAAGATTAGAAGATACAAAATCAGGATACAAAAGATTGGAAAATCAGGATACAAAAGATATAGGAGAGCAATCTGTTTTGCATAATACCTTGCTGTAACAGTTGATCTTTTGTGCTAAGCAGCTTCCTAATGTTTAGGGCGTAAGATTATCATTTCATAAGAAACATGATCTGATTGACCCTGTTTGGCTGGTCCTGTCTCCCAGAGGACGGTAACCTGTACACGTTTGGAGAGACAGAATACGGAAAGTTGGGGCTGAACAACTCGGACCTCGACAGCAGCGACACTCCGCAGAAGGTCACAGGGATCAAGGAGAAGGTCAAGTTTGTGGCGTGTGGAGGAGGACACACCACTGCCATAGCAGGTACGTCTGGGGTAGAATGACTGAATGGTGACATGGTTACACCACAGGCTTTGTGTTGAAGAATACAGAAGATCCTCAAGGTATAGATCATGACTGAATACGAGTAAAATTATGTTATGAAATTTACTCAGTGTCACCCATCATAAAGCTTATTATGTATTCATTCACAATGACTTTAAGTTATTATTATTATTTGTGAAATATTCAATGGTTGTAAATAGCTACTAATGGTTAATCTTCAACACGACATCAGGGTATCTTATAACCTGTAACCAAGGAGCAAGTCAGTTTGTCCAAGGAGGTTATAACCTTGGGTGTTAGTTTCCATGTAGTTGTGGTGCGTATAACAATTGATGAAAAAAGAGACACCATTGGCAAATACTCAGTATAAAACAGACATCATCTCACAAGACATTACACAATACACATTTTATTAGGAGTATTTTGTTCTTTGTATCTTCTTTGTTGCATGCATTTTCTTTTCGTTGTAAAATTGGGTCACTCATATCAACATGACGTGTGATTTCACCAGACCGGGGAAAATGTGAAATTCAGTTCAAAGTCTATCTTACAGGTGTTTGTCCTCCCAAGCCTTTTTTTACATGTACATTCAGCTACAGCCACAGTCACGTATGATTCAGATATTGTAAAATATGAAACAGACCAAACTGATGTCAAAATGTATCAAAATCTGATATTTTATATATATTAGTAGTGGGTGTAAAACTGAAAGGCTTATCATATTCATAATTCCCTGCCTCAATATTTCCATAACAATGTCAGCATGCACTTTGTCATCATACAAAAAGATGTTTTATGAGGTTCTGTTTACAGTAATGAAGTATTCAGTCAGCACCATTCAGAGTTGACAGCTCAATAAGATGCCTGCATTGCTTCCCTGGGCGAACGGTAACTATTTACACTGTGTGCCCAGGGTTACAGACAATGGCAGTTACAACCCACAGAGTAGTGACGTACACAAAATACCGGCATACGTAGCCGTCTGGGAACATCTAGATGATGTGGTAGTCTGTGGTATTTGCGAATTTTGCACATATCATAATGATTGTATAATTATTATTGGTTATCATACTCTGTCGGTTTGTAGAAATGATGCATGTTTTAAAATTCAAAACATGTGTTTCCTACTACTACTACTACTACTACTACTTTTTCGTTTGAAAGAATTTCTATTTCAAGCATCACACCAGCTGTTTCTTTCTCCCAACCACTTTTTTTTGTTCGTATGTACGTATTTAGTCATTGTATGTGGATTCTGCACTGTAACAGTTGTTCCACCATTATTGACTTTTCTTGATGTTTTCCGCAGATTTTGATGCAGTCTACACATTTGGGGATGGTGTACTATGTATTTAGTTATTCTGCATTGTAACAGTTGTTTCAGCATTATTGACTTGTCTTGTTTTCTGCAGAGTATAGTGCAGTCTACACATTTTGGGAACCGTGTACTCTGTATTAAATAGTTATTCTGCACTGTAACAGTTGTTCCAGCATTATTGACTTGTCTTGTTGTTTTCCACAGAGTCTGGTGCAGTCTACACATTTGGGAACGGAGCCAGCGGACAGCTAGGCCACGGGAACTCTCTCCTGGAGTCGCCCACCCCTCACAGGGTGGAGAGGTTTCGAGACACTGACTGTAAACACGCCTCGTGTGGGGAGAACTTCACAGCAGTCATCACAGGTTGGTTTGGGGACAGTTAAGAATGGATACTCTGGGGCTTGAAATACTTCTTTCTGCATTGAAAATTACCTGCACCAGGCAAATTTTACCTGTATCACTCAGAATTTAGGAAATATGAATCATACTAAAAACTGTTCAGAAACCATTGCCATTATTTCTTGTACTTAACTCTCTATAGATGGCTACAGTCAGTGCAGCAAACAAAAATCTACATGCACTTACAATTTTTTTGTATATGAACCCTGTACATTTACCAGACTGCAATATAAATAAATAACTGGTGCATGTAAACATCAGAAATACCTGCATGCACAGCTCCAATTTTACGGTGCAATTTTGAGCCCTGTAAGGAGGGGTCCATCTTATCCTTACAAAAAAAATTGCTTCCAGGCTCTTCAAAATCATCGTGAGATGTGGCATATACTACCATAACAGGTGATTTTTGCTGTCTGAGTATAGTCTATTTAAATTAAACGTAATCTCAAAGGAAAATACACGTCAGGTGGACTAATTGGACAAAAAATAACTCAAAATTAAATCCCTAGATCCAGGATTTCCACAAAACCATCTGTCCCTTATATAAAAGACTTCACACACTATTTATATAGCAATACCTCAAGATACAATATCCACCTACACAGTCTGCTTCTTTCATTTCAAGGATTAATTTGTTACCTGGGGTCTCTTTCAAATCTGTTGCTATAGCAGTGTTTGTGCATAGCTTGTTAGCCACAATATCGTATAGCCAGAAATACATCGCTGTACTTGGGATTATATTTCTAACGCCTTTAGGAGTAACGTTGTACAAAGTGGCTGTTTCCAAGGTTATTTTTAAAGTGCTTTCTATCAAGGGGGATCAAGACATTTTATGTTTTCCTTGCTTAGAAGAGGGTACTCAAGTCTGGGTGCAGTAACTGTCACAGTGCTATTTTTCTTTAACCATAGAACACTTGAGTAGCCTGGTTTGCCAACGCAGTCTGTATTAGTTACTTACAGGGTTAGGCAGCAGGGAGAAGGTTAAGTTGTTTGAGGAAAGAGAAATTTGCCCTAAGGGAGGTGCTCATTTCTGCTTAGTGTAGGTATAAGGATTTCTAACAAGAAGGTAGTAGTAGGATTTTTTTTTTCTGTGTAATGAAAATGTACGTAAATTGCTTGTTGTATGACTGTACAATATTAAATGTATTAAATTTTGCTTTTTTGACTTTAGCCATAATCATAAGTGACCTAAAATTACTACCAATCTGTCATGTATTGGTACTGCTATGGTGTTTTTTCCTTCACCCAACAGACTAGAAGGGGTGTCGATTTTCTCCTAATATCCAAAGGCAAATATTCTGTCATGTTTGACACTATTTTCACCATCATAGTTACGGCCTCTACTCCAAGTTTTAGTGTTGTTGGCAATGTCCGTTTCCCAGATATTGGAAAACAAGCAGAAGTATTTGGAGAGACTTTGATTGTAAATGTTAAGTTTACACTATAAACTGTGACAAAAGGTTACCTTCTTCCGACTTGTCTCTAAGAAGATCCTTGAATAAAGCAAGACCTAGATTTGGAGACTTCTTAGTCTCGTAGAGGTTAGGACTAGTGCAGATAGACATCAGATATACCAGTGTACAGCGCCAATTTTACCTGCACTAACCTTTATATGCAGGTGGTATGTTGAGCCCTGTATGCAGTTTTTTCAGAAATTAAGTGCCAACAAGCTTAGATCTATTTTCACTGATTCTGTATCTTTTTGCCTGCAGAAAAAGGCTATCTCTACACATTTGGTGACGGCAGACACGGGAAGTTGGGGCTCGGAGACGAGAGTTTCACCAACCAGTTCAGACCGTTTAAAGTCGCCAGATTCAACAAGTTCCAAGTACAATGGGTAAGAACAGAACAGTAAAATATAAATTGTACAAAATATGCCTTTTGGGGGTATTTTAAGCATTGGGTTGCTAATCCACTGTGTCTAGGGCACGGTATTTAAGGCAGAGCCCAACCCTTTCCTTCCACCGCCTTTTACATTTGTGCCTCCCCAACCAAAGTCAGGTACCAATTTTTACACCTGGGTGGAGTGAGGAAAGTCAAATTGAATGTAAAGACACTGCCTTTCCCAAGAACACAATATCTTGCCAGGAATCAAACCCAAGAACTCTCAATCTTGTGTTTGCTACCCTTAACCACTCAGCCATTTAATGTCACCAAGAATTTAGAAATACGTTTTTTTCAGTGTACTACAATCTTGCAGAATGTCAAAAATTTGTTCTGCAATTTGGAAATACTTCCTGCAAATACATACAAAAATCTGAATCTAAACCCATGGCATATATAATACAAAATTGCATGTAGTGGCAAACATTTTACATGCAACATGAAAAATACATGCAAAATTAATTGGATATAAAGTCAGTAGTAAATACAAAGGCTCTTAAACACCATTGCCTTATTTTTTCAGTCTGCAAGATTGCAAGTTGCTTAATTTTGCAATTATAATAATATTGATAAATGTACCTGCAAAAAGCAGACTGCAGACAGGTATTTCTAACACTATAAGGAATGTGATGTGATTCTATTTCTTGTTCCCAGGTTGCATGTGGCGGTTGCCACATGATGGTGATAGCCTCTCCCAGGCAACAGAATGGGGAGATCAGCAGTGAGAGTTCAGATGAGGACCCGTTGATGGAAAGTATCTCTGGCCAGAAATCACTCAACCTCAGTAAACACAGCTCCGACAACAAAGAGGAAGGGGAGGATTCTCAGACACCGTTACTCGCTTCACTCACGCCCAGGGCAAGAAGAAGACAAATGGACGTATGTTAAAGTATTAAGCTTTCTTAAAACCAATGCTTACTGTATAGTTGCACCATTATTTATGTCATTGGCTCTTGGAAATCTTAAGGTGAAAATACATCATTCGGACATAATAAAAGCAGAGGTCAGAGAGAAAAACTTGTCAATGACTCGATGAGTATGATTATTTGCTTTAGAAAACTGAGTGTACCAATTGAAAGCATAAAGCCGGTCATTTAAGGCTTTGTTTTTGAAATCCATTTTTGTTTTTGAAGTTAAACATATTTGCTTAAAAATATTTGAGAACTAATACTATTAGTAATACATTTGTACATGTAGTACATAAAATTGGTGTGGCCTAAATTATGAAATTATACATATTACATACTTGTCTTAGAGACTTTTACAATTTTATATGTATTATATCAGATTCTTCAGACAGTGGATAATCATGAATTGGATGCTATTACTGTAACAGTGACTTTGAAAACTGAATTTGTAGCCTCTGAGTAACAATGTTGTCATGGCAGTAAGCTAATCAACCATGGTATGAACAGTGAGGTCAACAATTTCTCTCCTTTCAAATATAAGGTCAAGTTACATTGAACTATTATGTGATTATGACAAGAAACCCAGAATCTAAATTTTCAAAAATCCCCATTACATCATAATATTTCTTTTACCAGTGTATCCAATTGACGTGACATAATTTTGTTACTCTAGGGCGGACCGTTACCCCCGTTGAACCGAACGCTGCCCCCCATTGGTTCGGAGGCAGGCAAGCTCCCAGCGCTGAGTAAAACCCTCCCCCCTATGGACGGGGTGGATGGGAAGGCCCTCAAGCCTCTCGACAAACCACTTCTAGCTCCACTTGATAAGCCACTACTCGCTCCACTCTCTGAGAAAGGTGAGACCAGAGTTCTAGCTGGCCTGAAATCTTCTTAATATTGTTTGATGTGACATGTCAAGCAACAAAGGCTTGAGGCATTATGTTTGAGGCACGAAAATCCTATGCTAGGGGTTAGTTAGTTTAAACAAATTTGAAATCCTGTCCCTCTGAAATAACATATCCTGCATTTTGAGGGGCAAATATTTGCTGGTAGACTAAGCTTACTAAAAAAGTTACTTCAATGACATGTCTTTCTATATCTTAAATTGGCAATATTTGTTTGTCAAAGATGACAAATTGGACAAAATTTTTGTCCGTCTTGCGAGATAAAAATTCCATCCAATGGCAGAAAGATGCACGCTGGCTAGAACACTGCAATCCGTGTAACAGGACACAGAAATATACATTTTGTACTATGCAAAGTTTATCCAATTATTATGGGTTCACCACACCACGAAGTGGTGTGGTGAAACCATATTGCTTTTTCTGATGTTTCTTCTCCTTCTTCTCCTGCCATTTTTTAAATGGATTCAGCTTCTTCATTTTAGGGCCCAAGGTCCTGAAATTTGGTATGGAGGTACAGTGGGCAAATACCCCTAGGCGTTTTTTAAATTATTGTGATACAGGCTTTTAGAATGGTTTTATTTGAGTTTTTTGGCTGTGTTATAGCAAATGTATTACTGTGTTAGTCTGCCTTGTTTACCACGTTTTGGGCATGAGTCATCAGAATGGAATGCAGGGCATCAACCAATAGGCATGCAGCTTTCATCTATACTTCTTGCTGATTGGCTGTTGGGATTTAACTTGATTAACACCTGCACAGAAGCATGTCCATACTGACAGTATGTCTGTATTCAAGTGTTTTGGTAGGTATTTCAAGCTTTCCTGCTCCAGCATTGGAATGCCGGGCATGGACGTTTTTTTTTATTTTGAAAATCAACAGTTTGCAGTATGCAATTAAAAATCCTAACCAATAAAGTAGGGAATAGCTATCCAACTGTTGTTTTAGTTGTATTTTACTTCATATTATAGTTATATCAATGTAAATCATTGTTTTCCCTTGTGTTTCCCATTATTTCCCTGCCATGTCGTAAAATGTGGTGAACCCATCGCTGTATTTGCTCCAAAGCAAATATTGGCCTTTCTAGTTTTGTACTGTATTAAACAGTTACAAGTTTTAAAAGATGTGGGTTTGAGGGTTAACACCTTTTGACATATTAAATATTAGGAGAGTCAAAGAAGAAGAAGGATTCAGACTCAGGAGAAGAGTCAGAAAGTGAAGAGACTGAAGATGAGAGTGGGGAAAATTCAGACCTGAATAAGGTAGGTGATTTGGACTACATGTAAATATATTTTCAGTACTTACTTTACAGGGTTGATTTTTCATGTACATGTAGCTTCTGACTGAGAGCTACAGTCTTGAACACCACTCAGTTAGGTGTATGCCACATACTGGGTGGTATATAATCTGAAGCTTGGTGTTAGTAGTAATAGTTTTAGATTCATGATGAAATGCTAGAGCAGGCCTTGAGGTTAACTTGTCCCACCATATCCCTCCTTCTGTACTGTTTTGAACAGCTACTATTCAATGACATCTTTAATACTTAACACGTACATATTGGTTATCATTAGTATGGTGTAGATTTGTCCTGATGTCCAACCTGTTCACCCTGGCACCTGTTGTTGCAGACACATGTGCTGAAGGAAAATCCAGACAATAAGACAAAAACACTGTCTTTAGTAAGACCAGCAGACTTGCCCAAGGCACGTAAGGAAGAGGTAAATGCACCTTGTACACATAAGATTTCTTTAGTAAACCACAGACTTTCTTGTAGGAATTTTTGTTTGCAATCGTACGAGGTCTGTGCCATACATAGACCTTTATAATTTTGCTTTTAGTGAAGCTCTTCCCTACAAGTCATGACATGCAAGTCGCTCCTAAAGTCATAATGGATAAGAAATGTTGCTTTAATGTTATTTTTTCACCACTATCTATTAGTTACTAGTTCCATAGATTGCCATTTTAATCTTGTGCTTTATAGTATTCATAGCTTTAAAAATACAGTTACTGTCACATAATATGTTGCACCTTCTTTGATGGGAAAACTTAAAGTTTGTGATCCTTAGTAATGTCCACAACAGCTTCTTGCCACTGGTTCACCCAATGCTTTACACACTGCTGTTCCTTCACAGAGTGACTCAGAAACAGATTCAGATGAATCTGACGATGACTCAGATGAAAATGACAAGAAACACGCCCCACCAAAGGTGATAGAAGTCACTTCATCATAGATGCTTTTATAAAATACACTTTCTGTACAACTAGTCCTTTTAGACTTGTCATATTTGCTTTCTTTGTTATGGCTTCACCACACCATGAATACATGTTCCAACAGCAAAAGGCATTGGAAGATTCCATTGCTGCATGGGAGTATAGACTGTTGGAACACTTCACATTTTGAAGAGGCCCTGGGGTGATTTAGGAACAATCCATCTTTTTTGGAGGGGGATAGATCTATTTTTGGTATGGGGGATGTGGTGAAGCCATGCTGCATTTGCTCCTGAGCAAATGTCGGCCTTTCTAGTATTGTTGGATGTATTTGTTTTGAGACATTGAATTTAGAGCCTTTCCTTTCCTTTTATCATGTTTATGCAGTGGAAAAAAGGCACTCATGTCCTTGAAGCTTTGCTGCTGTTTAGAATATGCTCTGCAATAAAGTCTGAGTGCCTCCTTGTGTAGTATTAGCTTTAAGTCATGTCTACATTGTTTAAACCTTTTGAAATCGCAATTTAGAAAAAGGGGGAGAAGAAGGCTTCATCTGAGGACAAGAAAAAGGAAGAAAGTGGATCTGCAGAAGACTCTGAAGAAACAGGAGATGACTCTCCAAAGAATAAGGAGCCCTCCACTAAGAAAGAGTCGGAAAGTGAAGGAGACAGTACAGAAAGTGACAAGGAAAAGGACAAAGGTGCTTCTTTATTTCATTTAGTTGTTACCAAAAAGGTTACAGTTACTGTATAGAACTGTGTGAATTTTGTGATATCTATGGTTGATTGGAACATATGTCTATTGGTTTGCAACTTGACTTCTCCCACTATATGTGAAAGATATTTGTAGTTTGTATTGTCTCCTTAATGACATACATATTCTCAAGAAACCTCATAGATGGAATGTTTAAAATTTGGGTCATGTCCTTGGTGCTGAAATGTGACGCGGACATGATGATGGTTTAGCCTGCTAGCGCAGAAAATTTCAAACTGCAGTTCATTATGGTAGTTTGACCAGCAGATTGGCGTTTTTCTATTATATATTATATTACAGTACATGTTTGTAGTACAATCTGTGGGTTCTCCTGTTTAAGCATATTACCATTTAGTTTCAAAGTGACACAGATTTTGATGGCAGTGCCTTCTTATTTTCAACAGAATCTCCTACGAAAGACAAAGACGAAGCAGACGGACCACCTCCCGAAAAACCCGGTTTCTTTGCATCACTGTTTGGTACTCAACCACTCTTTGATTTTCAGTGTTGTCCTTTGTACTAATCTGTGATATTCTCGTGGTATAGTGTGTTTTTTCTTCTTGCATGACTATGGAACTTTCTTACATTACATTTTTCTATGCATGTTTAACATCATACATTTGTATCAACACTTCAGTTATACAATAATTGTAAAATTGATATAATTAGATTACATACTATTTTTGCCTCCATACAAAGATTTTCTTTCTAGTGCAATTCCAAGACTTATGGAATGTCTTGTAATATCAGCACATCCAGCAAGTTCTTGGTTTTTTTTGCCACAGGAAGGAAAAACAAGAAGCCAGAGAAGCCCAAAGATGAACCTAAGAAAACAGAGAAGGAAGAAACAAGTGAAGAAGACAAGGAAGAAGACAAAGATGAAACAGGAGATGAAGATGATAAGAAAGACGATAAGAAAGACAAAAAGAAAGACGATAAGAAAGATAAAAAGAAGGACAAGAAAGGAAAGGACTCAAAATCAGATGAAGATGAAAGTTCAGAAGAGACCAGTAAGTCTGACAATGGTTCTGGGGACAAAGACAAATCAGAGAATGAAGAGTCTAAAGACACAGATGGAAATCAAGCAGGGAAAGACAAGCCAAAAGAGGAGGCCAAGCCACAAACTAAGTCTTCCAAGGTGAGTGTTTCCTTCATAATCTGGATGTAAGACAAGTAATAATGTTTACCGAAGGAAGACATATTGTTTTTGCTCTGTTTCTTCTTCTGTTCCAAACACTGACCTGTCAGTGACCTGAACCAGACCGTCTGTTACCATGATGGTAACTGGTGTTAGGTTACATCATGTTGCAATTTTATAGTAGGAGGGATTTAGACTCCTGTCACCATATATATGACTGTACAATGTATTTGAGTAAGAATTAACAGAGCAGACCATATGCAAAGCTAAACATTATGCATTTGCTTTGAAAATGTTACCTTTCTAGTATATAATAATGTTATTTCAATTGTCATAAATGTCTACCTGATTCCAGTACTAGTATACAGCATGTAGTCAGACAACAAGTGTTTATGATCAGATGACATGTGTTCATTTTTTTTCTTTGGCAAAGAAGCATTGTACAGAACATTGTAACAGAAATGTCTTATTCACAGCTTCATCCTGATATGTTTTCCAGGCCTGCACTATATTATAACACAGGGAAGGCAACTAGGGAACATAGCAGCTTCTCAAGTCAGACAACTTCTCACTGCAGCAGCCATCGCCATCACTTCTCATCATCATCATTCCACTGTCAAGAGATTCTAGGAAATCAAAGTTCTAGTATAGTATAGGACGTCACGCCTTTATATTTGAAACACTTTGGAACTTAACTTGTGCAATAGAGCAGATATATTTTTCGATAGTTTCTAGAACAGAGAAAAAACACATTCCACTTGTTAAATCACACTACACAGTGAGTTGATAGGATTGATAGTTTTGTATGCAGTACTACATGCCGTACACAGTGTAGTATAGGTAAAAAGACTCTGTACTTCAAGTCAGTGCCTGTGCATTGTGGTAATGTCAGGGGTACAATGAATGTATGAGTATATATTAAATGATGCACCATGCACCAGTGACACCATTGCCATAGCACACATTTTTAAGTTACTGGTACAGCATCAAACATTGATACCAGACTGGTACAATCACCCATTTTCCTACCAGATCCTAGCTTCTTTTTTTTCTGGATTTCCAGTAAGAGTTGAAATTAGAACACTGCTGATGTGAAGTTATCAGTGGTGAACAGTGTTAAAATTTTTTTTCAGTGTATGAGGTTTTGGGAGGTACCTGTATAGGTATGGGATTGAGTATAAGAGTACCAGTAGTATGGTCCTCATGTTTTACATTGTAAATCAACAAGAGATCGAATGCAGTCTCACTACAATTAAGACGCCGTCAAAAGTAAGCCGGAGGCAAAATCTCTCCTTGGAGAGTATCACTGCTTTACTTTCAAGCTGTATTGAAGAGAATCGAACCATGTAAAACTGCATGTTGTTATCATAAGTTACATTTGAACACTGCACCCACTTACTTGCCCTAAATGGTACAATGATATGGTTCTAACCAGTGCTTTTGGGGCAATTATAGATTTAGCCATATACATTCAATCATATACAACTGCACCTAAACTCTTACGTTTAAATGTACAATGTAAATGTACATGTATTATTTTCGTTTTAGAATTATTTCGAAGACATCAGGGCAATGGGTTAAAATTCCTAGACAATCAAACAAGACATTAAAACCTCCCTTGAGACCAAAATACAGAAAAACACCCCCCATAAAAACAAAATTCAACAGTGTAACTGTTAAGAGTAAAAGAGAGGGGATGGACTGTTCCTGTGTGCATTGAGTACATGTACCTGCATATCAGTAATCTTTTGGACCATTTCGCCTCCATTAAAATGGATTCTGTTCTCAACATTCCGCTGCAAAATAATTATACATACTGTACATATAATATTTTGTAAATATAGGTTAATGTGTAATGTTCTTAATTTTGTAATGGTGTTGATTTGAGAGATGATATTGTCCGGTAGTGATCAGGTCTGATGTGCATTGTTTTGTGATGATTAAATCATTTCTTTCACAACTTGGAGCCTCCCTTCTCTTTATCTAATTGAAATTACAAGTTACAAGGCACTGAATAAAGAGACTCTTTCATTGACCGTCTGTCACCTTCCTCAGGGCAATTCTGACTGGTTCACATTGCACAGCACAGGTGTTGCTGTAATAGATGCATTCCAAAATGCAAGTGCAATGTGAACCAGACTCACATCAGAATTGCCCTGAGGAAGGTAACAGACGGTCACTGACATGTTGGATGAATAAACCACTTGGTTGTGTTGTCTCTTTATTCAGTGATTGATGAAAGTTGATGAAAGTTAACCATTCACAGAAGCTACAAGGCACATTTGGTGTCTACATGTGCCTGTCATTTTAAAGTTAGATACAGATGCAAGAATGTGACTGAATGAAATTCCACATATCTTACTCATTATTTAGAATGGATTCCCTGAACCGTATGAGTAGACTGGCAGTTTTGCGGGGCCTTTCGTTCCCCGGGGCGTGTCCACATCTGTCCAGCAGGTCCACCCGACAGTTGGGGACAGCTTTCTCCAGAACTGCTGCAGCCGATGGGGGGAGGATCTAAGGAGATGGAAGGTGTTAATATACAAGACAAGAACATACTACTGCTGTAGTTGTCTTTGTTCACAAATGTTGATACTGCTATCTGAAGAATGCAATGAACAAATTTTTCTCTAAATACTAGTACTGCATTCTTGTTTGGCTTGTAAAGGATTTGAATATCATGAATAAATCCTCTGCCAGTTTAGCAACACGTGTTTGGAATATGAAATGAAAAATAAATGAGTAAAATCAACAGAGGTGTGGCACAGCTGAAGGAACACAGGGAAAACAATTTTATATGTACACTGTAGCACCCATTGAATATCCTACATAATACTTTTTAATCTAGTATCATATGGCATAGATTTATTCTGATACCTGATCATGCTTCCCCCAAATGACCTGGGTTGGGGCTGTGATTTTGTCCATATACTCCTTTTCAAGTATGTCTGGGGTTTTCCTGGACTCGGTTAACACTGCAGTGAAAGAAAACATGTAATACATGTTTTTAGAAGTCCTGACTTACCAACAACATTTTCATACTGTTTGGGATTTCAAAGGTGGGAAGTTAAATTTCCAGGTGACATAAAGTCATTCTAAAGGTTGATCAGCTCCCAGATAGTATAAAATACTAGTATTTTAACTAAACTACATACATTCAACTTGTAGATGTAAATGTACAACATTTTAAAAGTCTCAAAACTCACTTTTTCTGTAAAAGTCATGACGTGGTTTCCGTAGCTCTAACACTCCTTCCAGAATCTGTGGATGGCCAGCAATGGAACAGTTGATACAGCCAGTATCATTCATGTATAGATCCAGTAAAGAAGTAAAAGCCAGAATGACATTTGTAGACATTGTAATGTAACATTGAGTAACATTGCCCTCCATACATGTAAAACTAGTCTGTGGAGAGCACAACACTAATGGGTAACTATAAGGCATGAGTTAACGATAGCACACATATTGACTAGGAGAGAATTGAGAGACAATACACACCATTTCAGGTGGTTCTACAACCTTCCAGTCATAAAATACTCTGTCCAGCATCTCTTTTAGAGCTGTAGTACTCTCAGGAATCAGCAGTGGTCCTATATGCTCCAGGGGTGGTGTTCTCACACCTGAAAAAAACAAAAACAGCCACAGTCAGCAGTTGAACACTATTCTGTTTTATTCTGGGTAAAATTAACCAGTGAAACATATGATCCCAACTACATTTGAATGTGACAGATATAATTACTAAAACGAGATGTCGGCAGAACATACATGTACTGCACCTGCCCGAAACCCCGATTTTTCACATTTTTTGTTGGATTTTTGGTCAATGTTGCATCAGAATTTTGCCTGTTGCAGACAATATCTTTTTCCAGTACTTGGAAACTACAGAATGATGAGATGTTAACCTTATATACGCGAGTACGACCTTACATGACACATTCTGACAAAGTGCTATGCACAATACATTACGCGTTTTGCACAGGTGCAGTACGTTCTGCCGACATTCTACTAAACCCTTTGGTCACCCAAGGCCCCATATATATAGGTAACCTACCTGCAGGACACATCATGGTGAGAGCTGACACCTGTTCCGGATGACTGGCAGCGTAGCAGCCGGCTATTGCCCCTCCCATGGATATCCCTACTATGTGGAACTGTGTACGATCCAGTCCAATGGCACCAACAAACTACACAAATAGACAAGGAAAGGTCAATATTGTTCTGTTAAGCAAACAGAACTTTCCACTACCATCATTTAAGAGTGTCTGTTTTATCATTACACGGGATTAGAATAGTTACTGCAGAATATTTGGCAAAAATATAATCCAACTGGCCAGGGGAATGGGTCCACCATTACAGTTTTATTAACTGTGGAGGCAAATGAACTCTACACCGGCCAATTATTCTGCCTATTTGGCTAAATTTTACCATTGTTGAACCTGCATTGTTGAACCTCTATTTTGGCAATAAGTCAAAGTAAGATCATCCCATCTGATCATCTGCATGAAGAATAGACTTTGAAAGTACATACCTGGTGTAAGATGACCAGACCATTCTGGAAACTCAGATCATCGTCAGGTTTGATCTCAGTGTCTCCATGTCCCGGCAGGTCCACAGCTATCAGGTGCAGGTGTTCAGGCAGGTACTACAGACATCGGGGAAGTTTTAATTGTTTGAATGGTTTAACATTCACACAATCAAGTGTAATATATACATGTATATGATAACCATCCTCTGCATTGCTGAGACGATAAAAGACTTGGGTAAGGGGGAAGATCAGTATGGTATAGTTTTAACGCCCCGTACTGTGTTCCCCAGTACCCCATTGTTACCCCCAACAATCGTGCCTCCTAGCAAAATACACTAGGATCACACATTTTACACATGCATCCTGTAAATGTGAGCATCTATTTTCGAGCATTGTAATGGAGATTACTGGCTCCAGCACATACAATAATCATTAAATCGTCACCATGCCACTGATTTTTATTGCCTGCCTTGTTTTTTTATTCTTTTCCGCCATGTCGAATCAAATAAGTGTGACCTCAGAAAAAACTGTAACTGATTGTCTGAAGGTACCTTTATCATTTCACACCAGGTTTCTTTCCTGTCGGTGAATCCGTGCAGGAACAACATGGAGGGTTCTCCATCCCGTGGCTCTCCTCGTTCCATGTACGCAACCTGCCGTCCCGCTGCCTTGACAAACTTGATCTTGAAACCCGTTTTCCACACATTGTACCTAATGGGACAAGTATGTAATTGTAGCAGTGTGGTTCAAGTACCACCAACTGACCTGTCCAACAGATCCAGACCTTTTAGCCTAGTGGTTTGAGCATTCGTGAGCTGGCAGTCCGGGTTTGATTCCTGGGAGCATTAGGAGACTTTGTGTTTTACTCAACCCATTGTGTTGTGTTGTGTTTCTTAATCTCATTCAGAAAGGCTATCCTGTTCTTGTACCGCCATGTCATATTGCAAATAACTCACTCTCTCACTCACTCATTTGCTCGCTCACCTGCTCATTCACTCACTCACTCACTCCTTTGCTCACTCACTCCTTTGCTCACTCTCCTTCGCTCACTCACTCAATCACTCTCACTCATTCACTCACTCAATCACTCTCACTCACTCATTCACTCAATCACTGACGCTTACTCCTTTGCTCACTCACTCCTTCGCTCACTCACTCCTTTGCTCACTCACTCAATCACTCACTCATTCACTCACTCAATCAGACACATACTCACTCCTTTGCTCACTCACTCCTTTGCTCACTCACTCCTTTGCTCACTCACTCCTTCGCTCACTCACTCAATCGCTCACTCAATCATTGCCCATGATACTGTAACAACTATCGAGCTAAAAATTCTAAACAATAATGTAGAGCCTGGCTTACCATCTGAGTAGGATAAGGATATAAGCAGGACGGAGATAGCACACAAACAGGGCGGCAGCTACTGTGGACACCAGTGTACCCCCTCCGGCCAGCAGGATCAGGGCAGGCGAGGCAGGGAGGACATCCATCTCACGGGGGGCCGGGGAGGGGAGTGGGGGGGCAGGTGAGGTAGATTTACACCTGAAGGTAAGGAGGGGGAGGAGAAAATCCTTTGTTAGACAAAGGTTTTATTTGCACCGCCTTGGAACCCAAGTTCACTAGCTGGCTCCACTGCCCCCTAGGACCCCTGTAGTGATTTTTAGCGAAGACAACAAAGGCCACGCTGAAAATCGGGGCCAATGTTCACGATTATTTAACCATATAAATTGAGTTTGACTACGACCAACTGTGCAGAGATCACACACCAAAATACAGAAACACAACAGAAGAAGTTTAAACATCAGCATCACACTAAAATTCAAGGTAAAAGGCGTAAAGAAGTGTACCGTGGATGTCCCCGTGGCCACATGTACAGAACAGCTGTCGATTCGACCGCTCGAACGATGACCTTCACTTCGCTTCGCCTTGCGGTCTATCAAGATTGCCCTGCCTCCTACCGGTTTTACAGAGAGTTGCAACCGTACGTAAGGGCAATGACGTATTGCTGATACTATACATGTAATATCATCACATACGTCAAAAATCTTACGATATTAGTCCAAGATGTTCTTTAGGTTATTCGCTGAACATGATGATACTCAGATTAAAAAATCGTGAATCAGCTCAAACATCAAAATTCGCAAAATATTCGTACAGTGGGTCATGTCACATCATATTTTTCTTGCCTGGCAATGACGCCTTTTGTAAATCTTATAAACCCTTGGGTCAGCGTTTCATTTTTTTTCTTTGACAGTTTGAGTGGATCGGTTCCAGAGAGAACTGTGGAAGTGACAATGAAAGATACAGCTAGCCTCGTCGGTACTATTTCAGCAGCTCTGTATGCCGCTTTGAAACGTTCAAGTCAACTTGAGTGCTTTTTCCTTTTAATCCAACTGGGCATCAGGTTTGCGTTGTTGGCCATTTATGATTTATCCAATCGATCAAAGAACAACGCCTTGGTTGAGCAAGAGGCCTAGGGACTCAGAGTTTTGTTTGATTGCAGGCTATATCCGCTCAAGTTTACGACCGTTGCAACGGCCGCTTTGACCTTCAACTCGAAAGAACCGTACAGATCTACAGGCATATGGTGGCGGGCATCGATCTGTGAAATTTGTCCACTGAGATATATAAACAGCTATTCGTGCACTTCTTTGTAGACAGGGGGAGCTGACGAGGCTGACGGTTTGAATGTCAAATTTGGCTTTGCGTTGACTAGGCTGAATTCACACATACACGATACCTCAGTACGCTATTCAGCCTATTGATTACGCAGCAAAGCGAAAGGGTGATCCATTCATGCGCTGTACGGTTCGTTTGAGCGCCACTATACACAAACCCTTGGAGTATATTGGGCTCGAGGGTGGATCTGTAAGAGAGGTGATTTCTTACACTTAAGCTTTTATCGTGAAAAAAAACAACTGAATTTGTTTTGGCAAGTGACCGGACCTTTCGTGCATAGAAAAGCTTTTAAAAATGCCTTTACGACAAGACAAAAACAGGACTTTCCTGTATGTGTTTGCAAAGAAGCTAGCCTAGCTAGCCTGGTTGGCAGATTTCCTATCGCTGAAAACATCTGGACTGCGCGCGGGTTTTTGCTGCGTTAGGAAGCTGAGGTGCTGACCCTGGCGCCGTGGCTTTTCCCCTGCTTGCAACAATGATATAACAAACTTAATAGAATCTCTAGCTCTAGGGTACCGGTGAACCATGCTGATTTGATTATATCACGGATGACGTTCACGCGCGCATGAATTTTCGGCCGTTTCCAAAAAAAAAAAAAAATCAACCATACTGTAAATCGTACAAATCAGTTGCAAAATAAGGAAATATACAACAGTAAGTTAAAAAAAAGATCGGAAAACGATACCATATGTCGTAGAATACCAAAATCAAAGTGAAAATGTAAAGAAATTCAATTTGAAGAGTAGATTATTTGTCATACCATACTCTGTGTCATTTGTTCAACCCTCATGACGTAGATTTCATGTTGAATCAGAAAGCAACTTTTTTTTTGCCAAACTTTTTTTTATTCGCACGCTCGCATCAGTTTTAGGGTAACGAGGGGATCTCATCCATATAATCAAATCAACATGGCCTAACTACCATTTGGCCAATGGCGCAGTGTAAAGGCCTTTGGTAACTCCTCAGTACAGTACACGACGACTCAATTTCTTATCGCGGGCCTTATCAGGCTAGAGGAGTAATTCAATCTGCGCAGTAGTAATAGTTACGCCAGCACACTTGAACTTGGGTCCTGAGTATTAATAGAGAGTAATTACAAGTTGGAGAGAGAGCACCGAATCTAAGACCAAAATTGGGACAAGCGTGTAATCGAGGAAAGGGCAACCCCTACTTTGAGAGGCAGGGAAGAGGATTTATAGAATGGAAATTCTAAATGCTGATTTTGGACTTTTCGGTGATTTTGGTAGAATTAGATTGTGTGGCATCTCTGATCTCTCTTGGACTAGCATTCAAAGTAATATTTGCGAGTTGAAAACACTGTTCAGAAGATTCTTCACAGCGATCATCAAGGAAACAGGGCGTGTACAATGTAAGTTGTGAGGAAAATTGAATCAATGTGCTTCAGACAGAAAAGACGTCAACGGGACTAGCCGGGTGGTCAAGTTGATTTATCTGTAATGTTGTATCCGATCTTCCCTGATTAAGTTACGCGAAAGTCATGATGCTATTAGTGCTACTAATTAACAAAGCAAATACATGTAACTGTCTTTATTGACATCGCCATTGATTTACCCTCCAAGCAAATATAAAACGGGGCATATATAGAAATGTAACGATGTTCACCCATCAACCTCTACTTGGAGAGTACATAAGGGATTTGTAAAATCTAAATATTTATCACAGAGACCTCGTGTGTTATTTACATATGTCCAGACATCGATTAATGACATTATATAGGTCATTGGTGTAACCAATCCTAGCCTTGGCGTAACTTGCACTCGCGGCCGAGGGAAAAAGATCATTCTCTAGTTGCCACTGTTGATATTTTGTTGACCAGTAGAATGAAAATGACTACAAACACCAGACGTACGCAAGACAACAACACGGGGTCACTTTTCAGTTGATCTACTGCTATTTCTTTTTGTTTGAGTGAAAATTGCCCTAAAGCGGTGGGTACATAGAGTAACTCTGTGGCGAGGCCTTATTTGGTGTGTCCCCAGGGACCCACCGGGTGACCCACTGTCCCCCCTCACGGCCGCTTCACTTTAACTCATGTATTATTCATCCGACCCGTTCAGTACATCCCGTCTACTTTCTGCATAATTAACGACCTTGCCTGCAACTGTTTCAGAAATTTTCATCTCCGTGCAGACGACCGTGAGAAAGCCTACCGTTCGCGGGGAATCAGTGTCTCCTTCGCGCATCAGGTGTAGGTATCGGCGAGGACTACTTCTCTGCCTGACACGGCGCACGTTTGCTCGCGGCAAACAGTCGGACCAGATGGACGGATGAGCTTAGCCCGCAATTGGTACTGTTTGGATTGTAAGTACGGGAGCCGCCGCGGGGATTAAAAGTACAAGTACGCTAGCTGCACGCCCATGGGAAATCAATCTGTGCCTTGGCTTGCCGCCAGAAGCCAATCACTGTGCCGGGAGGGGGTTTACTCACACGCACGACAGCGTACGCGTGCAGCCACGGTTTAGTAGCGATCAAGGACGCGCGACAGCAACGTTTCAGATGGGGTTACTACAACTGCACGCACGGACGATGTCTCGGCTCGTGGCAACAACAATCCTCCTCTGTTTGTGGGTCAACTCGGGGCACTGTCAGCAGAATCCTGGCTTTGCTTCGCCCGTCGCTAGCGTGGACACGATCGTTGGACAGCCGGCCATCCTGCGATGTACCGTCAAGAACAGGGGCGACGCTAGGCTTAGCTGGGTCAAGAACAGCATCCCAGTAAGTATGGGCAACGACATCCTACTGGCCGACAAAAACCGCATGTCACTCATCAACACAGGCAGACAGTACGATCTGCACATCACAAAAACCGTCCTGGAAGATGAGGGAACCTACACGTGTGTCATCTACTTCTCATCAGGGTACAATTCTTCTTCAGGGGACCTGACAATCTTGGTGCCTCCCACCGTACAGTCTATGACCGTGAACGGCCAGGAAGTGGGACAGAAAGTAGTAGTGGAAGAGGGGACAGACACACTTTTTAACTGCACCGCCACGGGCAAGCCTGTACCGAATGTCATATGGAAGAAGCTCGGCAAACACGGTAGCGTGTTCTTCCAGAATAGCACGGTACTCATGTCAAACGTCAGTCGCACGGCGTCGGGACGGTATAGCTGCTTGGCTTCGAACAACGTTTCGCCAACACACAACAGAGTCGTGGATTTTGAAGTCCACTACGTGCCAACGGTGACCCCTCGGCGGTCAGAGGTCATGGCGGTATTACGGGGAAGGACATCGCTAAAATGTGACGTGGACGCCCTGCCAGCCGCGACACAACTGGATTGGTACAAAGATAACCGTAAGATCTCGCTGGGACGGAGATACGAGTCTACCGGAGGAACGACGGGAACATTGGTCCTGGAGCTCGCGGACGTTAGGGACGGAGACTTTGGCGAGTACATTTGTCGCATCAGGAACAGTGTCGCTCTGAGAGAAGCAAGCATCACGCTCTACGAAGTGGCGACACTTCCGCCGACTACGCCGGGATATGCTGAACTTGACGTTGGGAGTGGTCATCGGTTAAGTTGTACGTGTATAACTGTGTTATGGATGATCCTCGTAACTCTCATACTTCAATGATAATGTCCTCACTCATTCAGGTATTATATAGCATATAGTCAGGCTGGCAGATGAGATAGCTGTTGTGTACCAATACACGAATGCAAGTATGTACTGTATCTCTAATATTTGCCTAGGGGTAAGAAATGTAATTTATTGTGCTGTGTACTTCTCTAAATCTAATGTGTGCAAATTATTGCCAGCCTGTAGGCTTCCAGCAACATAGGGCTCAGAAATGTAGATAAGTCTTTGTAATAAGTTATGATAAGGATTTGTATTATGACACTGGGTGTGTGTATATGTGATTGTGGCTGTAAAATGATAAGAACTGTGCTTGCCTGGAGCTACCTTGGGAAAAATAACTCCAGGGGCTTCTGAAATAGATTTGGAGCTCAGTGTGACAGAAATACCCTTCAAAGGATGCTTATCGTCAAGTCTGATGTCTCAATAGCCTTAGCACCAAAAGTGGTACTGAAGGACAGAAATGAGCCGTGATGGTAGCACTTAGCTCTGCATGCACCACGTAATTGACATTGGAGTCTGAGGACTAAGCTTAGAAAGATCCCTCCTAAATGTCTACATGACAGTGAAGGAAGTATCAGAGTACAGTTTGTTATAGTTGTCCAATTCCAGCCTAGGATTACTGACTTCTGCTGTGACGTGATATGGAATCATGGTGTCGGGAAGGGTTAGAAGTCTTCAGCAAGCTGTCCTTGTAGATTTACCCTTGGAAAATCTCTTAGCCATTAGCTAAGAAGACTACTAGTCAGGTTAAGACTATGAGTTTGGGCACATGGTTGGAATTGAAATGTGGTGGTTGGCTGGTGGTGAATTTCACATTCAAGGGTGGACAACGAGGTTTGTAGGGATGGGATAAGCTTTGTGTCTATCTTATGACAGCTTGTTCTTGCGTTTCCTTTTGTTTGATTTTTTTAGATAACTCATCCTCCATCAAAAAAATGAGACAAGACATTCCTGTGTAAATTTATTTCCAATTTTATACCATTCCACACTCTACAATCCTTCACTATTGTTACATGTAAGAAATTTCCAATTTTAATATCATGCAGTTGAACCATTCATAAATCATGTACAAAATGACTGTCAACCAATGATGGTTGCCAGAATGCCCTTCCTACTAGTAGTGCCTAGATGAAAGATGTCTGATCTTTTAGATGCACTTTAGCTGTCTCTTGCACTTTGAAAAAGTGACAATTCACTGCTGGCTAAAAGTGTTCTGGGTCATGTGCGGTGACTGTCACGTATCCTGGTAGCCATTAGTGCACACTGTCGGTGAGATGACTCAAGATGCTCAGTTCTTATGCCATCATCAGGTTATACTTAACTTATAGTGGTGTTTGCCGTATTCTGAATCTGCTATCTTTCAATTGAAAATAAAGATATGTACCGTAATGGTCATAATGTCAATGCTATACTGAAGACAACAGTGATCATTTTTGTGGATTGAATTTGGAGTTCATTCTGTTGGTTTTACTGTGAGGGAGGAAAAATTTGAAACTTCAAACTCCTTGTTTTTGCCTTAGAGAGGCCGTTGTATGAAGTATCATATAGAGATAACAGTTCAAAGTATGTTTGTTCAATACAGACATTGCTATCTGCTCACCACCCTGGCTCCAAGGTTAATAATGTGACCCATCCACACGTCATAGACGAGTAGATTCTTATTGCGTACGATGTTTGATCTCTGTGTGATCTACAGATACACACATCACTGGTGACAAGCGGGGATTCAAGGAAGACTTCATTCACTTTGATGGGCGACTGGTAGATTTTGAGCAGTGATGAGCACTTTTTGAAAAGTTCCTGTCATCTTCAACGTATCTATTTCAATTGTCCATCAGAGAATGCTATGTATATGACTCGTTCTTTTATGTGAAATTTTGTCAATTTTAGAAAATGTTGTGAAGAATTTTATGGGTTTAAATTACTGCTATAACTTATAATATGAGGTTTGCATGTTGACAAATCAAATAGCAGGAATTCTACATTGTAGAGTTGACCTCAAAGCATTGAACAGATGGTTTTAAGTCAGCAGTCATCCTGAAGCCATTATTTTTGTACAGAATAATTTGTTTACTAATTAGGATATTGCATTACAAGCTTTAATTCCAAATGATTGAAAAACAAGGGTGACAAATATACTCACAGCAGACAATGTAAACAACTAGGGACAAATATGGTAGGCTTGTCCTTGTGTGTTTTTGACTTGGGACAAGGAAAGTGTTACCCTATGCAAACAGTTGGGTTTTGTCAGACTCAGTGGTTTTGATTTGAAACTACTTTTGGTATCTTTTACATTCATCAAATTGGAACATTTTTTGCAACTCCCAATGGTTGCAATTACCAAGTGTCAAAAGTCATGATTTTTGAACTGTGGGAATTTTGTGTACTTTAAACAAAAATGTGAATTCCTCCAAGTAATTGCTGTGTTGAAAAATGACTTGTGATTGGGAATATCACCAGGGAATTCAATTGAATATGTTACACAAAATATGTTGAAAGTAATCTCCTAGAAAATGCTGTCAGATCATTTTAACATATTCCAAGGTAACGTTTTCAAAAGGAAAACTTCAGTGCTGTCAGTAAACATTACAGTCTTCCTTGCCAGCTTTCAATGGGAGATTATGTTGACAGCATCTGCTTGCCGTGATAAACTTGCTCTATAGCATTACAAGTCCTTAAACGCTATTCAGAGCTTGGGAGGGCCCGAGGCTTGTGTGACGTATTACACATAACATGGGGAATGGTAGGCCTGGGACAACTTCAAGCAGACACAAATTTAATCATCTAGAATAACGATATTACCCCAAGCAATAACAGTTTCCCCAGGCTCCTGCAGGATCTGATTAGACCTTTTATCATTTTAGAGCAAAAATATTACTCGCAATGTGCTTGTGATAGGTAGTCAACTGTGGATTTACAGTTTGATGCACACATAAGGAATCCACAAAAGACTTCAGTGAAAAGATTATATTTTTTTCTAACGGTACCGTTTGTAGCCCTGGGTCAGAAATGATTTTATGCTCGCTAGAGCAGATTTAGACGATTAACCGCTGACCTAGGCTTTGTTGGGGGATGCCTTATTTGGTATTCTGAGCATGACGGCCTATGGGATGGGTCATTGTGCAGAACCAATGGCTTTTCTTGTGCTTTTACCACAGCTCATTTCCACGGGTAACCAGGTGGAGCTAATGCTGTGCAGTGTGCTGTGTTGTCTGTGTCGAGAGTATCAGAAAAATGTCAGGACAGTTACTGGGAAATACTGGGGGGAATCTTATGGTCCAAGTTGCTCACTGAGGTGCTTTGGAAAAATTGATGACCCCTCTGCCCAGGGTTTGATCAATTTTATTGATTACTTCCGTTTCGCTCTGTTTTCCTTCAAGTACAAGAGTTATGGTAGGAGGGTTCTGCCCTGTATTTGATATGAAATATATTCCTGCGAGCATTGAAGTTATGAAAAAGGGTGTCCGACAACACTGCTATATATTATCTAATACCTTTTGCTAAAGTATGTATCGATCCACACAGCTCCAGTTCTTGTCTACTTCAGATACAAGGGAATGAATTATTTATTGTTTTAATATTTTATTATTGTAGATTTGTACTAGTCTGGAAATGGAGGATTGTATTGTTACATAATATTTTTGTCACCATATTTTATGTGTATTTTTTTACATTTTGGTTTTGATATTATTATTTTGATGTGTTTGTCAGTGAGTAAAGTATAACTCTGTTTTTCAACTTTGTTCTGTATAATTTATGTGAAAAGTTGAAAAAATGACTGGACATTCACTACAGCATCTATTCACTGGACAGGAGTAGATGTGAAAATTGATGTGTGTATGATGTGTAAAGGTGTGACCCTTCTCTCTACTTTTGATAGGTTACTTACCTAATTTTTGCTGGTCGTGGCATAGGTCAGAGCTCAGAGGTATATGTAATAAAAGAAAACTGAAGCTATATACCAGCTGTACATTCAATTTATGGTGTCATTTCAGAGGGCAAAGCCCAAAGGGCAGATCTTTAGTAAATGAAAAAAGTTATTGCATTGGAAATAGATTTTTCTGACATCACAAGGGTAAGGGTATTGATGTTCAGTCTAGATGTTAACTCTTTATATTGAGAATTGAGTATTAGGTAAAGGCAAGAGTTACAGCATACACACTATATGTGCATACAAATATCATGTCCAAGTCATCATCCAATTAAGTAAAACCATTTGTTTTATTTCTACACCTATGCTTGGTAACCTCTACTTTTTTATTGACCTTCAATAGCTTGGAGCAAATATCATTATAGTACCTAATGTATATATATACCTTAACCCTTCGCTTGACAGTGTGCCAGATAAAACCATCAGATTGGCACATGTATGACCCCATGGCAGAGTAAGGGTAAACTTCTAAATGACTCCAGAGTGCTATAATTCCTTCCCAGCTCAGACTGTCCATTTGCAGAATCTGACACTCCAATCCCACTGGAATCCAAGTCAGCTTTGAAGATTATTGATATTTTTGGAGCCTGCCACTTTTGATATTACGATGATCTCCCAACGGGTACCATAAAGTAGGACAAAGCTAAAGAAGATTGCGCCGTCATCGAATCCCAATCCCAAAACTTTCAAAGGTCAATATAAAACCCTGTGGTCACTCCAATGGGGCATTATATTGCAAAAATGGATCTGGAAATATTCTCTGAAATTGACCTTGTAAAGTCGGGCAGACCGTGCCAACTTGTATTGGGTATAATGGAGTATCTTACAGCCCATAACTCTAAAGACATTAAAGCCTAGTAGCTTGTTCAAACTCAGGCCATTTGTACATGCCAGCGAGTGTAATGGTCATCTCAGAGCAGATGTCAGGATTTGGCATGTTTTCAAATGTCTTTTTGCAGCACTTTACCTGTCCTTCATAAAGGTCATTTTCAAATGCCAGCTACTTGAAGAATAATAAGACATTACTTGAAACACAAGCTGAAACTGGGTATCTGCTTGGAGATTTAGTAGTCTATTGGCATGCCCTGTTCTGTAGAATGAAATAATTTGCTCTAATAAAGGTTGGGGATGGTTGATTTATCATGTAGCAGCGTTGTAACACAACTGACGGGATCAATTTGTAACCCTGGCCCCTTGTCTGCCTGCAATTCATCAGCGACTATTGGAGATTGTTCATCCCGTGTCACAACTCATTCCTACGCGCTGGCCAGATTGTTCTCCAGCGTACCGTAACGTGAAACCCTAACGACCTTTGTGAAGGAAGGGGATGAATCCATCTGTTAAATGGACATGTCCCTTGCAGGGCCCTAATCCAGGGCAAGTGTGCAATGTATATTGTGTGGATCACCATGGGATCACCTATGGTGGCCCAATCTGGAGCTCTGAGCAGCAGCAAAGGACTGTTGAGAAAAAAGGTTTTCAAAGGCCAAAGATTCAAACTTCCACAGTTGCTACTTTTGTCTAATATTTCCTCACCTGTTTGCTTACTATAGATTTTTAACATGCACACACTGACATGAAATTCTTCATCTTTATAATGATTGTTTCCCTACATTTTCCGCATACACTTTGAAAAAATCTAGAATCCAAACAGACAAATGAATTGCTCAATATGGTAGTGCTGCAAAATCTGCAGCCATTTGAAATATTACAGGACTCCGTTCTAAACATTAACCTCTTAGACTAATATGACTATGCTATGAATAAAACATGAACAGGACCATTTGGAGACAAATCAGCTTGCCAGGGCAGACATGCTACAAAAGTCCCTTCAGTACCTTAAATTCCCTATGAGGTCATTTCAAACATAAAAAGACACTAAAATGGTTTGCAAAACAATTTGGTCGTATTTTTTTTACAACCTGTTAATTGAGCAAAGCTGCAGCTTAATTAGATTGCCTTTCTCTACGCAAATTAATTAGACAGCAATAATAGCAAGGTCCACATGTAATTTAATTAGGCTAGGCTAAGTTAATTTCGGTTCGGTATAAGTAGGTCAATTTGGTGTGGAAACAAAAGCTTTCTGATAAACTGTTCCAATACTTAATAGGTAGTAGGTACTTCATCAGAGGATGCATACATGTAGCTATTACATAATACATTATTGTACCAATAGAAGAGCAACAGTTCATCCCATGGCCAATTCTGTCAATGACTTTTAGATATATGCCAGCAGATTTAGTCTAAACCTTCATATAAATCTCTAACCAAGAAGTCAAAATAATATGCTGTGACAACAGGCATCAAAGCACAAAACATACTACTAGTATTTATTCCTCTCAGTTGGACATAATTATTTATATACCACTGAGTTCTCCACCAACATTACTGGATATTATATAGTTTTACATGTTCAAATGACCCTTTCCAATAAATTTGATCACGACAGTAATAATGATTGTGACCTGGAGGTTAACTTGCTAAACATAATGCAGCCAAACCTGGAATAGCAGCCACCACCTATCTATAGCTCCATAACATATCCCCAGTCGTAAGATTTTACAATTGGCTACTGGGCAGTCAGCCAGGAACCTGGATGTAGAATTAGCCAGGCCTGAAAGGGGCACTCATAATCACCCGCAGGATTTAATCATTGCTCTAGGAAATTGCAGGGATGTCTCCCTGCCTTTTATAGCAGAGTTGCTGCCACTCTCAAAGCATTATGTCAAATTTATAGCTTCTTACCTAACATAGTATTGATTAGGCCAATTGAATCCAATTCTCGGTCTTCTGGTTTGACTTTTGTTGACTGAGAAAACAATTCACAACAAACTAAATAGTTTTCATGAATGCACTGGAACTGTAGAGGAATTGAATGATGTACATGTAAGTCAATCGTGTATAACATCACTTCCTGAATTCCTCCACATGCCACCCAGTTACTCGCAACTGGCGTGTGCTGGGTTACCTTCAGCCTTGACCTCCCAGGGTTAATTAACTGTCAAAATCACCTCCCACCCTCCATGCAATGGTCACTACTTGGAGGAACACACCCACGACTCACATAAAACGATCCTTCCATAACAAGTTAAGGCCACACTAATTTGATTTGTTGGTTCTCGGAGTTTTTGTAGAAAAAATATTAAGCGACAGGGCAAAAAAAAACAGACCTACATGTATGATAGTCCTAAATGCTATAATAGGAACTGCCTGTTGGGGCCAAAATATGAGCATTTTGGAGTTGATTCAGAGGCTTACATGTTTGGTTTTTTTTGCAAATTAAAAAAAAAATGAAACGGGCGAACTTGTGAACCAACAAATTAAATTGGTGTGGCCTATTACAGTTGTATAGCCCACCAATATAATCAGGTGTCGAGACCTGTCTGAGTGCATCATACCATGTTTCAGTTTTAAACCTAAGCTGTCTGCCAATAGCCAATCCAAACACATCAGTTGTGATACACTCTGCCACTAGACTGGGGTTAAGCTGTAAGCCTATTGTGGTAAGTATCTACAGGTAATGGAAATAAAGCTAACTTAAGCAGCTTAACAAAACACCTAGAGAAAATTAATGCACTGGCAGCTGCTACCTAATGTATCATTCCAGTGATATTACAGTTCATTTTTCAAATTGATTATTTTCTCTGACCCCAATTTATTACATTCTTAACACCATTTCTCAATAAATCATTGCACTTGTGACTAATTTCAGAATTACTGAATCCTTGCCCATCTGATTCATTTTTGGTGTAATTCATTTCCTTTCATGTACACATAATTAATATCAGACCCCCAATTATGTAATTGATAGATGTGCTTATATTTATGAAGTTTTTTCCTAGAACAAGAGAGTTGATGTTCATGAATCCTCCTGTGTTAACTTGTTTGAGCCACTGATAATAATTTGGATCATGGAATATATATCATATAAGCCTAATATTGCCAAGGAGTCTGTATTGTAATTTGTACTTTGAAAACCAAAAGCAGCAGGGATACAGCATACTGATATTCAACATGAAAACACAGGCTAGCCAGTGGCTCTCTGTAGCTGTACTGTACCCCATTTAAATTCCTGTCAAAAGTTTAAGCTGTAATGCCAGACCTTAAGGTGTTAGACATTATTGATCACTGCACATTACAGAGACACATGAGTCCTTCTCCAGTCTGTGCTGACTTAATCTATTGTACCGTACAAATGCTATCCATCACACCAGTCTGCACAACTTCTGCAGGGTGCACAGGGCTCGAAATACTGGGTACATGTGCACCTTTGTGCACACAATATTGGAGCTGTGCACCCAATTTTTTTCTGTGTGTGCACCAGTGCACTCACATATTTTTGTGGGTATTTTTGTACATATCAACTATACGATAGCATGCAGGATATTCGTGGCTTCTAACTTCTAAGTGTCAGAAAATAATAAAATCTTTGTTGAAGTAACTTGTTTAAGATTTTGAAGTTAGCTACCATTTCAGATTCAAGCTCAGAAGAGGAGCAGTAAGATTTGTAGTTAGGTTTTGTTTTACATGGTGCACCCCAAAAATTTTTGTGCACCTAATTTTTTTGGTTGGGTGCACCAGTGCACCTATTCCCAAAAATGAATTTCGAGCCGTGGTGCGTCATACAATATCCAGGCACATTGTGCTGGGATTTCCCTCCAAACTGTCATCTATCAAACCTGACAGACGTGGAATAATTACTGGAATGGTTTGAACCGAGGAGCAAATTTCCCCAATGTAATATTACATGGGGGTCCTCTGATGCAAGATTTTGATTAGGCAAATCCCACTGCAATTTGTGCATTTGGGTAATATAAACTTTTGATATAGCTTAAGCTTTTATTTATTACACAAGAAAATGATTGAAATAACTTCAACCTTTAATATGTACCAAGTAGTTAGATATGATCCATTGCAGGTAACTATAAAAAAGAGTGTTACTGACATTTGATACCAAATACTGGCTAAATGAAAGACAATTTTCCCAAATCATGATTGATGAAAGTTCTATAATATCGAGTATTTTCTAATGGCATGAAAATGAACCATCAAATCTCTCATACATCTTATTGGGGTAGAATTTTATACCCATAAAAGAAATCAAGCTGACAGAAAATGTTAAATTTTGTTCTATCTATAAATAAATTTATCTCTGAAGTTCATGATCAGAGTGGCAGCCTTTTTGGGAGTTTCAACAGGAATGGAGTGTCCACTGTCCTCTATGATGTCCACATGTAGGGGTGCTGTCATCTCTCTCTTTATCACATCCACACAGGTTATGTGCAGTACCTACGGGTTCAAAATACAAGACCAGATCATCAATACTTTTTTTACCTTTGCAGAAGGAAAGCATATTGTTTTTGCTCTGTTTCCTCTTCTTCCCTCTAAAACAAATAAGGTCAATGACCTGGGCCAGATGGCTGCCACCATGGTAACTGGTGCTGTAGCAGACACCCTGTTCAAGATACATTACAAATGTATGTAGCAAGTGGCAGAATAGAGTTGGAGGGGCTGGACACCATATGAATGTATTTGAGTAAAAATTATCAGAGCAGTAGTTTGTAAGCCTACACCTTAAAGGTAAAATTATGCTTTTGCTTTGCAAATCAAACTGTATTTGATTCATTGCTTTTACTAGACCTGATTTAATGGTTGACGCGGGTTGACTTCAGGATGCTGTGAATCATTTATTATCAATCAGCACTGTCCAACTGCTCCCATATACTACATACCTCCTCATGTCTGCCCCACATCACTTGTGTTGGTGCAGAAATCTTCCCAAGGAGAGGGGTAAGGGCATCTTGGTCTTCAAGTAGAGCATCAAACACTGAAATTAAGGACCATGTAGTGAGTTGTTAAGGTAACTGTACAAAATGTCTTCAATCTTCAAGTAAATTACATGTAGTTATATTGGATAATAGCGAGTAACCTGAAGAAAAATCCACCAAGAAAGTTCATGAAGTTTGAAAATGAAAACTGGATACTAGACCAATCAATTTGCACCACTGTGACATTAAAAAGAGCACAGCTGTAAGACACTTACTTTTCTTCAAGAAGCTCATACGAGGTGTATTGTAGTAGTCTAGAAATCCTTTCACTAACTGTGGAGATGTAAAAGAAAGGATATTCATGAAAACTTTAATAAACATGAGAATAAAATATTGTAAGGTATGTGTGAAAATGCAAGTTAGTGCAACTTTATTTCAGTTAATTTAAACTGCATGTCCGTTTTCTTCTGATTTTACCTTTCTTCAAAATCTTTTGGACAGTACATTTAATTTCCCATGGTCCTACATCAAGCCTTTAGTTTAAGTTATTCTAATTCCTTAACACCTTAGCCTACAGTTGATATTTCCCTACCTGTTTAGATGGTATGAGTGACTTGTTATGAAGACAAAGATGAAACATCTCCTCTGCCTGCTCCACAGTTTCAGGGACCAGCAAATGTTTCTTCCCCTGCGCAACCTTGTCAAACATGGGACTCATCACCGGGGACTTTATACCTGTGGGATGCAACTGTAATATTTCAGGTCTAGTGGTAGTTTGGTATCTTAGCGTCTTACTCTATATATCTTAGTATAGAGAGAGATCCAAACAGTCCGATTACTTCTGCTGAAGCCGGATTTATTGATCCGTATGTGAACTGTAATACAGGTAGATGTGGTCTAATGGTTATAAGGGGGCTTAGCATTTTAATAGTTACACAGGGAGTTACCAACGGTCTAGGATTACACAGATGAGGTACTAACAGTTATACAATACTACAATGTACTAATCTACAGAGCTACAACTACACAACATCAGGAAAAGGTGGACCTTCATACATCACAAGTGAAGCACATATATGTGACCATCATCCAACAAGAGAGCAGAGGAACAGAGACAGCAATACAACAACGAACAACAGTGAACCATGATATAATGAAATCCTGGTAATGTTATATTAATTGTATTTCATGATTAGGCCATGTTGATTTGATTATATGGATGACATCCCCGCGCGCATGAATTTTCGGCCGTTTCCAAAAAAAAAAAAAGTTTTCAACCATACTGTAAATCGTACAAAACAGTTGCAAAATGAGCAAAAATATACCATAAGTTACAAAAAAAATTAATAAAAACCGTACCAATGTCGTAGAATGCCAAAAACAAACGAAAAAAGACGAAATTGTAAAGAAATTAATTTGAAGACTAGATTATTCGCCAAACCATATTCTGTGCCATTTGCTCAACCCTCATGACCACGTAGATTTCATAATGAAAAGAACTTTTTTTTTTTGCAAAACTTTTTTTTTATTCGCACGTGCGCATCAGTTTTGGGGCTCCCGGAGGATGTCATCCATATAATCAAATCAACATGGCCTAAGTTGAATAGTATATAATGATATCTGTGCGGCAAAAATGGAATATCGCTGACAGAAAACAATTGCTTCTGTCATATTGTTCTAGCTAGTTATTGGTGGTACCAAAAAACAAAGGGCCTCCTCACATAGCTTGTTTCAAACAATATTCAAGTATGAAATGATGACCAAAATTTGCTAAGAAATGGCGGCAGTAAATGTCAATATCGGACAGATTTAATAATCCAGAATATATTTTTTTTGGTTTTGTAGCCCTGAAATTACATTGGATACCTTTAAACACGGTTGATCTAACCAGAACCAACTTGGAAGATTTAACTTGTAAAAGTTGAAACTTCAATAAAATCATTATGCTTTTTTTTTCCTGAATGGAGTCGGATATAAAGGTAATACGATATACATGTATGTATATATGTACAGAGAAGTCAACAACAACAAAAGAACAATTCTATCAAACTGGCGTTTAGAAATTTACACTGATGACATTATGTTAAATCTAGTGACAAAATGTTGTTAAATATTTCTCCAGATAAACAAAATTTCACAACAAAGTGGATGAAAATTTACCTTTAGATTCAGCTAGATGATCATTGGCTACTAATTAATTGGGTTAACAATAATGATTGACAGTACAAGGTAAATTGAAATAATCATGCCAATCTATGACGTGACACACAAGCAAATACTCAAATAGAATGTCTTGAATACTCTATAAATTACTAATTTGAATTTGGAGAAAAACGCTCAACAACAAAAAAGAAATGTCCACGTCATGATAAAAAAGTACTTTAGGTTTACTAACAAAAGTATGGGGAGAAACCAAAAATGCAAATTAAAATAATTGTTTTATCACAGTCAAGGCATTGTAGTGTGAATGAAATGCCAAAATCACCATTAATTTTATTAGATTAATAAAATTAGAGTTTTTGACTGCCTAGGCTCACAATATGCCACACACTGCTTTTATTAGTATTGCCCTTCTTTTTTTCAAGTTCTAAAATGTCTTGTCTTAGAATACATTTCCTTGCCTTGTCTTCATGGAGTTACTAGTACATTTGTCCCTGTTTAGTTTGCACAATTTAGAACTGATCCATTTTATGTTACAGCTGGACATATTCTATGCTGTTAGTTATATGATTATGTTAGTTATATTCTAACACACTTAGTACTCAATCCTTTTACAGTTTTAGGCAGTTTTTTTGAGGTCAATTTTACAACCAAACTTTGGGGAGTAACTGTAAATAAACTTAGGTTTGTCGATGAAGGTTAGACATCCAGGTAATACGATGCGCCAAAAGGCAGTTACTCAAGCAGCTGGATATGATTTTGGAAACGTCATGACATTTGCATGGGAGCAAATGCAACATATTTCACTCCATCTCCCTCTCCATTCCAAACATTAAAAAAAAACAATGTATTTCATTCGTACCTAATATGGTATGCAGTGAAATATAAACGTTTCCAAAATCATATCCAGTTGCTTGAGTAACTGCTTTTTGGCAAAACTTAGGTTTGCATGGATTTGATTTTGAAATAGGAGGGGAAAGAAGGCAGAATTTTATGTTAGCAGTCAAAACAGTGTGGTAGTAATGCAATGCAAGACAATATGTTTTCTTTAGCAAAGATAAAACCACCAGGAATATATATCATGATTTACAGTAGTGCATAAGTCCTCAGTGGGTCTATAACAAAGGCTGGGAGGCAGTTGTTCCTATTGGTTGTTGCGGGTAGGCGGCCATTCCAGGCTGGTTGCCCACCCCCCCTGGAGGCATGATGCCCTGCATGGTGGTCTGTGCCATGGTAACGGGGGCTGCCATGGTGCTGGGGAGAAAATGGTGGACAACAAGTTAGCAACTACACATACTACAATTAATAAAAATAATTGTATATACTAGTGCTAGAATTCTTTTTTTTTGCATACCTCCAAATTAGTCAAGCTTGTCTCAAACATTGAATGTTTATGACTTCGGTTGAAAAGATGCTCTTTCGGTAACCAAACCTTAAGTTCAGTGCCTAGAAGTGGCCAGGTTGCACTAAGAAAAAAGGTTTCAAAACTAGAAAGGCTGACATTTGCATGGGAGCAAATGCAACATATTCCACCTCATCATGCTAAGCATGGGAAAAACAATATACAAAATGTATTTCATTCGTACCTTATATGGTATGGAGTGAAATATAAAATTTTGTCACCTGTTGGGATATCCCTGCATGTGTTGTGATGACACAGGGGGTCCTGCAGCAGACAGAGTGGTGGGGAGGGAGGCCTGGGCCTGTGCGGGGTGGGAGGGGGGCAGGGTGGCTGTACCTGACATGGACTGGGGTGGACCCTGGACTGGATACGCACCAGCTGGTCCACCTGCATAACCCTGAGAGGAAATAAAAAATTGATTTTACAGTATAATACTCTAAACACATTCATATATGAATATATATATGATCAGATAGGAGTCTAAATCCCTCCTGCTATAAAATTGCAACATGAGTGGCGTCCGTGTGGTGTAGTGGATAGAGCATCCGACTGTCAAGCAAGAAGACCCAGGTTCAATCCCCAGGGTTGGACCCAGACATGTCCGGACATGCACCCAGGCGTTGTGCCCTTGGGAAAGGCACTTAACACGCATTTCCCCCTTCAGTTAGAGGGATCCTGGGCCCTACTAGGGTTTGGGTTGGCGTTAGGAAGAGCATCCAGCCATAAAAATCTTGCTTCAAAAAAAGACCTGTACTTGGTGCAAGCACGTCTAACCCCCGGTTGGGGAAAAATGACGTTAAAATCGGTTTAAAAAAAAAAAGATGTAACCCAACACTAGTTACCATGGTGACAGATGTCTGGTTCAGGTTATTGACCTTAAGTTACTGGTTTGGAGAAGAAGAAGAGGAAACAGAGAAAAAACAATATGTTTTCCTTCCGTAAACATGATGATGACGCATGATGTTCTCACCTGTGGGGGCATGGTGTTGTACTGGGGGAACTGAGGGGGGTAGGCGGCACCAGGAGGGGGGCCTGGAGGGGGGTTGTGAGCAAACTGCGGCATTTCCTTCATCAGTTTGTGATACATGGACAAGGCCTCCATCAGACGCTGGTTTAACGATGTCAGCTCAATGTGTTTCCTACAGGGAAAAAGGGGGATTACTAAAAGTGTTTGCGAAACTTAATCAAGACTGTGCAGTTAGCCACACACACACACACACACAAAGAAAAAATTTGAAATCAGTTTGAACAGTCAATACATGACTTGTGGACATAGCAAAAGATACATGTACCCACCTGCCAATAATTCCTATAACACCATCCCTTAAGGCCTGGTCACAACCCGCCGTACGTGTTTCTGCGTGCTATCTACGTGCAAAAACGTGGGCAAACGTAGGGCATCCGTGCGTGGTGAGTACCGCCTCCGTACGGAATCTTATGGATTTGGGAGCACGCAGTCACACGCCGTAGAACTTTAAGTGCATGTAAACCTTTTTCTGCGTACGGTCTGCAGATTCACCACCCGTGCGTGCGAGTACGAGCGACGCGCGTGCACCGTACATACCGTACGAAAGAAGCACGTGTGAGTACGGCCTCCTTACGGTTAAGTTGCAATCGCACAGAGATCGTACGTTGTAAGCACGTACAACTCACCACTTGCGCAACGTACGATGCACGCAACCGCTCACGGCCAGACCTGGCATGCAGACCACACTCTTACACCTTGCACAACCGTGCGAGTGACGTGCGTCAACGCCACGTTCTCAGAAAAAACGTAGCAGACGTAGCCTCCCAAAAAAACGTACAGACAAAAAGCACGTACGGCGGGTTGTGACCAGGGCTTTACCTGTCAGTCATTACACGTACCTGTCAATCTTTTCAAGTTCCTGGTCAATCAAAGGTCCCATTTGTTGACAAGCATCTGTTGACAAGATTAACAAAGTTACAATGTCATGTATTTTTATGCTCATACACATAGAATACAACACGGGGTATTCCGTATCGCCCGAGGTATTGGCCCGACCGCGCGTCGGATCGCCCGACAGCAGCAAAACATTTATGCATTGCAGTGCATTCATATCTAATTCTGAATCAGTAGTTCATTTTACAGTGCCATTTTGTTTCATTAGTTTTCTTGTTACCTTCAAAAGCGCGGAGATGTGGAGGGTCTGTTGCGTCATCCCCAGTAGGGTTGGCGTTCTGAAGCATGGCTAACGTCTCGTTCATCTTTTCCTGAAGAGTTTGAGACAAAAGAAATAATTTATATAAAAGTAGAAGTAAAAGAGTAAAGGTCCATCCCAGTGTGAGTAGTTCAAACCTTACACTGTGGCCCTGTATATCTACCTCCAGTAAAAAACTGAGGTGTGATATAATTTTGCCTGAAGGTGGCTCACTGGACTGGCAGTGGTTATGAGAAACAAAGAATCAAACATTTTGACTGAACTACATGTTGTTTCCCAAGTCATATATTCTGTGCGAGACTTATTGCACATGCCAGGCAGACCGCCTCACAAGTTCATTTTTGGCATACAATTACAAACAACTTTTTAAATTCACAGTGGCCTGGCTTCTGAAATAAACTGTGGCCTGTCTTGGCCAGGTCGCCTGGCTTATGGCTTGCCTTCTAATCTAAACAGCTGGTGTTGACAGCAACCTAAAATATTGATGGGCAAACTAGCAAAACTAGGTTTCCATTGGGCAACCTGAGAAAAAATAATTTATACCCTTAAGGTGATATTTTCAACATTAATTTATTTCTACAAGAAACATGTCATATTATCATCGTCAGATGTAAGAGTCTGCCACGTCTAATTCAAACCTACCTCGTCAATTTCCACCGGTTCAGGTTCTGGCTCCACAGTGTTGACAGTCACTTCTTCATTAAACTGTACCGTCTTTCCAGCTTTCACCGACACTGGGGGGAAAGATAGACATAGTAAATAACTGAATACTGAGAATAAATTGTGAAATTCAACCAATTTAGATACAGATTAGAAATAATTTTTTGGGGGTGGGGCTATGTAATGTAAGTTAGTTTTCAACAGAAGAAAAACTGGTCAAAATAATTTGCACGAGCAAAGTTTGGAAAAGGCGCGGTTTGGAAAGAAAGAAAAAAATGTTGCACTGCAAAATTCCAGATTCATGGACCATCCATAACCACCAAAGTTTCAAACTTAACAAAATTACATTTTCCTTCCTTCAAACAGGTTTTAAATGTCACTAGGGAAAGAATTTGAGGCATTCGTTTGAGTTCTGAGTCAAAATTGTTATCCTGGAGACTTTTGTTTAAATCTTTCATATTCATAATACAAATTATTACTACAAACAACAGAATTTTGTTAAGATGACACAGATGTGATTTTGGATGATCCCTGGGGAGCACGTCGACAGAACATACTGCACCTGCGCGAAACCCGTAATGTATTGTACATAGCACTTTGTCAGAACATCTTGTATAAGGTCGTATTTGCTTAAATATATAACGTTACATTCCGTTTCCAAAATGTTATGTTGGACAATATATTTTCTGCAACAGGCAAAGTTCTGATGCAATGTTGACCAAAAATCCAACGAAGACCGTAAAAAATGCGGGTTTGCGCAGGCGCAGTACGTTTTGCTGACATGTTCACTGGGGTAAACCAACCTTTGTTGGAAGCCTGCTGAGCACCAGGCTGATCTAAGGTTGTCAAAGACACAACAGTTACACAATGACCTTCACAAACGACCTTCAGGAACCTTAAAGGACAACTAAAGTAATTTCAGCCTTTCAACCCAAAATCCTGTTTGCAAAAGGTGATTCATTAGGTTATACCAGTCCCGCACACATTGGGGTGATATTTGACCCAAATCCATGTTCACATCTGATGCCTATTCCACCAGGAGGCTGCGGTGACGTAGGCTGTCCACTAAATATAATTTAGTCTATAGTACATGTATGTCTTTCGGATAAGATACATGTATAACGAATGTCGTGATTGTAGATGGACTGACATGCTGACAACAGCTTACTGAATTCTCTCTCAGGTGATTATTCGTCCTCTGGTTTCTCTTTATACTTTTCTTTTCGTGGAGATGTTCTTTTATGTACTAATGTTAACAGAGTAGTGATTTCATAGCCTGTTAATTATATTAAGTGGACACACGACATCACCACATCCTCCTGGTGGAATAGGCAGGCATCAAACGCGTGAACAATTTGCATTTGGGTCAAATTTCACCCCTATGTGTGTGGGACTGGTAGAAACCAATGGATCACCTTTTCCAAACAGGATTTGTGGGTTAAAAGGCACCAAAACTGAAATTAGTGTATTTGTCCTTTAAGTCCTTTGACAAAACAATTCTACACCAATACGACAAAGTATGAGACATCTACCATAGAATATACAAAGTCACACCACTAGTTTATGCACATGTAGCGCACGTGTGCGTACAAACAAACAAACAAAAGCAGCACATGAACAACATGAAGAAATGAGTCATAGTTTACCAGGTTCAGGGTCAGCATTCAGGTCAGCTGTCACAAAATTAGCCGGGAACAGTCCAACTCCACGGTACGTCTCACCCTTCCACCAGTTTGGGTCACTAGAAAAAAACAAGATACACATATTTACAAAAGTTTGGTTCTTCTAAAATGTGGAGCTAATGACTTTTGATGCTCAAACTCAAAGCAAAACCTTCTTGCATTTTACAAATCACAAAAAATGTAAAAATAGCAGATTGCCACATGTATTAAGTCACACACAAAGCCACAATTTGATTCTAAACAGTAACCATGTTAAGATTAAGTAACTTACTGATAAACCATAAGTTAACTAAGTTAAGCTCAGTTATAGTCATTGATAAACCATTAACTTACTAGTAATTGAGATGATGACTCAACTCAAGTTACAAGTAGATCATCAAGTTTATCACTCAAGTTGTAAGCTATTGATAAACCAGTAACTTGATAAGTTATCTAAGTTATTGACAAATCAACAAGTTAATAACTAACCTATCATCAAGGACATTTATTTAATGATTTCCCTAGCCTTTTGGTAGTTGTAATCTATTGATAAACCAGTAACTTGATAACTTATCCAAGTTAAGTAATAAGTTATTGACAAATCAATAAGTTGATAACTAACTAACCTATCATCAAGGACACTAATGATTTCTCCCGCCTTGAAGGTCAGTTCGTTGTCCTCAGCGGCCTCGAAGTCGTAGATGGCGCGGACCTTCCTCGTGTCGGACTTGTGACTGGGAGACTCGGAAACCGGCGCTCGGACAGAAGGATACAGACTACCGGAGGAGGGGCTGGACTGGGCCTCCTTTAAGGACAGTTCAATTGCTGGAAGGAAAAGAAAGGAAAGTTTTGCCTTAGATTGATGCAGAATTAAGAAAACTTCTCTTGTATTAAATTTAAACTACACTCTTTGGCATAGCTGCTATTGAAGAGTTTGAGGGAAGACATACACTCAGTAATTTTTATTTTATTTTATCATAAGAACTGCTCAATGTTTGCTTCATCAGTCTGGGCAAGCTTTAAGCCCAATAGCTGGAAGGAAATAGAAAAGAATGCTGTGTTCACTGATACAAAGTTTAGGTAGCTTTTCCTTCAAAATACATTAAACTGCTATGTTATGAAATAAAGACTAAGCTTTAACTTCCAACACTTAGATTACAGAACTGGGACTTACCCAAATTTTCGGTTGACTCCATCAACCTTGTTCACGGAATGACTTGTACCAACACAGATGAACTTTCATGCTAAACTGCTAAAGTTGAACTTTACTGTCTACATAATATCAATCACACATATCTATTGAGCCTTATATCAACTGATCTTTATTCAAATTTTGTTTCTGATGTCAATGCTTTATGTTCACAATCTTTTCTATCCTGTGTACATGGCCACGATATACTATGCAAAAGTCCTGTCGGTCAATCACTTAAACTTACTGTGTTTTTTCATTGTTATCACAAATGGGACTAGTATGGCATGGAAACTAGGACTTTAGAAATTTCGTCAGAAAGTCTCCAGCAGTTCCAGAACAAGCTGCTAGGGGGACCAAACCCACACCACTTATTCCTGACAGGAAAAGCTATCTGTCACCAAATAAGCATGACCATAGCATGTCCAGGACAAAAGATACAAAAAAACGGAAGTTTTGCTGCAGTACCAAGGTCATCCACCAGGAGGCCCATATTTGACCTTGACCTTTGTCTTCCTAAGACCTACAATGTACCAGCATACCAAATATCATCACAATCCATAAAGGTGTTCTGAAGTTATGCTGACTACAAATATATGAAACACAAAAACAAACACACACACACACATACACACACACACACACAGACACGCCAAAAACAATACCTCCATTTTTCATGGAGGTAACAAAAAGAGGACAATAGAGTACAAGTTGTTTTACCTTTCAGCAGATCGTCCTCCTCTTGTTGACTGTTGACCACGTTAGGATCAGCACTGAAGGCTTTGGGCTGGGTACTGGCAGACTGGGGGAGGGGGGCAGACAACACCAAAAATTGTTTGTTAATTGAAGTTCATCAATTACTTCAAAATCATCATATTTTCTGACACAGTTATTTTTATATACAGCTGTCCCAAATTCACCATGGATCAAAACTTTGGTGGATTGACTCTTTGTATTAAAAAGTTTTCACCTAATTTCCTTTTCTGAAACTACAAATTGTAATATTTGTTTAGGATTGCCAAGTGATTTATCATTCTTAAATATGTTTCATCATCAAATAAAGATATAAGTTCTACAACAGGATATAAAATATACAAGATAGAAGAATTGTCATTATCATACAAAGATATACAAAGATATTAAAGAAACTAGAAAGGTAACATTTGCAAAGCAAATGCATAATGTTTACCTTCATGTATGGTTTGCTCAGTTAATTCTTACTCAAACACATTCATATAATATGTGGTCAGACAGGAGTCTAAATCCCTCCTGCTATAAAATTGCAACATTATGTAACCCAACACTAGTTACCATGGTGACAGATGTCTGGTTCAGGTCATTGACCTTATTTGTTTGGAGAAGAAGAGGAAGAAGAAACAGAGCAAAAATAATATGTTTCCTTCTGTGAAGGTAAACAAAAAAAAAACAAGAGAAAGCATACCTTGCTGCTGGGGTCAGGAAAAGAGTGCCCTTCTGACTTGAGGCTGCTGTATAGACTGGGGATCAGGCTCAGCTGTGGGTCGTCAGCAAAGTCTGCTGCCCACTGTTGGACCAGATCCTTCAGCCGGTCACACACCTTCGGATGGGCCTGCGAGCCAGACTACACTGTCAGTACTGCTAACATTATGATGCTTCTTAAATAGAATCTATTTTGATTAAAATACATATAGAATTTTGATACATGCAAAGCTAGTGAATGTTTCTAATCTAATACCAGTTTGGTTCACAGAATGCTTGAAAGTTGGGTAATGAGAATATTATAAAACCATAGATTTTACTTTTCTTTTACTTTATTTTACTCCATGTCTGTGTCAACCCAGCTTATAAGATGCATGTAGGACTATTTCACTACATATGATTATCATGCTTTGTATTTTCAAAGCTATCTTCTTTTCAAAATCATATCCAGATTCTGACATTTTCAAAATCATATCCAGTTGCTTGAGTAACTGCTTTTTAGCATATCGTATTACCTAGATGTCTAACCTTCACCGATATATCTTCTTTTCATAGCTTACAACTGCTTTGTTTGTCTTTCATGTTTTCTTAAACCTTTGTTATGACATGGGCTTATCTTCTGATATCTGGGTACTAGTGCTGCATACCTAAACCCACATTTAGGTTCAGGTCCGGATTCAAGTCCAGAGGTTTAGGTTCAGTTCCGGACTCGTAAGTCTGGACCTAAACCCATGTCATATACAAAATTGCATGTTGGCAACCTTTCAATATTGTCTGGGTGAAACTTTGGCCACATAACATGGAGGCCAACACTTGACGATGCCCAATGTATCTTTTCTTCATTTTGCAGCAAAGTTTTTGCAATCTACGGAAGGTTTTAAGTGGTTTGGAAAGAAAAATTGTAATACGTGAAATGGTCTTTTATGGTATATAAGTCCAGACTCAGTTCTTGACTTTTAGGTTTTTTTTGGACTTGAACATAAACATTCTTACAAGTCCGGATTCAAGTCCAGTGAACTGGTATGCAGCACTATTTGCAACTACTTTGTCTTTCATGCCTTCTTAAACCTTTGTTATGACATGGGCTTGTCTTCCAACATCTAGGTACTAGTATGGTCTCCAAAAAAACTGGAGAAGAATCTGTTGTTGTCTCACCTTACTGAGAATAGCGCGGACCTCAGTACAGAAGTCTCGTGAACAAACTTCCAGGTGAAAAATCTTCCCACAGTTGTTCGCACAGGCTCCAAGAAGCTGCAGGGAACGAATAAACATATTGCTTTATATTATAAAATGAATAAAGACCTTTATTGCACATTTTTGCCACACTGGGCTAAGTACAGGTCACAAAACAAGATGAACAAATACAGTGGATAGATACAAAACAAATCTAACTATCATTAGATAAATTCAACTTCTCCTCGGTTTTCAGTTATAGTAGGGATGAAAGAATAGACTTTCAATAAGATCCAGTGTACAGAATAATGTGTAAAGAACTGAACTAAATCACTATTAATTTCATATTCTAAGTCATAAGTTTCAAGTCCTAAGCATGTGGCGTTGGGTGGTGTAGTGGTTAGAGCAATCGACTATGAACCGGGGAGACCCGGGTTTGATTCCGAGTCGTACCCGGTACATGTCTGAACATGCGCCCCGACGTTGTGCCCTTGGGAAAGGCACTTTACACGACTTTCCTCACTCCACCCAGGTGTGAATGGGTGCCTAACTTCGGTTGGGGAAAGCCGTATTGAGGTCACCTTGTGGCGCCGAATGGCAGCCGCACAGACCCTTGCGACAGTTCCACAAAAAATTATTGTGGAACAAATATGTGCATCATGTGTATTATTTGATTGTTGTAATTCTTGTGATTTGTATTGATTATGTGATACCCTGCATCAATTCAGCCGTATAAAGGCTGTGACTGCACGGGTACCGTTTGGACAATAAAAACCATTTATATATTTATATATATATGTAGAAGCTGCTCCCTAACTTTTGTGCATACTCACTGTATGACAAGTCTACATTGTAGTCAGCCAACTCAGTTCTTTTTGTTACCAAGCTTTTCTGGCTCTCCTCCTCAATGTCTCAACAGCAGCTATTCTTTCATTTTCAAAAGAGAAAATGCATAGTGCATGTACAGGTATAGTATTATAATGTCCCCAAAGTGACAGATAAAATGCCTGCATCCTGTACCCACCGTGAGAGCTTGCATGGCCACATGAGGTACCCTGTGGTTGATTCTCTTGATGATGGACCTCAGACAGTCTTTAGGGCTGAAAAAAAGGACAAGAAGATACACATATACTGTTACATGAACATATCAGCCATACTGTAGGGTTATAAGTTTATTAGCAGTTTATGGTTAGTAATGGGCATGTGATGATTAGGAGGTCAACAAATCTGTTCTGTACGCAGTATAGAGTTTTATATAGAGATGTGACCACTGTCTCTTATTTATTCCATGTGCAGTCTGCATTCTGCAAAAAATTTAGGATTCTTCACGTCTTCTTTTGTCATCCTCAACTGAGGTGAAGCATCATGCAACAAAGGATTAAACGTCCAAGACAAGCAACAATATGCTTTGATGTGTAACACAGTCACTGATGGTCTAACTTGCAAACTAAGTCTTCTGAGGTCAGATTGTCAGTACTGAAATTCTTTTTTTTTTTAAATGTATAAGATGTTGTATGTATAGTTTGTGTTTCTATGTTTGTACCATTGTTTTCTATGGGTGAAATACCTGAAATAAAGACATTCATTCCTTCATAAGTATGCCTGCCTGCCTATGTACTCAGGCCAGGTATAACCATATACAAGTTAGAAAATGTAGACTATATACAGGTTGTTCTTACCCAGTGGGAGTCTGTCCGACTCTGTCACAGATGTCCATTATTAACCCCCAGTCTTCTGTGGTGTTCATCTCACTCGTCACCTTTTCTGTGGGGGGAAAAATGAAAAACAGTCAGCAAAAATGCATGGATAGTTTCATTAGTGGTAAGTCACTTGACAAAGACTTTTTTTTTGCAACAGAGTGCTTCATTCAGCTAATATTTCAGTGACAATCTGTCACCTTTCTCTATGTGTTTTTTTTTTTAATTTGTGGTTGAAACAAATTATTCCGTAGTACTGTGGGGTCATGTGGCATAAATAGTAGCGTGTTTGGCTCAGGACCAAGAGGTCGTGGGTTTGAGTCCTACGGTACCGTGTCACCGATCTTGTGCCCTTAGGGAAAGGCACTTAACACGATTTTTCTCACTTCACTCAGGTGGAAATGAGCTTCGGTTAGGGACGTCCCAAGGATAGGACATTAAATGGAGGTCCCGTGTTTGGGAGAGCCACAACCCACGCACGTTAAAGAACCCACCACACTTATCAAAAAGAGTACGGGACCTTCCCGATGTGAGTGGTTCAAACCTTACAGTCCGGTCTTACGCAGCTTATACTTACATGTACAAAGCTGATGTGTTACACCTAACAAGGTGGTTTACCAGTTATGCAAAACAAACAGTAATCGTAGTGTCATATAGTTGTCATTCACTATGTAGCTTTTTCAAAACTGTGCCACATTGTACTAGTAAAACTATAGAAACTGAAAATATGTGGATGAAAAATTACAAAATTCAGTAAATATATTATATCTGTCTGTTCATCATTCCTGATGTAACCAGGTTTAGGGTCAAGGGTCAAGTTCAGTTCCAGTTTATTCCAGTTCCAGTTGCATTTTACATGTTCTGGAAGATTTAGAGTTATTATAAATATAGTGTGCACGCTAGTTTAGTTAACCTTAGCCAGAGTTACATTTCGAACAATTACGTGTACAGCAGGCTTACAAGAGGGCCTGCATGGGGGGGTAGTGATTACGAATGATGCAAAATCGCCGATTACGAACTGCGTTTGAGTCTCAGAGCTGATTATGACTTTACGATTTGCGGCTAATGTCCTATTACGAATTACATGTACGTTGATTTTTGCGGAGGCTGCCTATGAATTACGAAGACTAACATGGCCTGATTACGCCTTACGAAAAAGGGCATGCCGGCCCTCTTACATGACTGTGGCAAGAAGGCAGATTTTTATAGAAGCCTGGTAAGCCTATATAATAATTTTTACCTTATACTGAAATATTTGAACCATACTTTACTAGCACAGTCATACACTAAAAGAGTGTTCTTCTGTCGTACATTACGTCGCATATGTTTAACTTCTACCGTTTGCTATAATTTTACTAAGCAATGGATGCTATGATGACGCGATTTGTAAAAGAGCCCCCCTCCCCAAGTACCAAATTTATGGTTTTGTCTCAGACTAAAAATCGTCTGACGACCAAAACTTACCGACATCAGGGTCGAAAGGCGACGAACTACTGAAAAGAGGCATCCTGAAGTTTGGTGTGGCGGTCAAAAAATCCACTAAATGTTTTCTTAAGTTAAAACTACGCGATCAAAACATTCAGTCCCAGTGCAAAAACGTAGACGTCTTTTTTTCTGTGGCCCTTGATCACTGAGCCTCGATCACTTCCTGGTTAGTCATCACCGCATCAGAACAAAGTAATCAATAATCATAATAAACTTCAATTTGAACGAAGTTTTGAAATCTATCTACACTGAAATTCTATTAAAACATAATTTTGGTACTAATACAATAGGTAAAGTTTACTTTTGTAGATGGATGTTTCTAGAATAAGGAAACGGTTTCGTTTTGTTTTGCTGCACTCTGCAAAAAAATTACCTCATGGTCACGAGACTTTGCCAACCATATTTAGGGGGTACACATTTAAAAATCGAACTAATATGTGCTATCAAAATTGAAATGAGCACCAAACTATCAAAATTAATAACTAATTTATATTTTAAAGAATATTGCCGTCAGAAGGTATAGATATTATGTTAATAACTTTAAATCTAATTTTCTAGTCAACCTGGTCACCCCTTCACCTATTTCAATAATGGATTCATCTATGTAAACGTCAACGGGTAGCCAGTGACTCTTTATGGCGAAATTGTATCTCTCGTATTTTTTATTTTCTCAATTCTTTTGCTACTGAAATATTTACAGGTATATCAAAGTAAAATTTCAGAACAATATAGTCGTGGAATTTAAATTTTATTTTTATATAGGGGTATAATTTGCAAAAACTAACACTTAAAAAATAGATGCGGTGTTTCTGAAACCCCTTAAACAGCCTTGAGGGGTGGACGTGCCACTGCGAAGGCTGGCTCGTACACAGCACAGCTAGCTGCAGGCGGAGTAGACTGGAGACAGGCGGGCCCGAGGGAAAATTTCGCCGTAGATGTAGCGTCCTTGCACCGATCACCTAGTCTGCAAAGTAACGAAGCTAACCAGGTATGTGCAGGTACGCAACTTTTTTCTGTACGCTTGTTTTTAACGTCGGAAAAAGGGCGATCTTTGCAAGGAGGTGGGAGGGGGGCGTTTTGACAGATATTTGGGTGCGGGTGGTCTGTAGTACACTACAGCGGTGTACATGCTTGTAACATGATGTAGTAAGGCGTTACAACGCCTGCAAACCTGCTTCTACATGCTACACAACAGACAATACTTTTTGAACAGGCTCAAACCATTTTTTACCACATTCTAGATGTTTAAAATCGCAGGATCTTGAGATCAGTTGATAGCTCGCGATTTGCGTTTGTATTTTTTTTCAGACCAGCTCAAATTCTGTTTTAATAGATCTTGAAATAGGATCCTCAATGAAATAGTTTCGTTAGTTGCATTTACTACAGTCTTTTACGTTTGTTTATGCACGATCCAAAATCCGAAAGCACCAGAGAATTTAGTTGTGTTTACCCTACACTCCGATAGTATCTGGATTTAATTAGATTAAACCCCCTATGCTGTGAGTGTAATTGATCTAGACATACTATGCAAATGTTGTTTACTCCAGGCTTAGTCTGGATCCCCCATGTTTGGCTTATTTTTTGTAGAGATAGGAAAAAAAGCTCATCTTTTCAAGTTCTGTTTTTTTAAATGATGAAGGAAATCAACTAACGGTTACTACATTTTATAGATTGTTTGAACAAGGGGGTTTATCTTTGGGGGGCCCGCAAGCCCTTTTCCGTAGAGCGTAATTGGCCTTTTATTTCTACGTAGAGCAAAGACGGACCGCTCTAATATTTTTGTGTAGAGTGTATTCAGCATTCATTTTAATTCTACGTAATGCGTTGTAGCCACTTGGAATCTATCGTAAAGCGTAATCGAGAGGTTTCTGAATTCAGCGTAGAGCGTTGTCGGGACCCCCCCTTGCAGGCCCTCTCTTTGGTGTAAACTTTTCATTGGGCAAAATTCTGGAAAGTGAGGGACTAGATAAGATAGGTTAATAGGTTGCATAGCAGCTTAATCATGTGAAAGTTCAGGGTATTCACCTGAAAAAAGCTTCAACCAGCAGTCACGTTTCTCGTTTATAACCTTAGGGCATTTAAAATTTCATCATCATTAAAATTTGGTCCTACCAAATTACAGTGTTTATTTCTACATCAATAAAAAGAAATATAACACAATTTTTACAACATTTAATACCACGCCTGAAAGATTTAAACCTGTTTTCAGGAGCTAAGGAAGTGGCTTTGGTGTGCTTGTAAGAAAACAATAGGTTATCAGTGTCAGAATCACTGTGTAAGGAGATAGCTACTTCCTCAGGGGAGGCTGCCATATCACGTTACCTACTGTACAGTGTAGCTCTGTCATGGTACATTTGTCACAGAGAAAGACAGATTGTTTCACAGCCAGGGATTCACCAATTAAGGAAGTATAATTATCCAATGCTTTGTACAATTAGTGATTCGTTAATGTACAATAATACCTACCATTATAAAGCTGGAATTGCAAGTTGTTCTAAAAAAATTGTCTGTAAATACTAGTACTAGTACCCCCCCCCCCCCCCGGTACCCTAGTAGTAGTAGGTTTCAGGTGGGTATTTCAAGCAAATGCAATTTGACACTCAAGAGACTATAGAAAATGAGCAGATATAGTTGGAATTTTTCTTGCCCTTTTTTTAATTTAAAGCTTCAATTTCAATGTTTTAATGAAAGATGTATTATGCATTATGACTTAGTATCTCATAATCTTCCAGAATTTTATTACATCCATGTTAAAATGTAGCTGAGTAACATGTCTAATCCAGTTTGGTGATTTAATTAGTAAGAATTTGATCAGATTATCGCACTCACTCACCATCCGGATTATCTCGTGACTCAAGAATGTCCGAGCACACTGTGGATGGCGTAACTCAAACCTGTTAAATTTCCCAGAATTCCAAGTCTCAGAGCCTTGGCCTGTGAGTGAACTTGAAGAAGGGTGTGTATGGGGTTTACATGGCTCCTATTTGCTGATCTTACTACACAATGTGGGAATGTTGTGGGTTGTTGTTAACTCCCATACGTATCCTCTTGATGAGACCCAGCTGGCCTGTTCTCAGCCTTTGTTCTGAATTCTGTTGAAAATTGTTTTGGAAGTCAAGGAAAAACAACAATATCATAAGAATATTAATCATATGTGCTGTGACGTTTTTCCACGGTTTTTACAAAAATACAAGGGTCATAACGTAATCTTTCAGTAACTTTTTGAATTTTGTTTAAAAAACTGCATTCACGTCAAATATATAGGTAGCAGCACTCTCAGCTGAATTATGTATCAGTAAATTATATGGTGATTTACATAAAACTTGAAGGAAGGTACAAAATGTATTAGTACATGTATTATTTATTTGTTTATTTATGTATTCAGTTTATTTCTCTCAAGTTAGTCCAGGTTGTAAAAAAATGAAGAAGAAAAAGGAATGATAATAATAATAAGGAACTAAATTTGCAAAAATTGATTGTTCAATGATGTATAGAATATTTAGTGTTAGGCAAATAGCTTTTGGAGTATCTTTTTATAGTGTATTATACCAGTTGTGTATCCCTAAAAAAATAAGTGTTAGACTTAGAAATACCCATCTGCAGTCTACATTTTGCAGAGACATTTTCTATATTGCAGAAGAAAAATTAAGCAACCTGCAATTTTGAAGACTGAAAAAAATCATACTTTGACTCTCTGCAATATTGAAGAACACTGAAAAAATGATTTCTACTACTACTAAATGCATTACCCAGTGACTAGTTTGACATAAACTGCCAAGCCATTTTTAGCTGACACACTGGGCATAGTTATGTAATGACAGAACTGGGTTACTTCATACTAGGACCCAACTGGTCAGTCACAAAGTCCAGTTGGTCTAAGTAGGATCCTCAAAAATTGGACGGAAATCAGTGCATTGTTGTATCAGGCTCTGTTTGCACTGACTGTTCACACATACAGAGAAGATACTCTGACAAGGGGACACCACTGTATTTGCTCACACATTGGCATCCATGCTAAGGCCATACCAAGTAAATTTTATGGATGACGTCCTTTGTCTTGTACGGGTCTTGTACGGGTTCTGCACAACACCCCTAGATTGGGGTAAAGCGTGCAGGGGAGCTGTGCGATGCGCTATTGCTGCTTCTTTAGGTGTTGAAGTACTGCAGCGTTGAACTTCCTTTGGAGACCCTAAATCTAATGCGAGAGGGCGAATAAAAAACAAGAAGGGCCCTAAAAACAAGATGCCTAGATTAGAAATATACTAAGAGACGACAAATGTTAGGACACAAATTGAATGAGGTGACACAGTGTAACAAGCAAGAAGTATTTTAGTCATCTTCAAAACAGCAATAAATCAGATGGAACAGCAGTTGTCGTCCTGTCCTGTTTTGCGGCAAATGTGCTCTTACCTACTGTAAGTCTACAAATTTCCGCGGTATATTTAGATTCGCGGGGACCTCTGTACCGCAAATCTATTTCCCCGCGAATATGTTTTGCGTAAGTGTGCCCCCCTCCCCACATGCATTCACGACGGTAAGCGAAACACAAACACACGCGATTCACAAATCACTGCAAATCAACTTTATTCTTAGCAAATGTACGTATGTTGAGTACTAAAATCTTTTTAAGTTATACTGATGCCAAAAAATTATAATATTATGAGACACCGAATCGCGATACTGCGGCACTGGCCGTGTCAAACGTGCACCGCCGGACAAAAATCTCTGTGTGCAGAGCGCCGGCCATGCGCGCCCGGGCGCTTGAAAATTGCGGGCACATCGGGCATATCTACAAATATTTTGATTAAAAATATAACTGCTGGTATCTGGTTATGTTAGTTGATTCTCTTTTGTGCCCTGCTTTGCGGGCGTTTGCTTGTTTGTTTGTTTGTTTGTTTGTTTGTTTGTTTTGCTGGATAGAAACGCTACCATGGGCCGCTACAAAACCGAAGGCGGCCTTTGCATACTTCCGGGTTCAAAATCTCGCCGAAGACGGCATAAATATTTTTAGTAATATATATTTTCCCGAAAGATTCTTTCGATTATGCATTTCTTCACTAGAGTATCGATGTGTAGTCGTGGAAAATAGCGTTTTAGCGCTTATTTCCGAACAAAGAAAATTGTTTACACGTGCGTCAGATCGATCGTCAGCTATACCACCGGCAGTCTCGCGCGGTGCACGAAACATTTTTGCGCCGCGTTTTAGGATATAAATGCCGGAACACGAACTTTTATTATTTTAAATATACACTTTACACATTTTTCTTTGAAAAATAGCCAAGGAGAAACCGCGAATCTAAAAATACCGCGGATTGTCCATTTTCCCGAAACCGCGAACTTTAGGCCCCGCGAATCTAAAGAGACTTACAGTATTTCGCGTTACGGGTTTCATGTCAATCTGGCACTGTTGTGACTCTTTGGTCATAGTTACAGCATGGTTACAGGAAGCGGAATTTCTTGTTTTTTTTTCTAGCAACAGGCCAAAATCAATGCGCGCGAGGACGTCATCCATAAAATTTACTTGGTGTGGCCTAATCTACCAAGCACATGTTGGGAAGAGTGTTTTCTGGCTGACCATTTTTGTAACACCGGCACTAGAGCCCTTTAAATGTTCAAATTTGGTCATGTTTTTCCTAACATCTGCTTTGATTTCAGGCTGTTCAGAGGTCATGAGGAAATATTACTTCCGTTTTCGCTCCCCAAATGTGTACCGTAAATTCGTTATTTACTATATGTACTTTTGCGATGGTTTAATTTTGCTGTTGATGTTTTTGCAGAAATTCTTGGTTGAAATAAACAGTTCTACAGTAATCATGCAAGGGAAACATATTCATATTGTCATAAATTTGCAACGGTAAATTTTTTTCTCCGACAATAATTTCAAGAATAAAAGGGTTTACAGTAACATGGAAGGAAAAGTTTGACTAAGGCCACACCAATTTAATTTGTTGGTTCTCGGATTCGCCTCTTTGTTTTTTTCTGATTTGCAAAAAAAAAAATTTGATTCTGGTCCTGAATCAACTAAAAAATGCTCATATTTTGCCCCCAACAGTTGAGGAAAGTCCTTTTCTTCCTAGTTGTTACAGTTTTCCCATCTATCATTGCAGTGGTTTGATTAAAAGTTCAAAATTCAATGTTTAAATTTAAAATTTAACCCAGCCTTTTGTGTTGACTTTACTCCGTAGCATTTAAGCCTATAATGGGATGCCTAGACCTGTTTTTATTTTTATTTTTTTTCGCCCTGTCGCTTCATATTTTTTCTGAAAAAATCAGAGAACCAACAAATTAAATTGGTGTGGCCTAACCTCAGCAAAAATTTTAATTCAGTATCAAACAACCAACATAACACATCAACTTTGTTATTATATCAACATTTTGTTCCTTTTTTAAGCTTGGTAGAAGGACATTTCCTATGAGTTAACGTAGGTCAATTGATTTGTTTTTCATCGATTGTTGCCTGCCACCACTATAAATTTTTTCAATGTGAGTGTAAAATGCCATTGTTTTTATTCTAAATTCTAATGAACTTGAAATCTGAATGACAAAATGTAGATCATTTTGATAATTGACAAGGCAGTTGTCTTATGCAAGTGATGCCAAAAAAAGACAATGCCCCAATGTGGTGAACACATTATTGTTTGTCTTAGACAACAATGCAGATTCAGGTCCAAGTATTGTTACAATTGCTGGAAGAATGCGTGTCAAAATATGCAAATGAGCTTGGATTTAATGGTTGCTAGTATGTTTGGATGGCCCCATTGTAAATTTGCTCTGAATACAGATCATATTTACACAGTGTACAGGCCATGCTTTAGATACTAGTATATATATAGCTTACGCTATGCATAATGCTAAACCTTGACCTATATCATACAGATACAGTATTATTTAATGCCTAACTTTTTTTGATAACCCCATCATATAGCTTTGTGACCGGTGCTAGCTAGAGTGCTCGTTTTGTAACTGGGAGGTCGTGAGTTCAAACCCCGGCTGGGTCATCTCATAGTGATACCAAAGACTTTAAAAATGGTACACAATAAATTAAAATCTTTCTCTGCTTAGCACTCACTCAGCACATATGAGAAAGAGTGTGGGAAGGTCAAACACACAACACTACCAGCGGACCAGCCCCATGATGTAGTGCATTGCACAACTGTGTGTCGCCCAAGGGCTACGAAATAGAGATGGGCACCACCCTACGCTTGACATAAGAGCACGGGAGACCTTCTTCTTCTTCTTCATCATAGCTTCGAGTTTGAGTACAAAACTTATTAACAGAATCAGCAAATCTTTTTTCATATCTTACCATTACAACTTGTATTTTGACCCTTTCCTCTTAGATATTAAAGTCCAAACTGTAATAGAGATAAAAAAGTTAGGATGGCCCTACTACATTTTAAAATTTTTTTCACCAATCTATTTTCATCCACAGTTGAATTAACGTAAACTCTTTCAAAATATTATACATCTGTATGATATTATTAAATTTGCAATAAATTTCTTATTAAACACACAGAGATGTACTTTTTGTTAATAACACAGTTTGGTCCTTTCTGTTTCAGATAGCTGTGTGTTACAGAAATGAGCAACCATATCACTGGAGAGTGCCAGAGAACGCAATACCAATAGTATCAACCCATGCTCTGAATAAAACCGGTTCAAACTCGATCGACAGAACCATGGCCGACATACAGGAACAGGACTGCGGCACGTTGCCCGTGGTTACGAAGGAACAACAACAACAACACGACAACAACACCAGCCAAAACAACAACAGGCATACCGAGGAAAACCACCAAAACGTCGCCGCGAAGTTGTCAAACTCCGAGAAAACGGGAGGTTTACAGGAAGGCGTTACGTGCCAGTGTGGCGGAGATTCGACCAATCAAGACACACACGTGAACGGCGCCGAATCATTGGCCAAAAGGGCGGCAAATCTCCACCTAGAGTTGGACCTAGCCGAAGTAATCATAGACAAACACAAGGAACACACGAGACACTCGAGAAGTAAAGAAGAAGACACTGTGCCGCCCCCTAAACAGTCCTGGCTGCTGAGACTGTTTGAGTCCAAAATGTTTGACATGTCCATTGCCATATCTTACCTGTATAACTCAAAGGAGCCGGGGGTACAGGCATATATCGGTATGTATTATGATCTAGTCCCTTACTTATAGTATAAAATAATCTGTGTGGTGACGTAGTGGATAGAGCGTCTGACTGTCAAGCAAGAAGACCCAGGTTCAATCCCCAGGGTTGGACCCAGACATGTCCGGACTTGCACCCAGACGTTGTGCCCTTGGGAAAGGCACTTAACATGCATTTTCCCCCCTCAGTTAGAGGGATCCTGGGCCCTACTAGGGTTTGGGTTGGCGCTAGGAAGAGCATCCAGCCGTAAAAATCCTGCTTCAAAAAAAGACTTGTACTTGGTGCAAGCACGTCTAACCCCTGGTTGGGGAAAAATGACGTAAAATTCGGTTAAAAAAAAAAATTAAACTTTAAAGGTGTTCTTTTATGTATCAAGGACAAACTTATTGCCTAAAAGCCATTTTTATCCACTATCACGTTGATATATTAGCAGTTACAGGTACATGTACTTAGTACGATGCCAAGAAAAACTCCAAAGTTTCTGTATGGTAGTATTGGAACATTAATTGTTGATAACTTACTCTCTATGTAAAATTCCCATTTTGGTATCATAATACGGGTCATTTTGCCATCAAATATGTTGTAGTCCTCTTTTTCAATAAAAATATGATGTTCAATATTATAAAGTTTAAATCAAACATTGAAGACTGTCAAAGTAAAAGAATAATTGTTAGTTTTAGCATTCTTTGTTATTTTATAAAGTTTATTGTTTTCGTTTGTTATCTAACATTGCTATATTTTCTGTCCAATTTTAGGGAACAAAATGTTCAGTTTTCTGGAGGAGGATGTAGATTTCTACCTGCCTCAGCTGTTAAACATGTATATCCACATGGGAGAGGACATGGCTGACGCACTGCACCCGTACATAGTCGCAAGGTGGGTAAACTAAGTAACAGTACATGGGTGTCCAGTGTTCTAGCCAGGCCTGTTTAGCATAGGGCCCCCTATACTATGATTTTGACCCCCTATACTATAATTTTGACCCTTTATGCAGCTATAATTTTGACCCCTATGCTAAGTTTCAAACACCATAGGCGTGTTTTGGGAGGGAAAACCTTCATAAATCTTGCAAAAAATGATAATATAACTTTAGAATGAAGCTACAGTAAAGGGAAAACCTGTTCACAAAACCTGTTCCACATTAAACAAGAAAAAGTGTCTCAGGGGGTTATAAGTTTCAAAATTTTTCGGCTCAGTGCGTGATTTGCACCACGAAAGTTGCTCGTCTGTACCTGACCCCTATGCTATGAAAAATTCCTGGCTAGAACACTGGTGTCATTGTATCGATGTAAAAATTTTCATATTTATGTTTACTGAAGGAAAACATATTGTTTTTGCTACGTATACGTTTTCTCTTCTTCCCTTCCAAACACTGACCTCTGACCTAGCCAATGACCTGATTTGTTGACATCTCTCACCATGGTAACTGGTACTCAGGGTTACATGATGTTGCAATTTTATAGTAGGAGGGATTTTTACTCCTGTTTGATCATATATATACATGTAATGTATGAATGTATTTGAGTAAGAATTAACAGAGCAGACGATATGTGAAGGTTAACATTAGGCATTTGCTACCTTAATTTCTAGTTCTTTTTTATGCTTTTGAAAATGCATGTTTACTTGAGACAATTCTAAAATAGTGCAGAAGAATGATACGAAAACCAAGGTACAAGTCTAAGAAGTACATGTAGAGTGAAACTTTGGAAAACTGTTTTTATATTTCCAGGTGTCGTGGAGGTATAAACTTCTCACTACAGTCATCCTGGTTACTGGGAGCTTTCTCTGCGGACGCTAGACGACATTCAAGGTAAATTGTCTGAGACTTGGCCAAACCTTGCAATGCCGTGAATATACATGGACACCATAAAGTCGGTCATCTCTGATTGCAGTGTTGTACATGGAATTACTTCTGATTTATTATGTTTACTGAAGGAAAACATATTGTTTTTGCTCAGTTTCTAATCCTCTTCTTCTCCAAACCAAAAAAGTCAATGACCTGAACCAAATGTCTATTAAGATGATGGTAATTAGTGTTGGGTTATATGATGCTGCAATTTTATAGCAGGAGGGATTTAGACTCCGGTCACCACATGTATGAATGTGTTTGACTTTGAGTAAGAAAGAAAGAAAGTACTGTAAGTCTACAAATTTCCGCGGTATATTTAGATTCGCGGAATTCGCGGGGACCTCTGTACCGCGAATCTATTTCCCCGCGAATATGTTTTGCGTAAGTGCGCCCCCCTCCCCACATGCATTCACGACGGTAAGTGAAACACAAACACACGCGACAAACACAAATCACTGCAAATCAACTCCATTCTTAGCAAATGTACGTATCTTGAGTACCAAAATTTTTTTAAGTTATACTGATGTCAAAAAATTATAATATTATGAGACACTGAATCGTGATACTGCGGCACTGGCCGTGTCAAACGTGCACCGCCGGACAAAAATCTCTGTGTGCTGAGCGCCGGCCATGCGCGCCCGGGCGCTTGAAAATTACGGGCACATCGGGCTAATCTACAAATATTTTGATGAAAAATATAACTGCTGGTACCTGGGAAGTGTTAGTTGGTTCTCTTTTGCGCCCTGCTTTGCGGGCGTTTTTTTTTTTCTTGTTTTGCTGGATAGAAACGCTACTGTGGGCCGCTACAAAACCGTAGGCGACCTTTGCATACTTCCGGGTTCAAAATCTCGCCGAAGACGGCATAAATATTCTTAGTAATATATATTTTCCCGAAAGATTCTTTCGATTATGCATTTACTGTAAATCCATTTAAAAATGCGGTTGGAAATTATAGCGGTCGGCGAAAAATGGACAAGCTCACGTCACTTAATTATAGCGGTGTGAGAACATGGCTGATGTGTGTAAAAAAAATTTAAAAGTCGCTGGCCTTTTTTTTGTAAGAAAATAAAAAAAGCAGTTTACGCCAGCGAAAATCAATTTTTACAAAGAAAAAACAAAACAGGCACGCCGATGGTGTCTGGAAGTAAATAATTTACAAAGTACTGTAGCGGCGCGGTGACTTCAAAAAGTTCGTAATTACGCACGCTTGTGTTGCGTGCGGCACCGCCGCCCCCCTCCCCAAGCTCCATGCCGCGGCACGCTATGCCGCTGCACGCCGCTACATGTCCGGCGCCGCAGACGAGCTTACAGCGAAACCCGGCGTCTTCGCCCTAGGATTGGAGCGTAATGGAATCCATGACGCCCTCGATAAAGTTCTACAGACACTGTAGCCTTTAACAGTAACGTTTAATCGTATTTTTTGCCGTAAAAGTTGACTCGCAATTTTCGAAAAACTTGTGACGCCATTTTTTTCACTCGGCGCTTGGTTCCCGAATTTTCGATTCGTCTTAGTCGTAGCACGCTATTAACGCTTTTACATTTTGTAGTACAAATGACGCTTAACATTTGATTGTATTTCTACCTAGATTTCTACCTCGAAATTAAGCAGATTTATGCCGCATTTCTCGTGGTTTGTAACTTGTTTGTGAAGTTGGCCGCCGGGCCGCCATTTTGTTTGTTGTTGTCTGCGCGCTTGGGCGACGCTGAATTTTGTAACTCGTCTCATTTTTTTCGATATTGTCCCGTAGTAGCACAAAATGAACGGCTATCGTTTCTGTAGATTTATGAAGAAACTTCTAAATCGAAATATACGCTAAATATTTATAAATACTCAAGTGTAGATAAGCTGGGAAATTTCAAAGCGTCACTGCGTCACATGTGTTTGTGCATGTTCACAAGATTTTTTTTACTGTGGTTTGCTTAGCACTGCATAATTGTTAGAAATATGAACTACTTTATGTTTAATAAATATTTTATTTCTGGAAGCACATCAGTGTTTTGCTTGTTCCTATGTGAAGCACTAGTACTGTGCGTTGTGTGCATGTTGTAGTCAAGAAATGAAGCGTGATTGCGATCGTACCGTAACGAGCTTGGGGCAAGAGGGAGGGGGGCGGAAGTGGTAAAAAAAAGTTGCGATCATGAAAATTTAGCGGTGGAATAGTGACCGCTAAAACCGCTATAATTAAGTGACCGTTATCAAATCAAGAATTACAGTATTCACTAGAGTATCGATGTGTAGTCGTGGAAGATAGCGTTTTAGCGCTTATTTCCGAACAAAGAAAATTGTTTACACGTGCGTCAGATCGATCGTCAGCTATACCGCCGGCAGTCTCGCGCGGAGCCCGAAACAAATTTTTGCGCCGCATTTTAGGATATAAATGCCGGAACACGAACTTTTATTATTTTAAATATACACTTAACAAATTTTTCTTTGAAAAATAGCCAAGGAGAAATCGCGAATCTAAAAATACCGCGGATTGTCCATTTTCCCGAAACCGCGAACTTTAGGCCCCGCGAATCTAAAGAGACTTACAGTACAACATATGTGAAGGTAAACATTATGCATTTGCTTTGCAAATGTTACCTTTCTAGTTTTGTATTACATTAGGTTCTACCAGGATGTCTAACCTTTATTGACATGTTTAAATGACATGTTTGATTCCAGGGGTATCAAGTTGCGTAAGTTGATACTGTCGGAGGAACTGCGTCCGGTCCGTACCAAACGGGAGGTCCTGAGGCTCCCCAGTCCGACCAGCCCGACGACTTCTCCGACAAAACGCACGCATCAGCGCTCACGGTCCGACTTCGCGGCGGGTAAGACAGACTGAAATCCACAATTGTAATCAGTCTTAGAAAGCAAAGTACATTTTGTAGTAAAGTCCTAGGTTGTAACGAAAACTTTGCAGTAAATGTGAATCGACTTTGTGTACTTGCATATGCATGATAACACACACACACACACACACACACACACACACACTCACACACACACACACACACTCACACACACACTACATGTGTAGACAACTATATAAATATGACAATTCATATATCGTTTCATTTATGAATCATATCCTTCTCAAAATGCCTAAAACCTGTCAAAACCTGCAATTTCTCAAAGTTTAGGTCATTTCTATACTTATATTAATATCGTGTGCACGTCTGCTTTTCTTGCTTTGAATTCAAACATCCAAGCTCTAAACATCCTGTTAATTTCAGTTACGCTACTAAGGTTCTTCTTAATTAACCTAATTAACCATCCTTTCAGCCATGATGGTCAGTTCAATAACCTTGACGATCCTACGCGGTAGCAAGGTCGTTGGAAGGGCACACGATGACAGCCTAATCTCGGGGGAGTCCACGCACTCAGGCTGGTTTTCTTTACGTTTTGTTGCTGTCATCTCGCAGGCCTGGTGTTTTTCACTGTAAACGCTTGCCAGGTCACCCACTTTTAAAGTTCTCAGCTAACTAAGGCTATAAAAACATTAACTCACTGATGGCTTCGGTTCCATCCTCTGTATATATTATCAGGGCTGGAAATACTGGATGCATGTGCACCTTAGCGCACCCAATTTTTTGGTGCACCCAAATATTATCGTAGGTTTACGTATGTTAAATTATTATGTTAAATGTATAGTAGTATACAGAATATTCTTAACATCCAAGTGTCAGAAAATTAATAAAATCATTGTTGTAGTACTTTTCTTTAGAAAAGAACATAGTATTACTTAGTTCTTGCTGACATTCTAGTAATTCTATTTTGTTTGGTGCACTTAAAATTTTTTTGTGCACCCATTTTTTTTGGTAGGGTGCACCGGTGCACCCATTCCCAAAAATGAATTTCTAGCCCTAATTATAATAAAGATGAAAGATTGAAAAGATAGATGTAAAAATATATTTTTATGAACTTCAGTAACACTGAAAACAACTTTTAAAATCAGTGCCTAAATTCTGGGATCCTAAACTGAATGAAAAAAATAAAACACATAAACACTCAATAAGAGTACAAGCAGGTTATATTTTTTTCCTTCGACTTTCATAATTATAGGCCTAAAATAAGAATTACAGTTGAATTCATTGTCATGACATTTTCTTGGGTGATCAGGCTTTAAACCTATTTAATGGTGGGGGTATGCTGCATTCTTCAACTCATAACACATTTCCTTACAAACCCAAGACAACGCAGCCTTGTACAAGCATGCTATCGCTATCTTGCATGTTGCTAAATTTCTGACAGCAAGCATTTGTTCACAATAATGATATGAAAGCAGAAACACATTTTCATCGTTGCACATTACATCTTCTTCTTCAATCATTACATTGAACACTGTGACCAAAGTTACACTAGATCCTTTCTCTGATGTTTTGTTATCAACTTTCTCCCTTCTTGTGTTCAGCTTTGCAGATTTTGATTCTTTCTTGCTGCATGCTGTTGAAGTACATGTACATGTATGATAGTATAGGTTTGACTGGGGCAAAAATGAGCAAAACCTGTGTCTTGCCCATTTGTGTAACTTGAAAAAAAATGGTCACAGTATACAGTAGCAACTAGTACTACAGACAGGATATAATACTTGTGTCAATGGAAAATTATCTAAGCATCCAAAAACTGGAAGAAGTGTTCACATTGGTGAGGTGGCAAAAAATTGTATGTACTCTGTGGTCCTTTCTTTATGTTTACCAAAAGAAAACATATTGTTTTTGCTCTGTTTCTTCTTCCTCTTCTTCTCCAAAGAAATAAGGTCAATGACCTGAACCAGACGTCTGTCACCATGGTAACTGGTGTTGGGTTACATCATGTTGCAGTTTTATAGCAGGAGGGATTTATACTCCTGTCACTACAAATATGAATGTGTTTGAGTAGGAATTAACAGAGCAGACCATATGCGAAGGTAAATACGTATTATGCATTTTGCTTTGCAGTTTGCTTTGTAGTTTGTAACAAGTATTTTCCCTCTGTCCATCCAGCCATGATGACAGGTCCGGCCGCCCTCCCCAGTATCAAGCGTAGTAACAGCATCAGTAAGGTCACGACGGGTGACCTCACCACCGGCCGCGCCTTCGACTCGGGCTGCACGTGCTTCGACAGTTCCATGGGCGTCATGAACGACTTGTTCGGAAAACCTACAGAATGTGTCTGCAATGTGAGTTAACACTATCTCCCAAAAGCCTGGATGCCAGACTGTTTTCAGGCCTAGTAAATAAAATGTTGTGTTTACTGTTTCCCAACTGATCCGAAGAAAGATTTTTTTGTGGATCCATGCAACTAAATATTGCAAGGGACATAAATTTTGCAAGCTGGTTGATCTTTTCTAGCTCCATGATCTGACACCTGAGTGATGAAACGTACAATCGGTTTTCCAACATTGCCATTGAAAATATAAGTGTCCTCATGCAACTCTAAAGATCATGGAGCTAGAAAAGGCCGGTCAGCTTGAAAAATTTATGTCCCTTGCAGGGTTCCATAAAAAAAAGGCTAGGGTCGGCAGTTTTATTTGAGTCCATCAGGAAACAGGAAATGCAACAATTTTTTCCTAGGCCGTTTTTAAGTTATTAGAGAGAGTGTATTGTGCAGGTAATGTTGATGTTGATGTGACTAAACAGTCTCTCGTTGTTCCAGGCCCCTCGTCTACAGCCCATGAGAGAGTTTATAAACGCCCTGATGGCCATAGGCAGCAGACTGCAGGGTCTAGCCACCAGGGAACTCAGAAGTAAGGCTGGACCAAACAAGAGAAATTATACTATCATGAAAGTTCATCTGTGTTGGTAGTTACATGTTTAAAGTTAAAACTTTTGGTCCAACACAAAAAATTCTCTCACCTAGAGCTTTCGAGCAGTCACTCTGGTCTCCCTCAGTAGACTTCAAAGAAGCCACGTGACAAGATTCACTGGGTCAGTCTACTGAGGAAGACCAGAGTGACTGGTTGAAAGCTCTAGGTGAGAGAATTTTTTGTGTTGGACCAAAAGTTTTAACTCTAAACAAGAGAAATTATAATGGGACAAAGGAGAAAAAGAAAAAAAATATCTGTAAGGATTTATGTGCAAGAGGGGAGAAATAATTGTCAGAAATAAAAGCAACAAAAAAGGAAACTTAGGAATGAAGTGTTTCAACTTCTTACTACACAATTTCAAAATGTTCATGTAGCAGGTATTTTCTGGTAACTCTGGCCACTAAATATTGGTAATTCTAAAGTCACTAGCTTATAGAAATAATATTGCCTTCCAGTGAGTATTTATTTTGATTTGTTGTCTTGCCCTTGGTTATGTTAACTGGCTACAAGAAAGATTTTGTACATAAACATTGATATTATGCAATTTCAGTTCCATTATCAATATTATTTACATCATTAAGTCATTTATTTAGTTTGTTTTCTGTACATTATTAATTTGTCCTGTTTCTTTTATTATCACGACGATTATGATTGTACCTAAGTTAGTTCTTTTACTTTTTCTGTTATTATATTATGTATTGTTCTGTGCAGGGAGCGTTGAAAACCGCCATTGGCGATATGCTGCCCCTGGATAAATAATTAAAAACGAAATGAAATGAAAATAAAATTGGACTCAAACAGGATTGTTTGTGCAAGTGTAACTTTTAAATCATAAACACTGGAGTGGCAAAATTTCTACAAAATTTCTCATGGATGTTAATTTTTTTTTGTTTCCCAGCGTCCAGATTGTACGCGGAGCTATCGTTGTTGAACCTGAACCTGCCGGCGCGCGTGTGGCTGCCGTGTCATCCCCCGCAGCATCACGTGGTCCGCATACCGCACTCCGCAGCCGTCGTGCTCAACTCTAAAGACAAAGTGAGTTCATCTTTAGTCTGCTCAGCCAAAAATGATGTGGTTGTCATAGGCCGATGGTTAGTCTTAGTCTTATAGGTACTGGATCAAAACCCTCTCACGCAGTAGCGTGCGTAGTCCAGTGGTTAGCGTTCCTGCCTCTGGACTAAGAGGTTGGGAGTTCGAATCCCGGCTGATGTCGCTCACCCGACATGCATGCTACTGTTTAGGGTCGCAGTCCTTAGGACGGGACGTTAAGCCATGGTCCACTGTTCATTGCGCTTGTCGAAAAGACAATGAACCTGTAAATACTGTACATAGCGTCTGTCTTTTCTGTCACGACCAGTGGAAGATTAGCTCTTCAATGACCTAAACTGGTTCGAGATCACTTTCACTTTTCACTTTCTCTAGGACATAATGTCCAGGTGAGGTCCAGGTGCAAAGCTAAGTACGGCCGGTGGTGGTGGTGCTCGCAACAAAGTGAAACAAAACTTAACTATCTGTAGGATAGGAATTATTTTTATTATTTGAGATGGTAATGTAAAACCAGAATCCCTGTGTATGTGCTCCAAGAATTAGTTAGTTCCAGGTCCCAAACCATTGCATGTCCAGGCTAGCAGCTCAGAATAATAATGATGAATATACATTGTGTAGTTGGACTTTTTAAAATCCTTTTATTTTTTTCTTCCCCCCAGGCTCCATACCTGATCTATGTAGAAGTTCTGGAGTGTGAAGATGCCAACACTTGTCCTGTTCCAACCAAGATACTGGAGAACACACTAAGGTACAGAAGATGTAACAATAATTAGAATTTTTGTATGTTTCTAGTTGCTATGTAGGGCTGGAAATACCACCTGTACAAAAGTCATGTATTTGCAGGTTATAATTGGTGCAGGTCAAATTGGGCTACCTGCACCTAACCTGCACTGGTCCAAAAATATAGCATCCTGTAAATACAATTAAGTTGGCACTAAAAAGAATTGCCAGAATCAAACCCACCTTCAGGCAGTGTTCGAAATACCCGTCTGCAGTCTGCAATCTGCAGATAGATTTTCAAGATTGCAGAAGAAAAATTTATACAATCTGCAATTTTGCAGAAGGAAAAATGGGCTCCAGATTCAATAGTTTTCAATTTAGCAAACTAGAATTCTCTGGCCCCAAGGACAGACATTTACACTTAAGCTCCTCACGGTTTTGAAGCAACAGGAGCTTCTTCACTAATTTGCATCATCCTTGTCTATCTTTTGTTTCCCTTTGGACTTCCAAAAAATTGTCTTTGAGAACATTATTGGTTTGAGAAGGTTGTAGTATGGAGGCTTGTGTATTTGCAGAAAGTATTTTCAAATTGCAGAACAAAATTTTGACTCTTCTGTAATATTGCAGAGCACTGAAAAAAAGTATTTCGACCACTGTTCAGGCCACAACAATTTAATTTGTTGGTTCACGGATTTGCCTGCTTGATTTTTTCTGATTAAAAAGAAACATTTCAGCCTCTGAATCAACTCTAAATGCTTATATTTTGGCTCTAACAGTTGAAGGAAGTCCCTTCTGTTCAGAGTTGTTACCATTTTTCCTTCTATCAATGCAATGGTTTGATTAAAAGGTTGAAATTCATTGTTACAAACCAGCTTGGTATGTTGACTTCATAGCATTTGGGGCTATCAGAGAATGCCTAGATCTGTTTTTATTTTTTTTGCCCTGTCGCTTTTTTTAAAAAGATCAGAGAACCAAGAAATGAAATTGGTGTGGCCTCAAGTTGTTTTTCCATAGTAGTAAAAAGGATGTGTTTTCCCCATAGGTATACGAGGTCAGAGGAAAATCTGCAGGAGTATTTCAACTCAGACAGTCCAGTTCATGCCTTCACGGTCCACCCTAACTTTGACCAGGACGATGACTGCTGGTCACAGGACGACATCGACCTGCAGCTGCAGTACGGGGACACACAGGTAGGGGGCACTCTTACACAGTCATGTCACCACTGGCTAAATAGAAAGAGGGTTCGCCAAAAAACAGTTACTCAACGAACTGTCAAACATTACTAATAGACAGATTCTACCTGAAACGTTGGAACGTCTCCAAAATCATATCCAGTTGCTTGAGTAACTGTTTTTTGGCGTATCTTAATCATAATGAAAAAGATATATATGTGAGTCTTGAAGAAATGATCTTTTAACCAAGAATTCCCCACAGGTACAATGTATATGATAGCAGTTTCAGGGTTCTTTGTAAATGTTGAATTACACAAGGTCCCTGAATTATTGTCAATCATTGCAAAAAGAAGTTAATGTCCCTTATTATATTTCTTTTGAAAAATGAAAAGTAGAGTTTGACTATGCTGGTTTAATTCCTATGATCTGTAATTATGAATTTATTATCAAATCAGAAAATCACAAATCATTATCAAATGTTCTATTCCCATGACACTTCCCATAACCCATAAAATCATATTCTCACAATTAAAATTGTACACCACAAATGCACATAAAATTACGAATCATTGATAATGTAAGGAAGGACAGTAATAGTTTATGTGATGATCGGGTGACCAACATGAGAATCCAGTCCATACGACCCATCTAAGGCCACAGCAAGTAAATTTTATGGATGACATCCTCCGCAGACTCCAAATCTAATAATTTAATGCGAGTGGGCGAAAAAAAACCCCTAGCAAAATGGCTAGTCGTACCATCATGGGCAGCTACTATACTGGGTTGGATTGGATGCGATGGAACATGCCAGTGTCAACATTTGTGATCAAATGCGAACCATTGTGCCTCAAGTTGTCTGGATCTCCAATGGTCTCTAAACTGATAGGCATATTATACAAAATTTGCCCATTTTCGGCATGTTGACCATTGTCAGAAGGCAAAACAATTCAATTTTTTTCCCCAAATCAGGCGAAAATTAATGCGCGCGCTGATGTCATTCATAAAAATTACTTGCTATGGCCTAAGTAGGTTTCCTTGTTTTGCATGCTCATTCCCCAACAGTTGGAGACAGGAACAGAGTTAGACAGGGATGAACATGATGAGACTATCCATGGCAGCCCCACGACCCTCAATAGTGACGATGACTCAAAAACTGACGACACTAAACCCACGCGAAAGAAATTATGGTTTTGGAATAAGGTATGAAACCAGGTGTCAAAGTAGGAAACTAGGAAATAATACAGTCAGTTTAGCCAGTTTTTCTCACCCTTGCTATACTTTCTTTTGACCTTTAACCTGTGGGTGACCTTTAACCTGTGGGTGACCTTTGCCTGGATGGTGACCTTTACCCTGAGGGTGACCCTTAGGCTGTTGGTGACCTATGACCTGTATCTGCTTGCTTGATAATGTATTGTTCAATGTATAAGGTTTTATTTGCAATCCTAAGTAAGAAAACATGTTAAAATCTCTAGCAGTTCTGAATTCACATTAGGCCACACCAATTTAATATGTTGGTTCTCGGATTTTTTCAGAAAAAATATGAAGCGACAGGGTAAAAAAAATAAAACAGGCTGGTTTGTACATTTCTGATTCAAACAATGGATTTCAAACTTTCAATGAAACCACTGCATTGATAGGTTGAAAACTGTAACAGCTTTGAAGAAAAGGGACTTCCTTCAACTATTGGGGCTAAAATATGAGCATTTTGTAGTTGATTCAGAGCCCGAAATGTTTTTTTTTGTTTGTTTTGCAAATCAGAAAAAACCGGGGAAACCAACAAATTAAATTGTTGCGGCCTCATCAGAAAAGCAGGAAAGCTTAAAAAAGCACCAAAGACTTGTCCATTGTTAGCATATTATTACCTCCGGGGGAGGAGACATCCTTCCGCGGAAGGGTTTTGTAAGAGATTTAGATTTTCATGTTCGCAGCTGTTTCTCGCATTTGGGTGAACGGATTTTTTTTGGACTTGGTATACGTTTTGCTATTGGTCTGTAGATGGTGCACGCTCTTTTGTTTTTATTGTATATGTGTTTTCGGGCGTGAAAATTATTTAGTCCTTTTAGTGGTGTTTACTATTAGATTTTCCTTCCCTTCAATCACAATCACAACACAATGTATTCCCTTGTTGTTTGATGTAGAAATCCGTGTCCAGTGACAGCGTGTCTCAGTTTTCCATCGAGAGCTCCACGAGTAACGACAGCAGAGAGCCACAGTACATCGCCGCCGCTGACGTCAGAAGAAGACTGTCGGAAAACCTGACAACACCTCCAACCAAGTTCAAGGTAAGTAGTACAAGTTTCCCTAGAATAAACAGGAATCTAAAGTGCATTGTAGCTAAAATTTACTAGACATGATTTATTAAATGTAAGAAACTCATACAGTATATTGTAGGTTTTCTTTTGATTCCAAGTTCAATGTATGAACAACTTTTTCTAGAATTACTAAGCTTTTTCAGAATCTAAAATATCTAAAAAATTAAGAAACACACTCAGTCTATTGTAGGTTTTCTTTTCATTTTGTTATTGATATTCCTACACTAGTATGAAACATGAATTTTGAGTGAAAAATGTGCAAATTTTAACATTTTTGTTTGGTTTAATTGTCAGCGTGACCCAGAAGATCCATCAGCCGCTGCTCTCAAGGAACCCTGGGAAGACAAAGTGCGTAGGATCCGCGCCACGTCGCCCTACGGACACTTCCCCAACTGGAGGCTCCTGTCTGTCATCATCAAGTGTGGGGACGACCTGAGACAAGAACTGCTCGCTTTCCAAGTCCTCAAACAACTACAGGTAGAGAACTGCAAATTCCAAACTTACACCACTTTATCTATGCCCCAAAACCTATTCACCATACAAAAGTCCAGACAATTGTGCATCCATAACTTGAACTGCTAACATAAAAAAGAAGAACACAAAATGTCCACTGAAATGACATAGACACCCCCCACAAGGCCGATTTTCGAAATTAACCATGGTCTCCACAACGGTAACTTGCCTACCAAAATCATGAACATCCATTCACATATACTTTAATTATCCTGTGAGTAATAAAAATGACAAATACAAAAGGACCACTGTAGTAACTAAGGGACTCCCCACGAGGCCCATTGTTGAACTTGACATTGGTCTCCCCAATGGTAACCTGCCTGCCAAAAATCATGTACATCAAACCATGCCTTCAAGAGTTATGCCACATAGTCTCCTACACTATAGCCTGATTTCATAGCCTTCTCGACGAAGGCAATTAGCAAGGGATACAGACACCATTGATTATAAAATGTTTACTGTTTGCTAATAAAAGTTTTTGTTTTTCCTTCTCAGAACATCTGGAAAGAAGAGCACGTCCCACTCTGGGTCCGTCCCTACCACATCATCGTGACGTCCGCGGATAACGGAATGATCGAGCCGGTTCTGAACGCGGTCTCGCTGCACCAGATCAAGAAGCACAGCCAGCTCTCGCTCTTCAACTACTTCCTCCGCGAGTTCGGAGACACCAACTCAGAGGAGTTCCTCACGGCACAGAAGAACTTTGTACAGAGCTCTGCAGCGTATTCCCTGGTTTCTTACCTGCTGCAGGTTAAAGACAGGTCAGTGTACGGTCTACAGCATTAGGCCACACCAATTTAATTTGTTGGTTCTCGAGTTCGCCTCTTCATTTATTTTTCTGATTTACCAAAAAAACCTGTATCAGCTCAAAATTACTCATATTTTGCCCCCAACAGTTGAGGAAAGTCCTTTTCTTCCTAGCTGTTACATTTTTTCCATCCATCAATGTAGTGGTTTGATTGAAAGTTCAAAATTCATTGTTTAGATATTAACCCAGCCTATTGTGTTGACTTCATGGCTCCTATCGTTGCATTTTGGGCTATAATAGGATGCCTAGGCCTGTTTTTATTTATTAGTTTCCCTGTCACTTTATATTTTTTCTGGAAAAATCCGAAAACCAAAAAATTAAACTTGTGTGGACTTAGGTTAGAGGTTGCACTTGCAGCACAGCAAGTCACATTGTTGAGTAGAGAGACTCTTTTTACACATCCAAGTGTTTTATTCACAGCTGATGTTTCCTTGACCGTCTGTCACCTTCCTCAGGGCAATTCTGACTGGTTCACATTGCACTGCAGCACCGAAACTTTTTACCAAATGTACAATGTTTACAAATTTAAACATATGATACTTGGTTACAGGGAATTGCATCTACAATGCGGTCCCAAATGCAGATGTAGAGGTTGTACTTATGGTACAACAAAACACATTGTTTACGTTTCCACACACAGGACTATAGGCAGAATTTGACATGAGGTTCTTAACAACTTTTTCTGTTTTAAACATTGAGCGTGTGCTTGAATCATAATATTTATTTAGTGAAGTCAGGGTATGACAATTCTCGCTAAAATATTTGCTTTTGTGCAATGTTTTTGTCTATGTTTACTTGATTGTATTTTCTGGACTGATTGATTCTTGTTTCTACCACAGACACAACGGGAACATTCTGTTGGACATGGAGGGTCATGTCATCCATATCGACTTCGGCTTTATCCTGTCCAGTTCACCACGCAACCTTGGCTTTGAAAGCTCGCCGTTCAAACTCACGCACGAGTTTGTGGAGGTAAACAAAAATTAATTATGAATATGACAGAAATTTAGGATATCTTAGTATACAGAGAAGTATGCTCTCATTATGTTTACCTTCGCAGAAGGAAAACATAATTTGTTTTTGCTCTGTTTCTTCTTCCTCTTCTTTTCCAAAAAATAAGGTCAATGACCTGAACCAGACGTCTGTCACCATGGTAACCAGTGTTGGGTTACATCATGTTGCAATCTTATAGCAGGAGGGATTAAGACTCCTGTCTGACCATATATATGAATGTGTTTGAGTGAGAATTAACAGAGTAAACCATATATACGAATGTTAACTTATGCAGTTGCTTTGAAATTGTTTCTAGTTATAAATTGATTTGTTGTACTTCAGTCATGGAGCAACATGTAGTACAAGACTTCGTAAAATTGAAATAAATGATGTCTGTTATCTCCTACCAGGTGATGGGTGGCCTGAATGGAGACATGTTTAAGTACTACAAGATCCTGATGCTACAAGGGTTCATCGCTGCACGCAAACACATGGACAAGGTGGTGCAACTGATCGAGATCATGCAGACAGGTACGGAGGGCTGGCTTTGTTCGGGAGCTAGAGATGTGTTCAGCTGCTGGTTTATGAAAGGTTTTCAAACTTTAAGCCCAAATTTTCGACTGTGCAACTCTGGTCTTGAGGAATGAACAATCCATCGCTTCCGTGATAACACACATGACTACGTGAGCAGTGGGTCATAGGTTGCAGAAGTCTATGGCGCCCCCCGTCTCTGTTGAGGGATGGTTGTAATGCCCTGATTTTGATAACCTCTTAAATCCCTCGTGTGTGTTACCTGCGTGACGTCATGGAAGCAGTGGATTGCTCATTCTTTGACAAAGACTGGAGTTGTACAGTCGAAAATTTGGGACAAAAATTTGGGACAATTGAAGTTTATTTTTGGGACAGTGCTGGGACAAAAGTTCTGTCAATCATTAATTGGAAATCAGCTTCTACTTGCTGAATGGGCTACCTTTGTATGATGAAATAAATAGAATGGTTGGTTAATGTTATAACCTTTTCTACCAGGTTCCCAGTTGCCATGTTTTAAGAATGGTGTGAGCACGGTGCGGGGCCTGCGCGACCGCTTTCACATGAACCTGACGGAGGAACAGCTGCAGCTGTATGTGGACAGCATGGTGGAGTCCAGCATGCACTCTCTCACCACCAAGCTGTACGACGGATTCCAGTACATCACCAACGGCATATTCTAGAACCATCACTGTCATTGTCAACAGCATATTCTAGAACTGTTTAACAATGGGATATACTAGAACAATCACTGTCAACTCTATCTTCTAGAACTTTGTTTAGCAATGGCATTTTCTGGAACAACCCAATCACCAATGGGATATTCTAGTACAGTCATTGCCAATGGCATCTTCTAAAACTCGTTTAACAATCATTTATGGCATCTTTTAGAATAACCCAATCACCAATTGTATATTCTAGAACAAACACTTTCTTCACCAATTGTATCTTCTAGAACTGTTTAATTTTGGGATCTTCTAGAACAACCCAATTACGGACAGCATATTCTAGAACAATCACTGTCATTGCCAAATGGCATATTCTAGAACTCTGTTTAACAATGGGATATTCTAGAACAAACACTGTCTTCGCCAACTGTATCTTGAAGTTCTAGAACTAAATATCATTGCTAGTGGAATCTTTAAAAATCCTTAGTTCACCATCAAGATCTTCTAGAACAATCCTGTTACAAGTAGAATCTTCTAGAACAAATGCATTGCCAGTAGAATATTTTAGAACAATTTTATCAAAAACAGCATATTCTAGAACAGACACTCCCATTGTCAACAAAATCTTCTAGAACCCTGTATTTACCAAATGGAATTTTCGAATCTAGAAGATTACATTTAGTTCAACAATGGAATCTTTTAAAACACCTATAACATTGCCAACAGAATATTCTACAACACTAGCATTGCCAAATCGACTTCTAGAACAATCCTTTCACCAATAGAGTCTTCTAGAACACACTGATTTCTAGTTTTCTAGAACAATTCTATCATCAATTGAATCTTCTAAGTTCTAGAACAAACTCCTTTCCTTTGGACTAGAATATGGGAAAATGGTTACTGTGTGCAGAAAATAACTAGGGATGTATAGGTGGAAAAAGTATGTACCAAGTGTTGTGAAAATGCAAATTGAAAGGAATTTTGAGTATAGAAGATGAACGTGTAAAAGTTGGGTCCCTAACTTTAAAGGTAAATAAGGGAGTGAAGGGAAGAAGTATATTGAAATTGTCGATCCTTTATTGCTGTGAAAGAAAAGTGATATTAAACTCAACACTATAAGGTGCTGCGAGAAACACATTCTTGGGTCCCCAAGCATTCAAACAGATTGTATGAATTTCAAACATCTGTTAGCCTGGTATTCAGCCTATTCTGGCTATGGTTTGTTCCAACTATTGCTTCAACACAGAATAGTCTGGATACCAGGCTACCAAATCTGTAAGGATTTGAATGTATATTAAATGTTTGTTAGGTTCTCTCAACGTGGAAGATGCTCATGCAAGTTACAATGCAAACTACTCTGTAGCCTTAAAGGCTGTTGCTTCTTTTACTAGTTATCACATTTATGATATTGTACATAAACATCATATAAATAATGTTATTCAGTCATGTACTGAAATTTACAATTGACAATGTAAGAATAACACAGGTCCATGCATGTTATACTGATAAACTATAGAAATTTTCAAGGTTTGCTATCCATGACTGAGAACTACAGACTGATGTAATGTTGCACTGTTAGGGTCATCGGGTATCTGACCTTTGACCTGACAAGGTGATCCATGATTGGTCGAAACTATTTCCTCTTAACTTTGTTTCCAACGGTCATTCTTTCCACTTGGGTCAAATGGGAAAATAATCTACAAGTGCAGAAGTGGTCACAATAGTGCTCTTGATTGGCTGCTGAGTTTAATTTGCATATGTAGATCAGAGAGGACCATGCATCTGATTGGTCCATGTAAGTTACATGTACGCCTTTCGTACTAATTTTGACCAATTTGAGACTTCTTCAGAAAAATGCTTGAATGTACCTTTTATAGTAAGAGAACAGGTGGCAGAAATAACATAAAATGCTTCTTCTCTCCCTCTATACAAAAAGAAAACCAGAGTTACAGTGTACTATATGGGAAAAGACTTGTACACTAATGTCTTAACACTCTTTGCTAATGTCTAATGTATATTCAATGTTAAATATATTGATAAATGATAAATAAGCTTTGACTCTACCCTATGGACCATGCTGTGAATATGTGAAGAAATGATGCAATTTACGTCATAGAATAAACACGGTTTTAAGGGACTTCCTGGTCAAGTTTTTATTAATGTCTTGTCTTCTTCATCCCATAAATTGTACATATTGATTTTGTATCTAATATTGAATCATCAGATAGTAAATAATAGTAGGTCACACATTGTTTGAGACATAAATCACAGAGCTTTGGCTAAAAAATACTGCATAGTGATTGCAAGTCACAAAAATGCAGAACTTTTATTGTTGCTCTCAGTCAGTAGTATAACACACACACACGCACAAAATGGACACCTTTTAAAACAGTCTACAAAAATATATCATTAAATGTTTTTATATTAGACTGATTGATGTTAAGACATCCATGCCCAGATAAATGATATCCTATCAGCCGTTGGGCTAACAGATTCAATTATAAAATTGAAATTCTTTTGAATTAAAATCAGATAGAAATATAAGTTTTAAATCATAATAGCCCATCATTTTAAGTCTGTTGCAGAGCCATGTTAAACCCTTCCATGACCCTCAGGATCATTTTAAGTCTTTCAGAGTCACGTGAAACCCCTCCATGACCCTCAGGATCATTTTAAGTCTCAGAGCCACGATAACTCCTGTAAGGCCCTCGGGATCATTTTAAGTCTCTTTCAGAGCCATGTTGAACCCCTCCATGACCTTTGGGGTCATTTTAAGTCTCTTTTAGAGCCATGTTAAACCCCTGTGATAATTCTAAGTCTCTTTCAGAGCCTTGTTAAACCCCTCCATGACCCTCAAGATCATTTTAAGTCTTTTTCGGATCCAGAGCCATGCTAAACCCTCCATGACCCTCCGGAATCGGGACCATTTTAAGTCTCTTTCAGAGCCATGTGAAACCCCTCCATGACCCTCGGGATCAGGTCATAGTACACCCGGCTGCGGTCAAAGTTGTTTCTGACGAACACCAGGTCTGCGACGTCGAGCCGGTATGTTTCCGGTTCTGACCAGCCGGCCCAGATGTACAGGTGGTAGAGCGGGGACTGGTCCAGTAACCAGCTCAGGTTGTCCCACGAGCGACGCACCTGTTTCAACCCAAAACAACATGTTTATTTTTATCTGTTGATTTGGATATGATTTATGTTTACCTTAAGAAAACATTATGTTTTTTTCTGCTGAAAACAAGAGCAACAAGAATTCCGAGACTTCATACCTCCATGAAATATGGGCTTGATATGTAAATGTAAATTTCTTCTTTAATTATGCAAATGACCTCTGCATTAACATGATATATGCATCTTGATGTATGTTAACTTTTGATTAACTTACAGATGTCCCAAGTATGACATTCCCATCATTCACCATTAAGAAATCACAGAATTTTTGCATTAATTATGCAAATTAGGTCATCATTTGCATAATTAGTATATGTTGATGTTCCGCCTGCCATAGATTACATACATTACATGTATGAAAGTAGTATAATGTAAAACACTGTAATTATAGAATTCCCTCATTAATTATGCAAATAAAGTCCTCATTTGCATAGTTTGCATTTAATTAATATGTACATCTCTCTCTCAGCTACCTACACACCAAAAATTATGAAAACATGTTGTTCCTATCTGGACTTATTGGCTTTGAAAGTTTTTACCAGAAACTAACCTGCAGTTCCAGAACAAGCTGCTAGGGGGACCAAACTTACGCCACTTATTCCTGACAGGATAAGCTATCTGTCACCAGAAATTCAAGACCACAGCTTGTTCAGGACAAAAGATACAAAAACCGGAAGTTCTGCTGCAGTACCAAGGTCATCCACCAGGAGGCCCATACTTGACCTTGACCTTTGTCTTTCCAAGACTTACCATCATACCAAATATCATCGTAATCCATAAAGGCGTTCTGAAGTTATGCTGACTACAAAGTTGCGGAAACACACACAGAAACACAGACATACAGACAGACACGCCAAAAACAATACCTCCATTTTTCATGGAGGTAATGACCTGCACCAGACACCAGACCTGTAGCAGACACACTCGTCCTGTTATACTGTCTCATTATGTAGCAAGTTGGAGGGGCTGGTTAGTAACACTGTAATATATATATATATTATATATATATCAAATTCAATGTGTTTGAGTGCTCTTAGAATAAAACAAAAAAATACAGAGCAGCACAATGGAAGACCATGTGATGGTAGTTGCTTTGGAAATGTTGCCTTTCTAGTGATATTTCAGATCCTACAAAGTTGCAGATTCTGAAGCTTGTTCCAATGCAAAAAATAGTGCACTGTTCCAACCATCTACACTTACTTGTCTGGCGTCTACACTGAAAACCACCACGATTTGTGTGAGGTTGGAACACATCCAGGCTACCTCCTCAACCTGGGCACGAGAGTAACCCTGCGATGGGCTTGTTGGGCTCAGGGCAAAAACTGAAGAGAAATCATACAAAAAAAACCATAAGTTCATTAAATATTATAACACTTTCACATCAGCTGGATGGAAAATTTTATATACAAAGTTGTACAAGTTTTTACAAATATACAATACAGACTTTTTATACAACCAAGTCGTTTTATTCACAGGTGACGTTTCGGTGATTCGGAATTCTGACTGGTTCACATTGCACTGCAGCACAGGTGTCACTGCAGCTATACAATCATGTAGATGGTTAAACCTAAACATCGACTGAATATAAAAAGACTTGGTTATAACAAAAAGTCTCTTGACTCAGTGACTCACCAACGAATAATAATTATTATACAATACAAGGTTTCCAATAATTATTAAAACTACAAGGTTCTTACCTATTGACACGTGAGGAAACATATTAATAATTGGATTAATGAATGTCTCCTTGCTGAAGAGACCAGGCATCTTTGCTTTCAACATGATTGGGCTTTTCAAGTCTTCGTAGCGTCTTCGGAATATCTGTAATATCAAGAAAATGACCCCTCAGAAGGGGAGGGGTTAATCAAAACCATGGAGAAAGAGATTGACGTGCAAACACAGGCTAACTGGTCACGAAGCTTTGGGATTTTCTGTACAATTTTAATGATGAAATTATCATCATTATCTATGTATGAATATTCATTGATTCAAGACATCATAGAAAATAAAGATGATTACTTGGTGATGATGTAATGTATTTGAACCTATGGTAATTCTATATATATACTATATATAGCATAGTATATTTGATGTATTTGGTATATCCAACATTTACGGGGACCTGCATGGGTGGGGGGTTGTGTCCTGTCAACGCTCTACGCTAAATTTTGAGAGCCCGCTACGTATTACGCTGAGTTCAGGAAGTCTCTCGATTACGCTTTAAAATTACGATAAATTCCAAGTGGCTACAACGCATTACGTAGAATTACAACGGCGAATTACGCTCCATGCAAAATGGGCCAATTACGCTCTAGGTTGAATTAAAGCAGTCCATCTATGTTCTACGTAGGAATAAAACGGCCGATTACGCTCTACGAAAAAGGGCATGTGGGCCCCCATTTACCTCCAGAGCTGGGACTACTGAGTTGACACTATGAAACTCCAGCATGATACCCTGTGTGATGGTTACAGCGCCCAGCCACTCTTCCAACGTCATGACGTCACCTCCGGTACCGGAAGCGTTGTCGGACATGATGGGAATGCCGTCTGAGCGGATGTTGACATCAGCCTCTAACATGGTGATCTCACGATAGGCTAAGTATATACAGTGGGGGAGAGGGGACAGTAAGACATTTTTGCACTCTAAAAATTATACCAGGTCCTCTTTACTGCTTGTCACTTACATTAGTACAAGGATGATATATCTAAAATTTTACACCTGGTCCAATAGAGCTTAATGGCTGAATTATATGAAATGACTTGAAATTTTGAAACCAACCTCCAACGGCCTCTTCAAGAGCCTCTCTTGAGTTCACGCCATGTGCCCATGTGATTGAGAGAGCGTCCCGTCCGTAGATCCTGTAGTTGGCCTGGAAGACATTGACCAAACTGCCTCCAGTCTCACTCATCCGAGCTAACTCTGCTGCCTTCTCGGTCGTAATGTCGTACAGAACTCTGCTCCAATCGAAATCGTTCCGAATAGTGAAGAGATCGACGGGATCGACGCTTAGTCCTCCTTCATAAAGCGTCAACGTGTACGTATCGGATTGTTCGAGCAGCCATTTTACGTTCGGCCATGATGTTACCGAAACGGCGGCAAGGATCGTAAAGGTCACGGGGCTAGTTAGGCTCTGTGCGAGCGTGTGAGCGTTTCTCGCCATTTCTCGTGTGATTCCACCCTGAAGTGTTATCCCGTTGAACTGGATAGAAGTGGTGACGCCGTTGGGGTACAGGGCGTAAGTAGGGTTGAAGACTAAGTCAGGATCCAGCGGTTGTTCAGAGCCGTAGCTTGGTGCCAAGACGCCAGCGTTGATAATCACAGGAAAGTCAATCTTGGACATGTTTTGGCGCAGCGTTGTCATTGTCTGAGTGTGACAGCACGTCAAACATAAGGTTAGCCATTATGCTATATCTTACATGATTTCAACATGTATTATTGCATAAAGGTGTACCACATGCAAGAAAATTATATGTGGTGCATTTAAATTGGAAATTCCTTGATCTGCATATCAGTGACTTAGACAGACAACCAAGAAATATCATTTTATGCATGTATCTGTATTTGTATAGCCTGACTACTAAACTTTGTGATTCCTTCAGTGACTGTTAACTCCCAGAGCCCTCCCAAATATGGATTTAAACAAAACAAGAACCGTTCTTCAGCCAATAGCTTTAATCTAAAACAATACTTGCACTCGGACTGCCCCCTTCTCTCAGTAAATGATTGTTAAGATTTAATGATGCACAAAAGTATGCATTTCAAAAATCAGTCTGTTGTACATGTCAAAGGTCAGCCTCAGTCCCATGGAAAACCGCCAGGTAGACGAAAATCTAACCATTTTCAATTTTTTGCAGGGTTCTAGCAAGGATTTAATTTTAGCGTAGTGGCACTGGCCGCATGATGAGGGAGCGAAGTGGAGCTTTTGAAAATTTGAGCTTAAAAAGAGGTCATTTGAGGGATAGCCAAAGGGAAAAAAATGTTATTTCTAAAGGTATGTACAATGTATCCTTGATTTTTCACATTTGATCTGGCATTCTTGAACAAAGAAATACAGTCACATTGCCCCTATGCTGTATTAAAAATAAGCATAGGGGGAAATTTAGTGTAGGGGGTCAAAATTATAGCATAGGGGGGGGGGAATTTAGCGTAGGGGGTCAAAATTATAGCGTAGGGGGCCCCTACGTTACTTTGAACTAGCTAGAACCCTGTTTTGTTACCACATAGAAAATTAATCCATTTAAGCATTCTAGACTCAGTTATCTTGCTGAACAAACATACAGTCTCATCAAAGATAAAAAAAGTCATTTATTAATAATAATTTGAAATGCTACTGTCAGACGCTATCAAATCTTACAAAATCTGATACCACCTCTGTATGTATTTCTTAGTATCATGCTGGTATGATGAAAACAAGTGAATATGCAACATGAGACCGGCAGCATGGTTTGAATTTTCATCATAAATGTTATTCAAATAGCCAGCTTCAGACAATTAACTCCACCATTTACGTAAGACCAATCTTAGGTTGTTTGTGACACTGCATTGAGGATCAGCTAGATACAGAGGGAGGCTGACACACCCTATAAGAACTATACAGCAACCTGTGCCCGAGTTCCTGTTCAGAAAGTGACTGTACTAAAGCTATTCTGACCAACGTGAAAGGTATGTATCTACGGGAGGATGAATGATTGAGGTAAAATGCCTTGTAGGCAGTTTGCCACTGGCCCACGCCCATAGGTAAGGCTGGCAATATATTGGGAATATTTCACAAAATTAATACAATAAACAGTACAATTGGCATGTTTCACATCACAGTCACAGGCTGAATTGCTTGCACATATTACATATCACTTATTAAAATCATAATGCCGCAAATATTTAAAACCCTAGCTTATTTTCTTTTAAAAACTAGTAAAGTATATACAAGGACGCTAAATACAACCTGTAGGCACAAAAGGACTGAGTGTACGGATTACCTACTATACAGAGTCGTTCAACAGTGTGACATTAAAGTATGGGATTGAGCTCTTTTTATAACGGTCGGTTCTTGCTGGCAATTGGTCAATCTTTCTGTTCTGTCTGGTCACCCTGCCGCTAATGTTACCTCCAAGTTCTGGCAACCAGTGACTGTACAGATCGGAGTTGTCAATCAGATTTTGATTCTCTAAGGAGATATGACGGAGGAAGGTTTGCTGTTTTTTTTACTGACGACAATGTTTCATAGCTGTCAGAAAAGTCTGGATATCAGGAAATTTTCATCTCAATATCTGCTTGGGAAAAGGTTAGTTCTAAGGAAAGCGAAGTAACAGGGGTGCTTTGCCATGATTGTTTTATTTGCTGACGTGGCACTATTGGTAAAATTTTCGCTGGAACCAGAACTACAGATAAACCATCATGACTTTGCTAAGCCACAGTCTGCTTCAACTGTTTTTAACGCTTGATGTTACGACCATTTTGCGAACACAAGGCTTTCCAAAATGAACACAGTAACACAGCTTACTAGCTTATCTGTCTTTGCTTACCAGGAGATATTTTACAATTGCATTATTCAGTAGAGTGCATGTATGTAAGGAACACAGTCCTACAATGGCTAATTTTTCATGATATTTCAGAAAAAGAAGTAAAGTATAAAATTTAATTCAATCTTTTTGGTATTTTGTTGATTTTTTCCTTGTGTGGGAGATCTAAAAAAGGCCACAAGAAGAACACAATATCCATATTCAAGCAGCAATTCTCAGACAATTAACAGGTATGAACAATAACAACTGGAAACAGGAGCCCCGCTGGTTAGTTTACGGGCTGTTTTCTCACTACCAAAAATTTTTTTCTTATTTTTCTTATTTTCTTATGTTGAGAAATATTTTCTTGCCAGGGGGATTTTCAAGAAAATTCAAGAAACATTCTTGAAAGATTTGGTTTGTTGATTCTTACACAAAGAATTTTTATTCTCCTTTTTTCTAAAGGAAAGAAAATATTTCTACTATCATGCTCACCAACAAGAAACTTAAGAATTTTTAGGTCTTTTTTTTCTGCTACAAGAAATCTTTCCTTGTGTACAGAATGGTTTTCTTGCTTCAAGAACAGTTAGCTCTTAGTCCAAGAAATATTTTCTTGTGGACAGAATCGTTTTCTTACTCAAGAAACACATGTGTTTCTTGAATTTTCTTGCTACGGGGATTCTTAAATTTCTTGTTCAAAGAATAATTTTCTTTCTATAGGATACATTTTCTTTGTACAAGAAAGAAGAAAGAAAAACAAGAAAAACAAGAAAAAGCATTTTTGGTAGTGCTGTAGTTTCGACTGCGGCTGTCAGAATCCTTTATGTGTCACAGGGATGCGTATTCTTCATTACCGGAAGTTAACATGGGTCCCAGCAACAAATCTAAAATACGCTGTACTCTAAAGATGATAATATGTATATAAATTATATATAATAATGGATATCCTTGCAGGGATTTAAACCCAGAACATTCAGATTCAAGGCAACAACCCTAGCCTAACCCCAAAGGCATCTTGTCACTCTCTCAATCCTACATATATTAGCAGAAAACAAGGGGAAAACGAAGTCACACTGGACACCTAGAGATGTTCTAAAATCATTGATTTTCTGAGGCCACTCCAACCTAATTTTTTGTTCTATGACATTTTAGAGGAATTTATGATTTACCAAGTGGGCAAAACAAAGTCATGGGAGGGCAATTGGAGTGTAACAAAATTTTTCTCTTGTACAAACCAAGAGTTTAACCTGGGACCTTATGTTTAGTTATCATTTCTTTAAATTTCGACGTCCAACATAAAGTTGGAGTGGCCTTACTGTAGCCTGGGTACCATCCGGATTTTCGCTATGCAACGCTCGAAAAAATGATTTCGAGCGTTGTATAGGGAAAATCCGGATGGTGCCCAGGCTAGCCTTACTGAGGAGCTTGCCGTTCTGTTTAGGTGTCAGGACACAATGGGAAGAAAGCTGCGACACGTGTTGATTTTCCTTCTCATCATCCTGAAGGAGCCCAACATGCCAGAAGCTGTCTGCAGATTTACATCATCATCATTCGCCAATTGCAACAGGCTAGGCCTCACCAGCATCCCTCAGAACCTCCCAGCATCCATCTCTGTGTTACATTTAATAGATAACCTTATCAAAACTGTAAACAAGTCTGAGCTATTACGGTATAAGAATTTGTCTGTGTTGCGCCTGATTAAGAACCAGATAACTACCATCCCTTCTGGTAAAGTTACAAATCTACCCCAGCTACAAGAGTTGAACCTGTCCTCCAACAACATAACTACCATCCTTTCAGGTACATTTGCTAATCTGCCAGAGCTACAATATTTAGTCCTTCAAAACAACCGGATAACTACCATCGATTCTGGTGCATTTGGAAATCTGCCCGAGCTAAAAAAGTTGATACTCAGTGGCAACCAGATAACTATCTTCCCTTTTGGTGCACTTGCAAATCTTCCCGAGCTGCAACAGTTGGACCTGGCCTGCAACCAGATAAGTACCATCCCTTCTGGTGCATTTGCAAATCTGACCCAGCTACAAAAGCTAAACCTGAACAACAACCAGATAACTACCATCCCTTCTGGTACATTTGCAGATCTGCCTCAGCTACAATGGCTAAACCTGAACAACAACCAGATAAATACAATCCCTTCTGGTATATTTGCAAATCTGACCAAGCTACAAGGGTTGTACCTGAACAACAACCAAATAACTACCATCCCTTCTGGTATATTTGCAAATCTGACCAAGCTACATCATTTGGCCCTGAGCCGCAACCAGATAACTACCATCCCTTCTGGTATATTTGCAAATCTGACCCTGCTACAATTGTTGTTCCTGAAGAACAACCAGATAAGTACCATCCCTTCTGGTATATTTGCAAATCTACCCAAGCTACGAGAGCTATACCTGAACAACAACCAGATAAATACCATCCCTTCTGGTACATTTGCAAATCTGCCCCAGCTACACTTGTTGTACCTGTACAACAACCAGATAAGTACCATCCCTTATGGTGTATTTGCAAATCTGCTCCAGCTACACAAGCTGTGCCTGGATAACAACCAGATAACTACCATCCCTTCTGGTATATATGCAAATCTGTCCCGGCTACAATTGTTGTACCTGAACAACAACCAGATAACTACCATCCCTCCTGGTACAATTGCAAATCTGCCCCAGCTAAAATTGTTGTACCTAAACAACAACCCCTGGCAGTGTGACTGTAGGATGGTTGCCTTCAGGCATATTCCTGCATTTAACGACCAGATAACATGTAAACAACCCACGAAACTTCAGGGACAGAAGCTTTCACGTGTCAAACCTAAAGATTTGATATGTGAAGAGCCAAGCATATCACCTTTTACTGTTCATAGCAGTTCTGCTGCAGTGTCAACACCTTCAGTTGGCGATACAGAAAGCAATGCTAGCCCATCAGTCTCTAAAACCACTGATGGCTCAACAGCAAACCCCGCAGAAAACACAAGCAAAACAATCTCTCGCAACTCTCACTTCAAGTTCAATGCTGCCCCAAAACCAAACCCTGACTTAACATCAAGCCCTGCAGATAAAACAAGAACACTTAAAGCTTCGCCCCTTGCAATCACTTCAGAGAAACCAGAATCTGCTCCCAGTTCACCCCAGCCAATCGCATCAACACGGATAGCTAAAATCCAATTATTCTCACACAACTATCACTTCAAGGTCAATGCTGCCCCAATGTCAGATCCAGACTCAACATTAAGCCTTGCAGGCAAAACAAGAGCAACACCAACTTCGCCCCTTGCAATCACTTCAAACAAACCAGAATCTGCTCCCAGTTTCCCAATACCTGTTCTCATAGGCTCAGTCTGTGGTCCAGTAGCTGGTCTGCTAGTCCTGATTGGCGCCATCATTCTTACAGTTTGGAACAAGATAAAGAGCAGGCATCCCCCTTTGGGGTTAAATCCCAATGTTGTTGGTGGTAACACAATTAACACAGCAGTTCTGTATTGGCCATTGCAAATGATAACCCGTATGAGGATACTGACGTTCAGAATGGGCAGGGCCAGGCTAACATTCAATCTCTGAACGTTGGAAATCTATCCCATAACCAAGTGCTAGCTGCCTTAAAGACAAATCCTATGTATGGAGCTGAAGGTAACACAGCAGTTTCTGTAAATGCAGATGATCACCAGTACGAAGATATTGATAAACCACGTGTTAAGACAGGGCAGGGCGAGGCTAACATTGAATCTCTGAACGTTGGAAATCTATCCCATAACCAAGTGCTGACAAATCCTATGTATGCAGGTGAAGGTAACACAGCAGTTAATGCTGATGATCACAAGTACGAAGATATTGATAAACCACATGCTAAGACAGGGCAGGGTCAGTATCAAGCCTCCACTGAATCCAACACAAACACCACAGCTGTCGTAATGACCAGTGGTCATGATCAGGCAGGGCAGGGTCAGTCTCAGACCAACACTGAATCCAACACAAACACCACAGCTGTCGTAATGACCAGTGGTCATGATCAGGCAGGGCAGGGTCAGTCTCAGACCAACACTGAAGCCAACACAAACACCACAGCTGTCGTAATGACCAGTGGTCATGATCAGGCAGGGCAGGGTCAGTCTCAGACCAACACTGAATCCAACACAAACACCACAGCTGTCGTAATGACCAGTGGTCATGATCAGACAGCGCAGGGTCAGTCTCAGGCCAACACTGAATCCAACACAAACACCACAGCTCTCGTAATGACCAGTGGTCATGATCAGGCAGGGCAGGGTCAGTCTCAAACCAACACTGAAGCCAACACAAACACCACAGCTGTAGTAATGACCAGTGGTAATGATCAGGCAGGGCAGGGTCAGTCTCAGACCAACACTGAATCCCTCGATGCTAGAAATTTATCTTATGGCACAGGGCCAACTGCATCAAAGCTAAATTCTGTGTACAAACACAGCTACTGTAATGACCAGTGGTCATGATCAGACAGGGCAGGGTCAGTATCAGGCCATCACTGAATCTCTCGATGCTAGAAATTTATCTTATGGCACAGGACCAACTGCATCGAAACTAAATTCTCTGTACAAAACAGCTACCACAATGACCTGAGCGGTCAGGATCCGACAGGGCAGGGTCAGTCTCATACCAACACTGAATCCAACACAAACACCACAGCTACTGTAATGACACTTTAATAGTGATCATTATTACCGGTATGACGATTTTGAAAACAATTATTTTAAGACAGAACAGGGTCTGAGTCTCAGACCAACACTGAATCCAACACAAACACCACAGCTACTGTAATGTCCAATGGTGAGGATACCCAGTATGAAGATATTGACAACAATCGTGTTAAAACTGGACAGGGTCAGTCTCAGGCCATCACTGAATCCAACACAAACACCACAGCTACTGTAATGACACTTAGTGATCATTATTACCGGTATGACGATTTTGAAAACAATTATTTTAAGACAGAACAGGGTCAGTCTCAGACTATCACTGAATCCAACACAAACACCAGAGCTACTGTAATGACCAGTGGTCAGGATCAGACAGGGCAGGGTCAGTCTCAAGCTATCACTGAATCCAACACAAACACCACAGCTACGGTAATGGCCAGTGATCATTATTACCGGTATGACGATTTTGAAAACAATTATTTTAAGACAGAACTGGGTCAGTCTCAGACTATCACTGAATCCAACACAAACACCACAGCTTACTGTAATGGCCAGTGATCATTATCACCGGTATGACGATTTTGAAAACAATTATTTTGAGACAGAGCAGGGTAAAGGCAAGAAACTTAGGGATGGATAAATGAACTTGCTCAATCATTGTTAAATTTGATTTATCCTGAATGTAAATTTTTTTCTCTCAAAAGAATTTAGGGAGTTTTGAACACATGAAATTTTTAACTTAAAAATTTCTTGTAGCAAGTAGGCAGGACACCAGATACAAAAAAATGTACTATTAAACATTCTTAAATTCTAATCTTGTAAGTTACAATTCTTGAAAGTTATGTACAGTTTTAATAGTAGCTTGTGTACTTTTCAAGCTCAAAGTTGGTTGCTTATAATGGTAGATTCCAAATTCAATGTGATTTTGAACAAGTAATATCGACTGTGGTTTAAAATTGTCATTTTGCAGCTGTAGTATTGTAACAAATTGTGGTCGTAACTATTTCAGAATCTTTACCTTTTTATTAAGGATGACGTCATGGATGTATTTTGCAAAGATTATATTAACTTTATAGTTGTTCCAACTTTAATGATTGCCCAACCAAGAACAGGGAAAGAGTGTTCAATCATTATACTGTAAAGTAATTACAATGTATGATGATGGACTATCTCAGTCTGGAACTCTTAGTAGCAGAGCAATGTACTGCAGAAAGTATAAAGATGTAAAGTTTCATTTTAAAGGCATCAATTTTATACTGAATCTGTTTCAAAATGAGTTATGGTTCCTTTTTTCATTTAAAGTTGTAGTGTTGTAACTATTTTACGATTTATAATTTTTTGTTATTGATGCTGTCATGGTTGTATTTTGCAATGTTTAACTTGAATACTTGTTCCAACTTTGATTCTATGATTGATTGCCCTACCAAGAACAGGGAAAGAGTGTTTGGCTGTTCTGTGCATGTTAAGTACACAATGTATAATCATGGGCGATCTAAGTTTGGAACTCTAGTAGCAGAGTAATTAGTAATAGTAGAAAGTTTAAACTATTGGTGTCATCTCAAGAGGCATCAACACTGGTGATTTTTGGGGTTGTTGTTCGGAAGAACCCCCCCACAAGGTTCAAAGGTCCACTTTTTGGTCCACTTTTTTTGTAAAGGTCCAAGATTTTTCTTGAAAAGATGGACTGGAATCTGCTCCCTTTCTCATTGAATAAAAATTTATCTCTGATTTTTTCTTGGAAATCCTCTCAAAAATGCCCGAAACGCCATTTTAGAAGGCTCATTTTTCAAAATTTAACGGGGGAGCATGCCCCCGGACCCCCCTAGGAACCTCGCGCCTTCGGCACTCGAGCAGTGGGAAGAACCCCCTTCCCCATTCAAAATCCTGGCTACGGGCATGCATTCGTAATCACTACCCCCCATGCATGCTGAGGCCCTCTTGAGTAGCACATCGGCAGAACGTACTGCACCTGCGTGAAACCCGTAATGTATTGTTTTTTTTGTACATAACATTTTGGCAGAATGTCTCATATAAGGTTGTATTCGCTCATATACGGTTTCGAAAGTAGTTTCCAAATGTTGTGTCGGAAAGAATATCCTCTGCAACAGGCAAAATTCTGATGCAACGTTGACCAAAAACCCAACGAAAAACGCAAAAATAAGGGGTTCTGCGCAGGTGCAGCACGTTCTGCCGACGTGCTCTCTTGAGTCCGTACCGGTATGACAGCCTCTGTAGTGTGAAAGGTCAGCTTCACGGCCACGTCATGGTCAGAGGCCATGATGGTGGACAGCCAGTCTTCCAGCGTGATGTCATAACCCGTGTCGGCGGGCCTCCCCATGATTGGTTGGTGCTGGTCTCCTAGTATAACGTCTGCTTCAATGATGTTTGACCTCCCTGCAAATCATGCAAGAATCAGACTACAGTTTCTGCTATCAATAGTATCAGGGTTGGTGGAAAAAGGAGTCCAGTACGATTGGTGGAAAAAGCCGTCCAGTACTCATAGAAACTCGAAGTACCCATAGAAACTCTAAGTACGCATAGAAACTTGAAGTACACACACAAGAAAAAAAAAATAAATAAATGTACCTAATGGTCTTTCATAGAAACCACCCAACTTTTTTGGACTGCCTTTTCCACCCCCAAATCGGACTGGACTGCTTTTTCCGCCAACTGGACTGGACTCCTTTTTCCACCAACCCAATAGTATCATTAAGGGCAATTATAACTGTACTATTTATTCTAAATCTAAATCATCCAAATTGGATGTTGTATCTATTTATCTGTTGTATCAACATCATCCAATCTATAATGAACTCTGATGTAATCTTTTGCAACAAATTCCTCCGTAATGCCCGGTTCCATCTGTACTCTTAGTGTGTATTTTAATTGTTTCTATTAATAAAGTGCATTAAATTTTCTATTAATTTTGTATGTTTGATTTTATAATTTGTGCCATGGATGCCTGAAATAAAAAATGAAAAAAAAAGTATCTGCAAGAAAATCACAAGACACATGGCAGTGATTTCTTTTAAATTGATAAGTGTTGTTTTGATGGTTGAGAACTTTGAAGGATATACTAGTAATTCACTGATAAAAATTAGGTGAGGTTGTTACTGTAACAATTTTTCTGTTAACCCACCATTAGGCCACACCAATTTAATTTCTTGGTTAACGGATTCGCCCGCTTCAGTTTTTTCTGATTTACAAAAAAAAAAAAAAAAAATTCAGAATCAACAGTACTGCAAAATGCTCATATTTTTCCCTAAAGAGTTCAGAAAACAGTCCTTTTCTTCCTAGTTGTTACAGTAACTGTTATTCCATCTTTCAATGCAATGGTATCATTAAAAGTTCAAAATTCGTTGTTTAAATTTTGAACCAGACTGGTGTGTTGACTTCGTGGCTCCTATCGTACCATTTTGGGCCATAATAGGATGCCTAGGCCTGTTTTTATTTTTATTTTTTTTTGCCCGCCCGCTCCATTATTTTTCTAGAAAAATCCGTTAACCAAGAAATTAAATTGGTGTGGCCTAAACAGCACTTACGTCGCAAAGCTTCTGCCAACTTTTCCCGGCTGTTGGTGTCGTGCGACCACGTGAGAAGTAGAGCATCTCGCCGCGCCAACGGGAAGAACAACAGTGGGTTGACCTTTGACACATGGCGTTGCATTGCCTCAAGAAAATCGTCCTCTTGCTGTGATGACGATACCGGATTTTAGTCTTTAAAAACAACATTTCATTTGACAGCAATACACCTGGCTATGGGAAGTTACAAATCTAGGCTTGCTTCTGTCTCTTCTGCATTTTTTTCCTTTTCCCTAAAGCCAGTCTTTCAAAATTCTACATTTTAAAAAAAAATCTGTGTTTTTTTAGCTTTCGCTCAATGTTAGCAGCCAGACTGCCTAGACTGAACGCTGTCAGAGTTTTGCGCTGAGGAAAGAATTAACTTCACATTTAAATCTCTGTCTGTCCCTGATCATATCAATTTCCCTCGGAAGATTGTTCCAAAGTTCAACTTACAGTTGATGGACAGGTAGAAAAGTTGTTTCAAGATTGACAGTGTGGGAGACAGGGATCAGTCTGAGAGTGTAGTTGTGCTGGGATTTGGCATGTCACCCAACATACCTCTTTATGTTCAAGGGAAGGAGGCCTTAAAAATAACAGTTGTGTGTAAACTCAAACGTACCTGTTTTGGAAGATCGTAGTAGACCCGCTGGTGCGAGAAGGCGTTCCGACATTTTACAAGGTCGTATATTCTATGAAAGTCGTATAACCCTGTCCATACTGTGATGCAATACCTGAGGATACAGAGAAGAAAGCATTTAGTACCAAAGTGGTCTGCTATGCAGCATTACCCCCTGAAACATTCATCCTGCATTACAGCCAGTATAGTGCCTAATTTCACAGTAGATTATGACTGTCCAAGGCACCTCCCTCCACTGTCAACTCTGCAGTGCCTTGAACCAATTAGTTTGCCTTTCCCCTGCATTAATGCCCTCTGTCACAGTCTTTGGTTATGGTTGACCCTTACATTAGCACCAGGCTCAAGTAAGCACAATCCTCAACCATTTAGAACATCCTGTGTCAGCAACTGACGTCCCACCGCCTCTGAGCAGGCCTGACTGACCTAATTCAGTCTATAACCTGCCTGGCCTGAAACAGTCTGAAGTTTGTCCCCCTTTTACACAGGGTATATTTTCAGAAATTCTGTTGCAATTCCAACCTAAAGGAACATACATGAAGTTGCATTTAGGACTTCTTGTCATTATACTTCAACCACCAACACCGTACATGAACCACTATCCTCATACCAAATTTGAGGTCCTTTATTTGACCTAATATGAAGACACAGGAGCAATATACTTTTTGGGACTATTTTTTTTTTACAAAAAAGCTACATTGAATTATTTTAGGGCCTGCATCCAAAAAATTAAACCAAGAATACATGTGGAATAATATTCCCAAGCTCTGTTATAATTTCAAGACATTTGGTAAAAAATGTGGTGCCTGGTAGCAAATGTCTAACAAGAAGTGGAGAGAGAGAACACAATGTAGGACCAAGACAGCTTAGAGCATTCTGCTCCCCCAATAGGTCACATGACCTCTGGGGGGAGCAGAATGTTCCCATACATGGTCACATGATAGATCAGACCATCCTTTGCTACTCCCCATAGCACATGTAGGAGGCTCTGTATGTATACAAATGCAGTCACTATCAGCCCAGGCCAACAGGTCCTGGACCTTTTGATTTAGTGGTTAAAAGACATTCAAAGAAAAGAAAAGACTCCTGTAGCTTGGTCAAAACAAGCCAAACTTGGAGATATGTATGATGCTGTGTTTCAGCTCAAAGAAAACAGATTATGTTTCACCTCCTAGAAGGCACATATGTTTTCAAAGAGCACAGGATTAATTTGGTGTGACCATCCCCACTGGCAAGCTGTCAGGCAGGCTGTCAGGGGTGGAGATCACATCAGGCAACAGCTTCTGCCCCACTCCAGAAGGCCAAGATGATTAATGATGATTAATGGTCATGGCATCAATCTAGCATTACTCCCAATGTTCAGTGGGAGCTAGTTTAATGCCGGGGTAACCCCAAAAGTGATCTGATAATGACCACGTAATGCGGCATTACAGCCGCACAACTGACCACTTTGGCAAGGGATTGGGTTGACTACAATATATATGAGAATGTTCCAAGAAATGTGCATATTTTGGTTTGAGGATGGCTATCGGATGTTGCTTTACAAATAGAGACTCCTGTGTAGACTTTTTTAACTGCTAATACTCACTGAGATGTGTAGTAAAAAAAATTGTTTATTATGACAAAAGATGATATGAGAAGTGATGTTTAATATAATAATTGTATTGTAGCAAATAATACACATTCTTTGACAAGTAATGGTCTGCCAACTGAAAGTTTTAACCGCCCTTTGGCATAACCTTTGCAGGCACGCGGCGCGGCTTCAGCTGCAGCTAGATATTATTACACCGAACAACCTATTACACCCAATCTTTGCACATTTAATTGCAGGAGTTGTTTAAAGGTTTCTAGTGATGATGCCCCAACTGTGCTTGGTGGCAGCAAGTTCCACTCTACGAATATCATCATTTAAAGTTCTTGGAAAATACAAGTTTTTTAACATCTCAATTCTTCAAGTTAATTACTTTGATAATCTCTATGTTTGCATCCAATATCGACAGAAATGAAAGGACGATGGTATCGTGTGAACTCTGACCTTTCAGATTGACTCAACAACCACGTCAAGCTCTCCATGGTACCAGGAAGACCGAGCAGAGAGTTTCTGACGGGAAAAGTCACGGGTTGTGTCAGGTCTCTGCAGTAGGAGTGCATCTCTTCCACCATCTGCTGTGTATAACCCTCATTTTCCCGGTCGTGGTGGAAGCCTGAAATTGCACAAAGCATCATGGGAAATGTGGTGGTGCATCATGGGAAGTGGCTGTTGCATCATGGGAATTCACAGTTGTATTGTGGGAAATCTAGGACTGCAGCAGCCATTTTTAGACATCAAGGAGGGCTTATAGGACTTATGGTCTCGGACCGGAGTTTTTTTCACGATTTTGGATCCAGCGGACACCCTCAGACCGAAGGGCTATAACTCCGCCAAAAGAAGTACGCCGGGAAATCTCATTACATCAGTCAACGGAGGTTTCCAGCCGGCTTCCGATACAATTTTGGTTATTGTCCGTCGACTCTAAAATTTGGGTAGAAACTGTAGTTAAACGTAAATTTTGGATACGAAAAATGTAGTTTTTTTGCAGTTTTTTCAACGGACCTGCTTGGAAAAAACGAATTTTCCCAGGCTAACGGCTTATATGCTGAAATAGCTTACTACTTCCTGTTTCTGAAAAACAGAAAAAAAATATAGGTTGTTGCGATAAGTTTTTCGCAAAATCCGGTGACGCGAACCCCTAGAAATTCCACATAGAACGCAGCTATTTGGGTCATCAGGCGACAAACCGCATCACCCTTGCTCGCGGACTGATACCAAAAACGCTTCGCTGGCCGTCCAACTTCACCGCGCCGAAAAACACTACAATCCCAAGGCTTTTTGATCAATTCAAAACCTAGTTGAAAATCTACAGCGATCGCCGAGCTATGGGGAGCCAAACCTAGCGTGACAACCTCGCAGATCCGGCGATTTACTGCGCACTATTTGGAACCCTGGTCAGAATTAAACTCCGACCCGGAACCTTATATGTCCTCTCTTATAGGTATCAGATACTAAATGAAACTTTAACATGGTGCATCATGGGAAAAGGCTGTTGCATCATGGGAAATCACAATTGCATTGTGGGGAATCTAGGGCTGCAGCAGCCATTTTTAGACATGAAAGTAACTTAATTTTATCTATAGGACATCATCAGATAGTAAAGGCAACTTGAAGTTTAAGATTGAGAAAATTATTTCATAGGTCTATCAAAAAACCACCTGTTGTCCATCCAAGGGAAAGAGTGCATGCTGGGAAGATCTGGTTGACTGTATCTATGAATTCTCGTGCATTGACTCCAGGATTAGCAGTGTTGGGGCCGGGTAGGATGTCTGCGTTCAACCAGACGGGACGGTTTATGAGTCCAGACCTGTCCTTCAAAGTTCTATGGAGATTGTAGATATCATTTGTTCATTAATTTATTTGTCAATGAATTTTCCTTTGAGTACAACAAAGGGGAAGACATCATTAGATTACCTTAGTTTACACTAATTGTCTCACCATAACATTACAGTACAGTTCATTTCAAGTTTAGTACTTCATTGTCAGAATGAAAATGAATTGTCAGAACGGAAATATTATGCTCAGCAATATCTTAATTCAAATAGTACACGTTTTTCTGTCAAAATTTTGTAAAAAGAAACAGTTTGTTTCGTCTTGTGTAATTATGTATGTTTTGATTTTATTTGTACTTGGTAATCTGTTATATGTTATTTGTACCTTGTTATCTGTTAATCTAAAAAAAATAAGAGAAAAGCAGATACGTTTCTGAAGTACAATGTACTACAATAATTATAACATACTAGTTTAAATTATAAAATACCACTCACCTTAGGGAAGGAGCTACAGATCCAATGCTCTTGAAGTCTAACTTGAGACCCTTTTTTGACTCGAGTGCAGCATCCAGCCATTCCTGGAACGTGTTGTCACTGTCAGTCTGGGGAGGGTGTGCCATAACGGGAATGTCCGTCTGTGCAGGTGTGCCCTGTCCACGTAACAAGATGTCTGCCTCCAGCATGTGTACGTCACCTGAAAAACAGATTCATAGAGAAGACAAGTGAAACTAGAAACTTAAGGTAACATTTGCAAAGCAAATGCATATTAATAAAAAAGTTTACCTTCGCATATGGTCTGCTCTGTTCATTCTTTAACTCAAACACATTCATATACTAGTTGGTCAGACAGGAGTCTAAATCCCTCCTGCTATAAAATTGCAACATGATGTAACCTATCATGTTACCATGGTGACAGGCATCTGGTTCAGGTCATTAATTGATCTAATTGTTTTGGAGAAGAAGAAGAAGAGGAAACAGCAAAAACAAAAATTGTTTTCCTTCGGTAAACATAAACATTGGTTGGTTGGTTGGTTGGCTGGTTGGTTGGTTGGTTGGTTGAAATTGGTTCATGGTTGGCTTGCTGTCTTATAAGTAGGTCAATTGGTTTTACGGTTGGTTGTTGGTGTTCAGTTTATATGTTGAGATGAAAAAAATCAGATTTCTTTCAAGATTTTTTCATTTTCAATGAAGCATGAAGGGTCTCACTGGGGGGTGGGGGGGTGGGGTGGGTATTATGATCTTTAATGAACAGAGAACCTCTCCACAATATCAGATGTGTAGTAAAAGGCAAGATTCATATAGCACTAGTCCTGCTCTGGCCAGGCCAAAAATAATTTGCTCCCCATTATACTTACTTGCCAAAGCCTGTGCCAGCTGAGCCTTGCTATTGGCTCCGTGTGACCATGTGACCTGCATGGCATCCTGTCTGTCAAAGTTGAAGTAATCCAACGGACTGCCGTCAGTTGGGAAGTCACCTAGGAGGAACAACAACAAAGAAATCACTTCTCTCCACAAGTTTTACATGAAATCTACTAGTAATGCAACAAGTTGGATGGCAGGAAAGTCACCAAACTTTTAAATGCACAAACTGAAAATCACTTGTCGTGATCAAGTTCACTTAGTATTGTGTCATGGACTAATGGACTGTATAATAAAAGAGATAAGTTTATTGCAAGTTCTTGCCCGTGGGCTAATTGCAAGTACATGTAAGTGGACATACAAAGAACAGACAATGTGTAACAATACAGCATGTAACTACTCGAGCCTAAATATTGGAATCTAATGTTTAACTCTAGTTCTAACTTATTGGGTTCGGCTTCTTTTTTCGAGACAGTGGATTGTTTTAATACAGTGTATTGTTTTTGGCTGTCTTGACTGTTGCCCTATACTAGACATAAGTCTTAGAATAAATTCTTCAAGTACAGTATATTTTCAAATGAGTGCAAGCTCAGTTGGGCTTGAAATAAACAGTTGTGACAGAAAAAACACGCGAAAAGGTTGGACCACTTTTTCCACCAGGCCGGACTGGACCTCTTTTTCCACAAACCCCAAACAGAAGCATGATTTGAATTGAAAACCCGGAACCAAACAAAATTTTACTTTCGTCACTTGTTCTATAGTGCCCTTAAGACTTATTTCTATTCCTTGTCCATTCCTTGAACCCCTGTGGTCAGACTAGAAAGTCAAACTAGCTACTGGAGTCCTGTTGTTGTGCATTATACTATCCGGAACACCGAACGTGCTTTTATCGGTAAAATGCCTCTCGATGATCAAAACACACTGTGCCTCTCTGCACAATAAGGGCTAAAAATCTAGTACGTTCTACGATCCGAGACTATCCAAAACCGTGCCTCATTATTCCGATCGCTTCTGGATACAATTTCTAGTCTGTAAGGGTCCTTACCGCCGACAGAGACCGATGGGACCAGGAAGAACACCAACAGAGAAATGCAGGCCACCAACCCCACACCGACAACAGCAGCTATGGTCACGTACTTGGTCACACGCGTCTGGTGTCTTTTACGCTTACTCTTACCTTCTTCTACCTCCATTTTGTTTTGTAAGGATTGTTGTTAGACTTGGCACGAAGCAGGAGAGACGTCAAGGCAACCTTTGACCGGCAATAAAAATGAATGTGTCAACAGAACTACTACCCTGGAATCAAGAACTCGTTTTCCGGGCCACAAGAGCCCTTCGCCCGCTGGTGTAAATTACCGCTACGGGGGAGTCTAGCCCTAGGGGAGGTCGGCTGGCCGGACAAACCCCTCGGGCTCAACTCCCAACTTTAGATAGGCGGGCGAAGGGCTCTTGGCTGCCGAAGGAAAACGGCTAACGGCCCGATACTAGTTTTGGCATCCAGGGTAGTAACCATCGGGACTGCCTACTAGTACGGGTTGAGGCTAGAACTGCCCCGCCCACAAAGGCGATTTCACATGATGTCATGTCTCCCGAGGGCGTCATGACATCCTATGGGAACCCCAAAACTGATGCGAGCGTGCGAATAATAATAAAAAAAAATCATCCAAAACCGTGCCTCATCTTACATCTGTGTCCATAATAACGTTATCACCAGGGTCCATAATGAGAAAAAGTGCAACATACCCTAGGTATGTACATTTGAGGTGTGCAGGAGTGCATACAAAAAGTATGTTGCAGTAATTTTGAGTAAAAATATCTTAAAGCACACTATTTCTCAAGGTGGCGATATTATAGACCCTGGTGATATTATGGACACGGATGTGTATATGTCGAGGCATAACGCTTAGGCCTAAGGCCGTGTTGATTCGATTATATGAGTGACATCCTCAGGGAACCCCAAAACTGATGCGAGCGTGCGAATAAAATAAAAAGTTTGGCTCAGAGCGTTTTCAATGGGCCCTGGCCAACATGTCGCATACATTTGCTGCAATACTGCTCTCTTTTGCTAGGGGCGCTGTGAGACCATAAGCGGCTGACCCCCGGCGGATTGACCTTGCTGAGCCGGGCGAACGTGCAAGGTTGCCCGTCTGCCGAACCGTCTCCTTCTCCCCCGCCCTTTTATCGCTCAAGGAGGCGACCAGGACCCACCGAAGATGGCTTCCGCGGTGCTTGGAGATCTTAGCTCTGCCGACTCGCTGTCGGCGAGGAGTTTGCGGCAGGCGCAGGGAAAGAGCATCGGGGTGTTCACCAGTGGGGGCGACTCGCAGGGTGAGTTGTGTTCGCCGCTTCGCCATGGCCATGATCGAAATATACACTGTAACAACATTTATCTCCAAGCAGACGTTGGGGGTTGCAAGTGTAACGTTAAATCATTCTGTGCTCAATATGTTGCTGTCGGTCAACTAGAAGATCAAAACACTGTAACAAAAATACCATGCGAGCTTCACTCCCAACATCTGCTTGGATTTGGAGAATGAATAATTTGTGCACCTTGCATGATACTGATAGATTGTTACAGACTGGCATTGGCCCGGTTTCATGTTAGTTTGATTAATCAAGTCTTTTATTATTGCTGATCTCTATTATTCACAGTGCAAGTTAATGATTAACACTATGTTGTGGTATTTGCATGCACATTAAATGCCCCTCCCACTTCTCACTGTACTGTATAATGTTACATGTAATGTTAATTAGGTTCAATGGGATATGATTCCAAAGTAGGGCTAAAAGGAAGTTTTCCTTGTGTTTATCAAGGAGATTAAATAGAATATTCTTCTATTTAACCTCATTGTGTTTATGTAGCTTGCACTTGCGGTGGATACACAGAGTGCATTGCAGCATAAATGTTCACTCTGTGATTTTTACTTGGATATAGCTTGAGTTCTGTCTGAAAAAGGATGAACATAAAACCAGTCTGCAAATATTTCACAATATACAGTAATACTAAATACATGTTAATCAGTTGTTCAAGCCATGTTGCAATATACAACTCGCATTTTCCTCTTAAATAAACAGACAAATTATCATTTCTGTTTTCATGTGGTGATAAAAATGATAAATATATTTAGTACATGTAACATCTGTGTCCATAATATCACCAGGGTCCATAATATCGCCACCTTGAGAAATAGTGTGCTTAAAGATATTTTTACTGCAACATACTTTTGGTATGCACTCCTTCACACATCAAATGTACATGTACATACCTAGGTTATGTTGTAGTAAAAAAAGCATACAATTTCTCAAGGTGGCAATATTATGGACCCTGGTGATATTATGGACACAGATGTTATCAAAGAATCCTCTATCATTGAAAGGTTACTGCTAGGGCTGGGTACCGGTTCAGCTGGACCTGTTTGGACCTGAACAACATTCAAGAACCGAGTCCAAAAAACCTAAACGCAAAAACCTGATCATCGGACCTGATGTACATTTCTGTTAATTTTAGAGTACATTTTGGTAGATTGTACAGACATCTTTAGGTAATCTGGTCATGGCAAGTGAAAAAAATAACCATGAATCAAACTAGATTAGCCTAAATCCATGTTTGTCTCTTTCTGTAGCTGTGGGTTCCATTTTAGGTCGACAAAATAGTTCACGGACCACGAGGTTTGTGGTAGTACCGAGCGATAGATATCATCAAGGCATACACGTACTCAGTTAAATTGCTCCTACTACTGTACTTCAGTAATAAGGTCCAGGTTTAGGTCCGGACCTGGACCTGATCCTCTGAACCTGATCCGGACCTGGACCTGAATTTTCTGAACCGGTACCCAGCCCTACAACTGCATTTAATCAACTTTTCTGGGTGGATTCTAGTTCATGTATCGTTGTTGAAACTGTATTGTCAATAATTCATCATTGTTTTGAAAGGTTAAAACAATAATTATTCAGAGTCAGACAATAAGACAAAGATGACCATATGATTACCATGATTTTAAAATTATTTATAGTCCATAAGTTATCATGTAGTTGATAGTAATATATAGAAGCTTGTTGTGAACTCTTAACCTCCCATACAGACACGTATACTAGTATATAGGGTATCCACAGTCATGGGATGATGGTAACACTTACTAGTACTAGTATGATATGACTTGGACTGTTTAGTCATAGTAGATACTGTAGATAGATGTTAAGTAGGATTTACCATGGTCAGTATTGACTGACGGAGGCCATATATATGACTTGGCAGATTTGGAAATACCTACCTGCAAACTGCAATTTGTAGCAAATTTTTTGATGCTGCAAAAAGAAAATGCCAATAAATTCTCCTCAAGGACATTAGGTAAAAGAATTTAGGTCATCATGCCCCAGGCATACAGTATGAGTCTGAATGCTGTAACAATTTTCATTAAAAAAACCTAAGTAAGGCCACACCAATTTAATTTCTTGGTTAACGGATTTTTCTAGGAAAATAATGGAGTGGGCGGGCAAAAAAAAATAAAAATAAAAACAGGTCAAGGCATCCTATTATGGCCCAAAATGGTACGATAGGAGCCATGAAGTCAACACACCAGGCTGGTTTAAAATTTAAACAATGAATTTGGAACTTTTAATGATACCACTGCATTGAAAGATGGAATAACTGTAACAACTTGGAAGAAAAGGACTGTTTTCAACTGTTCAGGGCAAAATATGAGCATTTTGTAGTTGATTCTGAATTTTTTTTTCTTTTGCAAATCAGAAAAAAATGAAGTGGGCGAATCTGTTAACCAAGAAATTAAAGTGGTGTGGCCTAGATACTGTATTTTTACCTCAATATGTGGTATGATCTATGTGACTGGAATGCCTGTAATGTCTGTTATACAGGTATGAATGCCGCGGTTCGCGCGGTGGTGCGGATGGGCATCCATGTTGGATTCCGCGTGTACTACATCCACGAGGGGTACCAGGGGATGGTGGACGGAGCCGAGAACATCAAGGAGGCCACCTGGACAAGCGTCTCTGGGATCATCCAACAGGTCAGCTGTCTGTTTGTTTGTTTGTTTGTTTGTTGGTAAATCATACCAGAGATGACTTCATACCCTCAATGGTAAGTGCCCTCTGGCAGGACATACAGAAACTGCAGTGCATATTGACTGTCAAACCCAAAGTTAAAGAACACCTGTACACATGTACACACATGGGTAGACAGACACACGCACACAAATATATGAGGATCTATCATATGGTAATAGTGCACTGTGTACATGTATATGGTTCAATGATTCACAGAAACACACACAGATGTTGAAACACATACACATTTTGTGAGAGACACACAAGTAATAAGGCACACACATGCGCCACATCGAAACGTCCACATCCAAATCTTTCTTAATTAAAAGGTTTGTGGAAGTGAAAGTGATGTCGAACCAGTCACTGGTCGTAACAGAGAACACAGATGCTATGTGCAGTATTTACAGGTTCATTGTACCGGGGAAATTCCCCTAGCTCTTTTCGACAAGCACAATGAACAATGGACCACGGCTTAACGTCCCGTCTGAAGGACTACGACCCTAAACAGTTGCGTGCATGTCGGGTGCGCGACATCAGCCGGGATTTGAACTCCCAACCTCTTAGTCTCTAACCACTGGACTACGCACGCTACTGTGATCATCCTTTGCTAGAAACATTAATTAAATGTCTATATCAAAACATTTCTTGTCTCCCATCAGGGTGGGACTGTGATCGGCAGTGCCCGATGTCAGGACTTCCGTGAGCGGGCGGGGCGTCTGAAGGCGGCGGCTAACCTGGTCAGGGTGGGCATCTCATACCTGGTGGTGATTGGTGGAGACGGGAGCCTGACCGGTGCAAACTGCTTCCGACAGGAATGGGCCGGTCTGCTGGAGGAACTGGAGAAAAAAGGTTGGATTGTCTGTCGATCTGTCTGTTTACACTGCTGACCTCTGACCTCCTGACCTTGGCCTGGCTTAACAACACTGATTTACGGTTAACAATTTTGTTTTGACCCTTGGTTATTTTGTAACTTTATGTGTTGTTTTAAATCTGTTGGTTTCATTGTTTTCATGTGTAACTTGTTGTCACGTACAGGGCACTCCTGAAAAGCAGTGTTTTAAGTAGCACAGAGGTCTCTACCCTGTTTAAATAAAACAGAAATAATAAAATAAAATACATGTAGGCTAGCTAAGATTCTCTTCTTTCTATGGAGGTAATGGTCTTCATCTTTTTGAAGATTTTTTGCCTACATAAGGAGCCTGTTATGTTACGCACTGGTCACACTCAAGTTTTTGATCCTTAATTGATACTTGAATGTTGTATAGAAATATACTATTATACCAGACTGTTGGGAGTTGCTTATTAGACCTGTGTCCATTCCTAAGTTGTATCAGAAAAGTTCATTGTGCTTGATTTGATTCTGAAGCAAATATTTCAGTCTTTTCAGTCTTAACTTTATAAAGTTAACTTAAAAGTTAACTTTATAAAGTTAGATAAAAGAGAATTTCTGCTATGAAAAGAGAATTGTCATTGAATATTTTAATTTGTATTTTTCCCTGTTGTTTGTAGGAGAGATCACTGCAGAACAGAGTAAGAACTGTTCCCACCTCAACATTGTAGGCATGGTGAGTACTGTCTGACCAAGGACATTATACTCTGTGTATAATGTCCTTGGTCTGACACACAAGAAAAACAAAACTACTGCAAGAGTGTCACTTCTACAAGTCTGCTACACAACAAAATTTCCCATTTTTGGGTATTTTTTATGCATGGTGTGTGTAATCTGGCCTTGTTTGTTCCTATTATTTACTAAATGTAAAACTGGATTATCTGATTTAAAATCCAATAAATTTTAATCCTCAGGTTGGGTCTATTGATAACGACTTCTGTGGTACGGACATGACGATTGGCTGTGACACGGCGCTGCATCGTATCATGGAGTCTGTAGACGCCATCACCACCACTGCTCAAAGGTAACTGTCTAATTCACCATACAACCTAACAAATACATTTCATATTCCTATAAGTACTAATAGGACCTCAGGATTCTTTTAATTTAATTATCACTTGTCTATGAAAATCTGTCCAATAGAAGCTCAGTATTGTCTGTCACTATGGAAACCAGTCATCAAAGACTCCAACACCATGGTAACGGACAGTTGTTAGTCCAACAATGATTGAGAGGTACATGTACGAATCTCAGGATTCTTTGTCACTATTGTATAAGCTAGTAGGTAACATTTGCAAAGCAAAGGCATGTTTATATCTTCACATATGGTCTGCTCTGTTAATTCTTACTCAAACACATTTTCATATACATGTATATATGGTAAGACAGGAGTCTAAATCCCTCCTGCTATAAAATTGCAACATGATGTCACCCAACACTAGTTACCATGGTGACAGACATCTGGTTCAGGTCATTGACCTTACTGGTTTGGAGAAGAAGAAGAAGAGGACACAGAGCAACAAAAATGTTTTCCTTTCAAATTGGTAAACATAATATAATAAGTCCAATAGAATGATGGGTTGACAATGTGGTTATTTTGATGTTTGTTTGTTTGTTTGTAGCCACCACCGTATGGAGGTGATGGACCAACCTTGCGGGTACCTGGCTGTCATGATGTTTGTTTGTTTGTTTGTTTGTAGCCACCAGCGTACGTTTGTTATGGAGGTGATGGGGCGACACTGCGGGTACCTGGCGTTGGTGACGGCGCTCGCCTGCGGTGCTGATTGGTTGTTCATCCCGGAGTGGCCGCCTGAAGCAGACTGGGAGGACCACATGTGCCGCCGTCTGTCTGAGGTGAGATAAATATTTTTCTTTTAGCTTTAGGCCACACCAATTTAATTTCTTGGTTAACGGATTTTTGTAGAAAAATAATGGAACGGGCAGGTGAAAAAATAAAAAATAAAAACAGGCCTAGGCATCCTATTATGGCCCAAAATGGTACGATAGGAGCCATGAAGTCAACACACCAGGCTGGTTCAAAATTTAAACAATGAATTTTGAACTTTTAAGGATACCATTGCATTGAAAGATGGAATAACTTACTGTAACATTAACAACTAGGATGAAAAGGACTGTTTTCAACTGTTCAGGGCAAAATATGAGCATTTTGCAGTAACTTTGATTCTTATTTTTTTTTTTGCAAATCAGAAAAACATGAAGCTGGCGAATCTGTTAACCAAGACATTAAATTGGTGTGGCCTTACAAAGTTTTAGCTTTAGACGACATTGGTTCTTGGATTTGCCTGCTTCATTTTTTTCTGGTTTGCAAAAAAAAGAAAAAAGATTCAGGTTCAGAATCAACTCCAAAATGCTTGTGTACACTTGTATACATTTGTCTGTCCTGTATTTGTTTCTATGTGCGGTGCACAACACTAGCTAGCAACAGCTGCCTTTGTTCCATGTGACTGTGCTGTTTCAATTTCAACAATTAAATAAATAAAAAAAATCCAAAATTTGGCTCAATTAGTTGACAAAAGCTCTTTGTCTACCAGTTCAGTTTTTCCATCTGGCGTGCATTCAATTTGGTTTGATGAAAGTTTATAATTCATTATTTGTTTTATAAACCTAGTATATTGATGTCTTTGTGCCTATCATAGCTTTTAGGGTTATTAGAAGATTTTAATTCATTTTTTTTGCCCTGTTATATTCAAGCTGTAGTCTAACAGTTTTTTTGCTGATTTGTATGGTAGCTACGAACAGCAGGCAGTCGACTGGGGATTGTGATCATGGCGGAAGGTGCCATTGACCAGAAGGGGAACGCCATCACATCCAACCGGGTTAAGGAGGTCAGAGAAAAAGTCTTCAATAACAGTTACTGTTCTTGAAAGTCCATGACTGTTCTTGAAAGTCCATCTGTGTTGGTAGAAATTAAAGCGAGTTTAAAATGTAATTTTCAACTGTACAACATTACTCCTGGACCAGTCTTTGTCAAGTAATGAACAATCCACTGCTTCAATCTTAGACCTCTTTTCAAAGCATCTGCAGTGTTTTTCATGTCTCTGATTTCTCCATAGATTATTTCCACCCGACTTGGCCATGACACCCGAGTGACGGTACTGGGGCATGTGCAGCGTGGAGGAAACCCTTCTGCCTTCGACCGTGTTCTGGTCAGTACGATTGACCTGCTACTTAGAATTTGAAGTTATTACATAGAAATTAAATGAAAGTTATTACATACTTAAGAAATTAAATGAAATTTTACCCCAAGACTTTTGAGTTGTTCAAAAAGGTACAATTTGAAGACAGCAGTGTCTACAACTTTGTAGGTAGACTGGGCTGTTTTTGAACACCCCCTTTTTATGTTTCCAGATGTTTCAAAAAGAGAGAAGAAAGGGTAATTAACAGTAGATGATAGGTAGTATATAGTATTATTGTAATATATATTAAACTCCTAGCACTTAGCATTAGAATGTAGCATTCCAGTATGTTTTTGCATTTAGCCCATCTGGGCAAGAACATGCAATAAAGATTCATATCATTATATTATACATGTGTATTTTGTACTTTATTGTACTAGTCTAGAACATTTCAGTGTAGCCATTTCATGAAGAAAAAAATAAACCTACTACATAATCCTCTGCATTAAAAATAATAATAATATAAAATTGTTTCATCCTCTTTCTTCATGTACTGTATGATATTGTATCAAATCTGCACTACATGTTGAACCCTGACCTTTGCCCTCCTGACCTTTGCCCTGTAGGGTTGCCGTATGGGTGCGGAGGCAGTACTGGCCCTGCTGGAGGCCACACCTGACACGCCCGCCTGTGTCGTGTCACTGGACGGGAACCAGGCCGTCAGGGTCAACCTCATGGAGTGTGTGGAGAGGGTAC